AAGTATTCTTCTGAAATATTAGAGACACTTTTCTCGGCGCCTCTCGAATTTGACTTTCCATGCCATCACTTTGGGCCGGCAGTCTGCACAGGGTGGTGATTTGGTTAGCAGGCTGGTCCAAGGAGAGCTCTCCGTCCAAAGGAGATTTTAGAAAAGAAAAACTTCGTCTACAAACCAAAAATTGAGTTTACTGAGTACGCTTAAAAAGTTTGTCATCAAGCACCTTGTCAAAATGGGAAAACTATTCGTTGGCGACATTGTAACAGTACTAAATACCCAAGGCCAAGATCATGTTGGAACGTCTGCACGCCTTTGATGGTCAGAAGTTTACTGTTTTGAGTTCTGGACGATACTCAATACGTGACTTGAGTAATGGTTGGCACTCTGCCGGGAAAGCACACTATATGGGGTTTCGAACTCGCTGCCACCGGCCGATGGAAGCCGTCTCGAGGAGGTCGTCACGGGACCGCCCCGCCCGCCCCGCCTTACACGGCGTACGGAGCCCACGCACATCAAGAGCAAGCGAGATGAAAAATGCGCGTCTGCCAGCCTGGCCTGGCCGGCAGTTGCTGCCAGCCCCGCTCCAGTCCGGCCCGACGACGACGGCGACTGCCAAGCGCGCCCTTTGGAAGAATTTATGTAAAGAAACATGAGTTTGTCCCTTTCGCCGTGGAGCCCTTTTGCACCCTCTCAATACTGAGCCAAAGTCGGGAGGAATCTGTTCCATAAACATCCAGCCAGCCTTTCGCACTCACTTCCTCGTGCCTTCCCTCGTCATCCAGGGTCCCTCACCATGCGTGCCACTGTGCAAAAGCTCTGTAAAAAAAAAGCCAATGCTGTCTTGGATCTCGGGGCCACGCTGTATCACAGGCTGTGGAATTTTTGAAGCATAAGGTGAAACAAAAGAGTCTCGCTGAATTAGCCTAAATATTCCTGAGTGCCGAAATGAGACGGCCGTACCCTTCCGGAGGGGTGGCGGCACGCTCGCCGAGACTTTATACGCCATTACGCAATCAATTGGGCGGTTTAGGACAAAGGGCCGAAGGGCGCCACCCTGGGGAAGGACGCCCCGCTGCGAGCCACGGGCCCCAAGGGCCGCAAGGGCTCACCTTAATAAACGCCACAAAACGAGCCACCAAAAAAATGGATCAGATGTAATGACTGGGTTGTTATTCCTATGGGATCGATCGAAACAATCCACTGCGATTGAGCCGTTCAGTACAGACATTGCGACTGCAACCTCCTAGTTTTGCTTCACTGCTGTGTGAAAAGCCTTGACGAAACTGGAGCTTTGGGCCGAGCCAGGCCAAGCCAGGCACGATGAATCGTGGGAACGCGTCGCCGGCCAGCCAGGGCCGAAGCGGCCGAAGCGTCGCCAATGCCACAGCCAGTGACAATCGTTTCGAAATCACCGGATTCCGTCGTGTGTTGGGAGAAATTGGCCGGGCAGTGTAAGTCAACGGCGTGAAACAGAGAGCTGGCAACGCGGCTTGGCTGCCCGGCCCGACCGGAGGGGAAATGGAAGGGGGAGGGGGGGAGACACTGAGGGCCTATTTGCCGGGGGCGTTTCTCGCCGTCGGTCTCATTCTATCATTTCGTCTCGCAGGGACTGGACAAGCAAGAACAATGGGTGTCGGTACAGAACTAATCCCGAGGGGTCATCCGTAAAGCACGTCCGGGGGTCAGGCGGGGCCTTCGGCAGGGCCGGCAAGGCCTTGGAGAGGCCAGGCCGTCACTGCCACCTGCGGACGTCGTCTGGCCTGGATCACATTTCGAATGGTTTCGAAAACAATCGTTCATTTTACTTTCTTTGATATTTTGTTGTGAAAACCGGTTTAGGCTATGGTTATTCAATTTGGTGTCTTCGTAACCGCAAAAGTTTCCACTGTTTCTAGATTACTCTCACCAAATGGTCTAGGGCCTTGGTCTGTGTTTTTCGAAATTTGACTCGTGACCCGTCCCACGTCCCGTGTCATGCCTGGCCTCGTGGCTCGCGCCGCGGAGCAGCCAGCTAGAACAGCAACACCGCGGCCCGGCGAGGCGACGACGGCCGGTGGAGAGGAAGCACCTGTGCGCCGCCGGCTCGGCTCCTTTTTGCTCACGATCCTGGTAACGTGCAACGCGAGAGGAAATGTATCCGTCCCACAGCGAGCTTGGCAACACTGCGCCGGCTAGCTTGGCAACGCCGCGAGTGAGCGTTGAGCCCGGCCGGCCCGGCGCGCAGAGGGGCCGCTGGCGGTGCGACGCTCTGTGCTCCGCGCTCCGCTACGCCGCCGGGCTGTGCGCGCGCGCCGGCTGCACAGCTGCCGCGCCGTGACCAATGGCAGCGCTGTGCCGCGCTCCGCCGGGCCGGCGAGCCGCCCGTTGGCTGGCGGGCACAGGCCGCCCCCGCCCCCGCCCCCCACCCAGCGGCCCGCGCCCCCACCAGGACGCGGCCAGCTCGGCGCGGCGGCGGCCCGGGGGCGGGGGGCACCGGCTTGGGGCTCCGGCGGCTTCCCCGGCCACCAATCCCGGCGCCCCCTCCGCGCCGCCTGCTCGGGGCCAACAGGTTTCAGGCCAAACTACAGCACGGCGGCCCGGCCAGCTGGATTTGGCAAACGCGTGCCTGGCGCCGTTGTGTTGTTTTTCCAGGACCACCTCGCCGGCGACGCCTTCCCGGAAACTCGTGGGCGTGCTTTTTCCAGCGAGCACGAACCTTCTATCGGGAAAGAGACGCACGTGGGTCGTGTGCGGGGCACGGCCGGCAGGGCCTGCTCGGCCTGCGCGAGGTTCGGGACGGACCTCCCACAGCGCGGTGGGCCGTGCCGTGCCGAGACCGGCTGGACACGCGAATTAATTAAAGGGAAATCCCGCCCACCGATCGCGCTGCGAGGAGCGACCTCTTTTTCCGAAAATACTCCCATACTTTTTTATATTTTCTATTTTTTTCCATTCTGTAAATTGGCACCGACCTTGCTCCAATACATACCCGTGCGGTGCACGCGGCAGAAATAAAAAAAAGCCATAGGAAATGAGGAAAAAATAAGAGATGCGATCATGTGATGGATACGAGGGGGCGGTGCCGGGGTGGGGGTGGGGCGGCCGAAACAAAATAGTGGTATGAACAGCTGACAGGTAGTTTGTCAGAGGCGGGGCAGTCGGAAGGCCGAAAGCGTGGTGATGTCGAGGGAAGCGGTGCCGGCCGGGCCATGAGACGGCACAGCGGTTGTTGAGGTTCACCGAATCGATGGAATAACTGTTACAGCGTCAGATTTCAATCGGCTATACCATACCTGTCCCCTACAAAGTGATTTTTTTTTCTTCGCGAACGCTGTTGGTTTTTTGCGGTTTTCCCTCCCACCCCAACATTCCACCCACGCGGCGAGCCCTGCTTTTACGATGACGTTTATGTCTTCCCCAGCTGCAGTGCGACCACCTGTAACACGCCGGTGCAGGGCGACAACACTGTCAAATCGGGCCGGCTGGCGTCTTCGGCGGTGTACTCCAACAAACAGCTGCCTGGACTTTGAAAATCAAGTTTCCGGGAACTGGTTCCTCCTTATGTATTCTGCCAACCTCTGTACTTGGAAGGCATATTTTTATTTGTATGAGGCGGACCGGGCGGGTTGGGTCTAACAACATGCTGCAGAATGCCATAATTAGTGCTGGTTGGGGAACAGACAAAGGTTCTGCCCTGAAAATGTCAGGTCGCTAATAAAAATGCGGAAAAATCCTGAAGGATAGCCGCGGCATGTTCATGAAAAAAGAAACACTCGACTCAGTCCTTCAACTGACTTGTAAAAAGATGAAATAAAACTTTTTTTACATTAAAGCTGCGCTGTTGGATATTATTCCAATTTATATAATATCAAGACTTTCTTTAAAGCCGTACCATGCGGCAGTGGCATTATACCAGATTTTAACCGAGAAGGGAAGAGGGGGAGGGGGGAGCAGAGGGCAAGCAGTGGTCCCTACGGTCTCATCGTTTAGCCTTGAGGTCGCCGAACAAGTCCGATAATAATGCTTCTCTCTCCCTCCCCTCTGTTCCCATCTGATAAGGTTGTTTTACTCTGTGCTACTCGTTGCTAAATCCCACTCACTTTCTGCGTCCTCTGGCACAGCCTGCCCGTCTGCCTTCCTTCCACTTCTGTTCTAGTTTTAGACTTTTTTAAAAAAAACGTCTTGGGGACCTTGCCACTGCTATGCAGCCCGTGCTCATGGCATTTCTGCTGTGTTGCTGACCTTATCAAGCCCTAAGCGACATGAGGCGGTCTGACCGACCGGGGACGGACGGAGGCAGGCAGCCCGTCGGACGGCACGGCATGGACAGACAGACGGGCTTCTTTCTCTAGTTTCTGACGCCGCTTGCTGCGGCCGACCCAAGCCGATCCCGCCCAGTTCCGAGTGTCTGCCGGTGTGTCTCTGCCCGGCCCACGGCCCGGCCGGTGGGTCGGTGCACCAGTCGGTGCCGCAGTCGGTGCCTTATCCGGACAGAAAGGCCGCTTTGTGCCCCTTCCCGCCATCGCCGGGCCGCAGCCGGGCCGTGCCGGAGTCGTGATTGACGGGCTGGATGAATGGAATCGGGGAATGAATGAATCAACGAATGAACGCACCCGTTGGTACGTTGGTACCGACTACTATGCGGGCTACCGTGCACGCAGCACAGCCCCTGGGTGGCTCGCCGCGGCCACAGACGCTGGGTACAGCTCGAAAAAAAAAGGGGGCACACTGGAACTTAGTTTTAAACCACCTTGATCTAGAAATGCCAAAAAACTGTTGGAAATGGAGATGATGGGAACTTAGTTTCAAACAATAAATTTGAGTTAAAATCGTTTAATATCATTTGATAGTAAAAATTGCAACAAATTTTAATGTAACAAATTAATTAAGAAATGTAATGGAACTTTGTACTGTTGAGCAACGCTCATAGAATGTCAAGAAGAAGTGGAAAAAAAGCTTGTTACAAGCAGGCTTTCTTGTTTGACTTGCGAACACTAACCCGAGTCTGTCTGTCTTTGCAGATAAAAACAAAGGTAAGTGGGCCCCACGGTTTCGTCTGCGCCCCGGAGCCGCGCCCATGGACGCCTAGGGATTTTTCGCCTTCCTTGGCGCGCTCGGCTCGGCGGCGCCTCCTGTCGCGATCGCTCCCAGGGGGAGGTCACTGCGCGCCGACTGCGCGCGGAGGGGCCGCGTCGCCCGGGTCGGCCGGGTTCCCATGGGACTCCAGGAGGGAGCAGGGAAGGCCGGCGCCAAGGGTTTGTCGAAAGCCTGTCGCGCCACTGGAAATTTTTGGACGAGGCTTTTGCTGTGGGTTAGTTACACGCAGCGAAGGGGAAGGGGGGCAGCGGAAGGGGAGGGCGCGCCGGTCCCAAATCTGCTGAGTCAAGCAGGCGGGTGGAGCATTCACGCCGGACAGCGTCACTTTTCAGAACGCACCATTTTTTTCCTTCTTGTTCATTCTTGTCGTCATTCTGGTGCACTTTATGGTGTAATAAATGGCCGCGTGTTGCGTGGTGGGAAAAGACGGGGGGGGGATCAGGATTAATACATAGCCGGAAGTGAGCCACCTGCAGCGTGGACCGTCCCAGCGTCCCGCCCGCTGGAAGAAAATAGAAATGGGCGAAATTCGGGATATATCTTTGGAGAAATGAGAGAAAAACTCTCAAGTTTTTGAAGTATCTTCCGTGCGACGTCGTGGCTGTGGCCTAGGCCCCGTGGGGCCCCGTGGGGCTGCGGGGGCGTCTCTGGCCGCGGGCCAAGGAGTGCGCGCAGTGGCAGTCTATAGAGCCCGACCCCCCTGCCTGCCACCCCGCTTGCTCTGCATCAGACGGCGTCTCGACACCTCCCCCCACCCCCCGCACAACAGTTCCCTCGACTGCCAGCATTATCGCGCCCTTTCCGCACTTTCTGCGGCCTTTAATTCGAGTCTGAATTGCCCTTTCGGAGGCAGGACAGTCTAGTCACCGGAAAAGGGAAAAGGGCGCATCGATGCCTCGCTTTTCTTGTCCCCGCGCGTTTTTCTCGTTTTTCTTATTTTTTTGTTGGACTGTATGCACGCACGGCAAGAATAAGCGGCCGGCGGCCGCCGAGTCTAGTTCTCTGCGCGTGGAGCGCGTGATAACCAAATTCAACAGAAACTGCCCCACTGCCAGAACGGGCCCTTTTTCACGAGCAGGGATTCACTCCGAAAAGGGTCCTTTCGGGCGGGGCGGCGCGGGGCGGCCCAGGCCGGCGAAGGGCCGCCTCAAGGAGGGTCGGCGCGTCATTCCCTGCATGTGCTACACAGCCATGAGCATTATCTTTTTATGCAGATATTTTTGCGGGAGCCGTGCCTAGCCACGCCGCCCCAGGGAGAGGGACAGAGGAGAAGGGAGAGAGGCAGAGAGGCAGGGAAGGTGTCGCCATGTGTGTGCCGGCCGGGGCGGGCGCGCTAGGGCGGGCCGGCCGGGCCGCGGGGACGGAAGGGTTCAAGAGATGTCCGAGAGGGCCGGGGAGAGGGTCGCAGGGCCGCCGGGCCGCGCAGATAATTAAATGAAGGTTGGACTTTGCATTAAGCGCCGGCCGACGCGCACATTATTGCCGTCAGGAAAGAATGTTTTTCGGAAAGACATTTCCTTTATTAAGGCCGGCCTCCCTTATCGTGCGTGCAAATGTGTGCCGCAGATAAGACTCGAGTTTTACGGAGATGAATTCCCTTCCCTGCGTGTCTTTGCGTCTCTCGGCGGGGCCGGGGCAGGCCGGCCATCGTGTGTCTAATCCAGCCCTTGTCGCCCCGCGGAGTATGTATAAAGTTATATCGGACGGGGAATAGAAAGATATGGGGGGAGGGCGGCACGACTGCACTCTGTGGGTGTGCCTGTGTGTGTGAGTGCGGACAGTGTCTTCAGGCCGGGTCGACCGGACACCCCACGGCCCCGCCACTATTAGCACGTTCTTATACACACGCGTGGCGGACAAGGGTCAGTCCCACCCACACGCATTATCATACGATTCGACTATCATGTGGGGCCGGGGCCGTGTCCACCGATGTTAATGTGTGTGTATGGTGTGTGTGTGTGTGTGTGTGTTGGTGTGGTTGGGGCTGTAGTTGGGGTGCGCAGTGTTCTCGTGCACTTGCTGCGTGAATTTTCTCAGTACGTAGTTCGGTCCGATTCAAACGAAGAAATTGAGTCACAACTGCGCTCGGCGGGCTCGGTTCCTCTCGGTTCGGCCGGAGCGCGCGGCGAAGGACGGCCACGTCTCGTTTTGCAGTGCAGGCGAGCCCGTAATGGTAATGGTAATCAGAGATGCCGGCCCGTGGCGCACGGCTGTCCTTCGGTTGCCTACCCGTCGGGGGTTCGCTCCTCACCTCTCGTTTTGCAGTGTGCTCGCCGCGGTCATGCCAACTAGACGGAGACGCTCTTGAGGGCGGCGGCGACGCGCCGAGGCGGGGAAAGGGGGGGGGGGAGGAAAACCGGAGGAAAAGGAAAAGAAGGAGAGAAAATGAAAGGAAGGCGCGTCTCCCTTCTGCCCCGCCGCCGAGCGCCGCCGAGCGCCGCCGAGCGTGCGGCCGCGAGGTCGCCATAAGGAAACGCCTCTGCCACGGCCAACAACAACATGGAAAAAATTAAAAGCTGAGATGCAAAATAGTGGAGAAGCCCGGCAAATGAATTATGCGACGACAGAGGGGGCGGCGCTGCGAGTTGCAGCAATTGCCGCGAGTCCGGGCTGCTGCCTGGCGCCGCCGCGAACGAGCGAAATGACCGATAGGTTGTTCTTGTCCACTTTTGGGACGGTTGTTTCCCGGTGTGGTGGGTCACGGCCCGTCACGGCCCCACACTCCTCCGCGACGCCCGAGTCGCCCGCAGGCCGCTCCGCGAATAATACAAGTGGAGTTGAATTGCAGCAAAGGAGTGGCAGGGCAGGCCGGCCGCCCGGGAAGGGGGAGGGGAGGGGGGCACCAGGAAAAATATATTGGCCGCGCGCACGCCATCGGGGTATTAGAATACTCTGTAAACACCGCGCGCCGGGTCCGCTTCTTCCTATTTCCTTTCCCGCACCTCCAACCCGTTCGCGTTTGTCCGTCTGTCAGTGTATAGTTCGTGCCGCCGCGCCGCCCCCACAGTGTTTCGATCTCCATTTTGGTCTAGTGGCACGGGGAAAAAAGGCGTGCCCGGTGCGAGATCCACGAGATTGACATTGCAGGTCGCGTGGCGCGGCTCCACCAAAACGAAAAGTAACAAAAAACGCCTAAAAATTGATAATTTTTTTGGCAGGTGGTGATCTTTTTACCAGATTTTTTTTCTTGTTTGGCGTGCCATCGTCGACTGTGCACCGTTTGCTAGTACGTACACATGCAGGCCTATGCGGGAGGGAGTGTCGGCGCGAAGAGACTGTGAAATTTAATCTCTCCTCAGCGCCGCTTGCTCCGCGGCGCCGCTCCTGGGTGAGCGGTTGGCGGTCGCGTTGCGACAGGCTGGCCAACGCCGCCACCGGAAGTGCGAGAAGCCAGGCCAAGCCAGGCAGCCTCCCGCCCGGGTGCGGGCCAGTGCCAGGCCGGAGTGGTCCCCCCGGACGGACAGTCTTCCGTTTCCGGGCCGAGGGCTCGGCGCCCCGCCCTTTTCCTCACATGTGCCGCCCTCCAGATAATTTTAATTTGTTACGTTCTCCTTGAAATAAAAAGGAAAACGCCCTCAGTGACACTTAAAAAATAAAAATTAGGAAGGTCGGCGGATAGAGATTGGAGGAGATATAAGTGCAGGCGAACAGCCAGCAGGGCTAGAGCGTGCCTTCTTACGGTTGACCTTCCCGAGAGGAGTGTAAAATTCGTCTTAAAGAGCACACGGCAGTGTATCATAAAATTAAATAGGCCTCGCCGGGAAGGTCGCGAATTAGACCCCTGGGGAAATGTCGCGATTACCCACCCCACTGCTTGACGGGCTGGCGCCGCGGCCGCCTTGGCCACAGGGCCCTGGCCTGGCCGCCACACTGCACAGCACAGCGGTCTCGCCGCCACCAAGACTTGTCCTTAGCCCTGCAGCAAGCCCCGCAAGCCCGCAGACTGTACCTGGGACAAAATACGGCGCGGTTTCGCAGAGCTGCCGCCGCTCCGCTCCGCAGCCCAAGGCGACGTTGTTGTTGTTACTCTTGTTGGGCTGGAGGTTGCGGCAGGGCCCTTGCCTGCCGGGTCTTCGTTTTTCCCAAGGCCACTTCATTGTCTGCACCAGTACCCGCAGCGCCCAGCTCGGTCACGATCTGGAACGCCTCGCTGGAGAAGGCTCCGCTGGCGGGCCCAGGCGGGCCGCTCCAGGACGGGAATGGGATTCGAACGCCGTGTTCACAAGGATCACCCACCAGACGCCGCGCCGCCTCGAGCAAACACGGCGAGGAGGAAGGCCAGGGACGAGCGGCGGCCGAGGAAAGGAGAAAAAAGAGCGGTCTTGAGCGCCGCTGGCTCCTCCCACTTAAAAGCCACAGAGAAACCATTTTTATAATATTCGTCGAGGAAGCGAAGCGTCCCCCCCCCCTCCCCCTGTCTTTTTCGTTCCTCCTTCGTTGCTCCGTGTTATTTTCTTTATGTCCAGTTCCCTTTTTTTAGAGACGAAAGACGTCACGTTTGATACTCCCGCGAGTGCATGGAGTATCAAGTTAAGCTGTTGATGGTGATCGAGGCGAAATTTGGTTTGGGCCAGCGAATTAGTTCTATTTTTTCCGTCAAGCAAGAGTGTATTGGCTGTGTATTCTGCACCGCACTGGCGTCACTCATCAAAGCCTGTGCCCTCTAAATGACCACGCAGAGTGAGCTATTGCCGGGAGGAAAGGGGAAGGGCTGGGGGCGCCCCTTGGACCGGACACTGGCCATTCAAAAATAATAACCCCGCATTAAAACGTTGACCGCGCCCGGCATGCGCAGTGATACCATCACTAGGATGGCATTCGGACGGGCAGCGTTCATGTAAATGGGCGAGGGCACGCGCCGACGCAAACTTTACAGTGCCTGTTTGCTTTTCGCTTTGTTTTAACTCAATTACTTGTTTTCCTATTTTTTTAGAAAAAGAGCGTGTGTTTTAGTGATCTGTTAATATTATGGCCCGCTAAAGGTAGTAAAAGTCCATCAAGGTGTGAATGGAGGGGCAAATTTTCTCCCTACAACCTGTTGCGTGAAACCTTGCGGCAAAGTTTGAGTGGGCACTAAATCTAAACAGTGTTGGGATAGACGTTTCCCAGCTGGGCAGTTTTCCCGGTGTTTGCCAGATCGAAAAACAGCCACAGACTTGCGGTTTGGCTTTTCCCGATCTCGAACCTCATTCCGGAATTTCATCACGATTCGTTCCAGATTCAGGCTGGGCCACAGCCGAGGCCACAGCGGCCGCCGGGGGCTGGCCGGGGGTGGGGGGCATCATATGGCTTTCATTTCATTCTGTGTCGCAAATCATCAAGATGGATTGTGATGTGCGCCGACTGCTTGGTCCGTCGGGACACGTTCTGTGTTTTTTGCAGTTGAGCCACTTTGCAAAAAAAAATCAGAAAAGATCGATGTGTCTCTTTTAAAAAGATTTTATTTTCGTCGTGAAAAAAATTGAACAACTTTCCGAGGTGCATATTTTGTGACGTGGGGTTGACGCAGGAGGGTAGTCGCGACATCCGTTGTAGCCTCGCGCGCATACAATATGCTGGACGAGAGAAAAGGTTTCGCGGGTCGCAGAAGGCGGCAGAAGGTGCTCTCATCGGTCATCGAACGCTTTTCAGGAGGTGACAGCCACGCTAATTGAGGCTACCCCTTCCCTCTCTGTTTCAATCTCTCTCACGCGGCAGCCGAGCTTCCCTCCCTGCAGGGCCTGCAGGGCCTGCCCGGGCGTGCCGAGGTGTCGTGTTGGGGCGACCGAGGACGCCACGCATCGGACTACTAAAATTCACTTTCACCGCGATGCCCCGGCGCGGAGGGACCAGTTAGTTGTAGCAGGCGGAGGGGTGGGGCGGATGGTGTCTCAGTGCCTGTGTGTGTGTGTGTGTGTGTGCGCGCGCGCGCGCGCGCGTGCGTGTGTGTGTTTTTGTGTGCGTGTGTGTGCGCGCGTGAAAGGGGCGGCGTTTTGTTTCCGAAGGTATTGCACGCGATGCGGTTGTTTTGTTTTTAATATAATTTCCCCCTTCCGTCCACTCACGTGTGGTTGTCTTGCGGTATTAGCTCACAAAGCTCCTCGGCTTGCTGCTCGCTTTTTGACAAATGCTCCACTCGTTGTCCTAATTAAGCCTTAACTAAACCGCCGCCGCCATCCCGCGGCCGGCGGGCCGATTCCGGGCTCGTCTCTCTCGCACTCACGGGCCGCTCCGAAGGGGTGCGAGAGAGAGAGAGAGAGAGAGAGAGAGAGAGAGAGAGAGAGAGAGAGAGAGAGAGAGACGCAGAGCGGCGTGGGCACTGCCCGGAATCAGCCTGCACGCCGCGCCATGCGTCACCACCGCGGCAGGCGCGGCACCGAGGGAGAGGACGGCGCACTCGAGGAGGGGGAGCAGGGCGCGGCAGGGCGCGGCAGGGCGCGGTGGGGTGATTGACAGGCCGTCTCATCAGTATGCCGCTGGCCTAGGATTGGTCGGGCTACCTGTCAATCAAAACCCTCTCCCCTCCCCGGCCTCCGCCAGCCTCCGCCAGCAGCGTCCGAGACTGGCCCGAGAGGAGGGACTTCCCCGCCGCACTCCGCGAACGGGGCGAATTCCTCTCGCCTCGGCAGTCCATTGCGAGAGGCGGCAGGACGCACTCCACTCCTCGGCCGAGCGAGGCTGGAAAGGATGGAGATAGAGCGGCGGAAACGCGCACCGAACCCCGCACGTCGTCGCGCCGCTCGCTCTGCCGTTCGAGGAGAGAGAGGAGAGAGAGAGAGAGAGAGAGAGAGAGAGAGAGAGAGAGAGAGAGAGAGAGAGAGAGAGAGAGCGCTCGGGACGCGACCCCTTGCCCCGCGGCGGCGCGGCGCTCCGCCACGCCCAGCCTGCTGCAGCATCGCAGCATCGCAGCGTCGCGCCATTCGGAGGCGTTGCCAGGCTTGCCAGCTTATGCGCGTCGAAACGGAAAAAACGCCCCGCCGCGCCTGCCTGCGCCTTTCTTATCTCCGAGATTTTTATTTCTTTTTCAGAAGTTGGTCACAGTGTGTCGACGACATGCACGGCGCCAGGCTCGCGCACTCGCGTCGTCGCTGTGAAAAATTAGCCTCCCTACAGTGGAGTTGTTGAGAGCCGAGGGCAGGGCGGGCCTCGCCTGCAGTGCAGGGCAGTGCAGGGGCGCCGGGACGGACGCTTTGGGAATGGAAGGATTGCTGCCGGACGGGCCGGACGGGCCGGACTGGTGGGGCGGACGGCCGAGGACGGGCCGAGGACGGACCAGAGGGAAGCTGACATTTATGAAAAGAAGGGCGCTATGACAAATGGTGGCGCGCCGGGCATTACATCGAGACTCCGTAACTTATGCACCCTTTGCCTTGGGCCCGGCTCGGCCCCCGCCCCGGCATCACCCTTGCCACATGGCGACCTGCTAAATCTGCCGCCGCCACCGCCGCTGCTTACTGATGCAGCAGCAGCAGCGGTGTCTCCGCGAAACTTAAGATCGGATAAGGGAGGAAAAAAGATGTTTCAGAGCGGGCGGGTGCGCGGGACTTATGCCGCCTGCACCATCCCTCACTTGCTTGCCCCACTTCACCCACACCCATTTTTTTAAAAAGTGTATTTGTCATTGGCGCTACACAGCAGCTGCAGCTGCTGGCCGCGGTCGTGGCCGCCACCGCGCTCGCCACCACGGTTGTCTCACGGCCTTTCTTCCTGTTGCAGAAAACGGGCTCCCGAGGCGGCTGCGGACGGCCTACACCAACACGCAGCTGCTGGAGCTGGAGAAGGAGTTCCACTTCAACAAGTACCTGTGCCGGCCGCGGCGGATAGAGATCGCCGCCTCGCTGGACCTCACCGAGCGCCAGGTGAGAGAGTCGACCGCCTTCTGTGCTCAGAGAAGTCGAGAGCCACGAAATGTAAAACAAGTTGTGGGATGGATCTGGCTTTTCGGGGGCTTCCCTTTTGACGGTGTACTGCTCGTTAGGGGTCTTGTCCTCCTTACGCGGGGTGCGACTTCAGGATGTGTACGACACGCCGGCCGCGGCCTGCCGGGCCTGCCGGGCCTGCCCGACGGTCTGACTCAGCGAAACCGCCATAATAGTGTAGTAAAGGCCGCGGTCGCAGCCCCACAGGTGTCGTCCCATTCAGCTTAATCCATTAATGTGTGCTGCCGGCTGCCACTGGGCCTAGGCCGGCCACTACTACAAGCTGGGCTAGCCTGGCTCGCGTAGTGCACCGCGACCGTCCGGTGAAGAAGCTCGCCGTCAGGGAAGCGGGGACTGGCGGGGACCCCCTTTCTTGTTAACACATCCGCGGCCATTCACTGCGATGCCCGGGGAGAGAGATCATTTCGGTTGTCGGCACCGCGCACGGCGTGGCACTGCGACAGAGTTGGACAGACTGCGATCAGAGCGAGGTTCCGGACGTTCCGCGTGGCGCACCGCTGTGGGAAGAGGCCAAAGGGTTGGCTCGTCGCGGCGGTACTCCGTGTCTGGTTATCGCTCTCCGCGTGAGAGATCCACTGCAAGGTGTCGCCTACCCACCCACTGCACCGTTGCCGCTCACCCGGAGCTTCGTTTGCTTCTTCCCCAATGCCAGATTAAAAACGCTTCTTTATCTGTTCTTTTTTTGCTGGCGGGAATCCGCGCCACGCTGAGCGAAGCGCGACGCTCCCATGCAACTTGTGGAAACGGACGGCGGGGCTCTGCGGCTGCGCTGGCTGCCCTGGGCTGCCCTGGGCTGCCCTGGGCTGCCTCGCCGCGGGCCGCGGGGTTTATCTGCAGTCAGTATATTTTGAAAGCGCGCCCCGCTTCAGTTGCAGGGAAAGAAAGCGCCGGGTCGTTGGGGGAAGTGTAAAGTAATCCGGAGAAACGGCGCGGCCGCCACGCCCCGCCCCGCCCGCCCCGCCACGTCCCGCCCTGCCACGGCATCGGCCCGTTCGCAATCAAAGGCGATTTAGGCTACGATATTTGCGACGCCATTATCAGGCCGCACTTACCGCGGTAATGTGTCAGCGGGCGGCTCATCGCGCGTCGCCAGCCCCGTCTGGCCGGCCCGCCTGCCAGCCCTGCCAGGGCGGCTCACTCGTCCAATCCGATTGGCAGCCCGCCAGCGGCCCTTACCTAATTCGGACGCCGGTGAGGCGGGAGGGGGAGGGGGGACGCGGCCTAACCTAACCTGCGCAAAGTACCTCCCAGATCAGCCAATTACGAGGCGGGCCGCGCGATAAGCCGGGCGGTACCGCGCGGCGCAGCCCTGGCGCGGCGCACTCGCGCGGACTTTTTGCAGAGGGTTCCCGCACCTCGATAAGGCAGAGCTGGTGCACTGCTGTTGTTGGAAAAGGAGGGGGTATTTCGTGCACCATGCCACGTCTAGGAAAAATAAAAATAAAAGTTTGGTCCTAAGGGTCTGGAGGATCAAAACGGGATGAAAAAACTTTTGAAAATCCTAATTGATTTGAAATGAATGTGGCGTCCCTGTTGCAGGTGAAGGTGTGGTTCCAGAACCGGCGCATGAAGCACAAGCGGCAGACGCTGAGCAAGAGCGGCGACGACGAGGACTCGAAGGAGGGCGGCGTGCCCAGCGGCCGGTCCAAGGCGGACGAGAAGAAGAGCTGCCAGGGCTGCGACCTGCCCTCAGACATCCCGGGCCTCGGCCTGCCGCTCAACAACAACAACAACTCGAGCTTCAACAACAACAGCAGCAACGCGAGTAGCGGCGCCAGCAGCGTCGCGAGCAGCCTGTCGCAGGCGCAGGAGGAGGACTCGCGGTCGCACGACGGCAGCGTCACGCCGCGGGCCAAGGCCTCGGCCTCCACCACCGCGGCCGGCACGGCCTCCGCGCAGGACGTGAGCGTCAAGGTGGAGGCCGGCATCCAGAGCCCGCCCTGCCTCACGGCGCGGACGCCCGGCCTCGGGCCGCAGGGCCTCGGCCCCGGCCCGGGTCCCGGCGGCCAGGCCGTCAAGGAGTGCCCCGGCGAAGTCGTCAAGCCCCCGCGGGGGTCGGGCGGCAGCCTCACGCCCTCGCTGCCCGGCACGCCCCTGGGCACGCCCCTCGCAGCGCCGCAGCAGGCCAGCCCGCAGGGGGGCCCGGGGGCGCCAGTAGCGACCCCCCAGGGGGCCACGGTGGGGCCTGGCTACCTCCAGCCGCGGCCACGCTCCTCGCCGGGGGGGCCGCAAGGCCCGGCAGGCCCTGCCCCCGGCACGCCGACCGGCGCACGCTTCCCCGGCACCGACGCCATGTTCCAGGTGAGGATGCGAGAGAGCTTGAGCGTCGTGCGGCATCGCGACTCAAACCGCTGTCTGGTTTGCATTTCTGCCTCGCCCTCCTGATGGAGTCTGACGCGCCCTCCTCGTTCTGCTTCCAGGGTCCTGCCATGCCTCACCAGGCCGCCTCGCGGTCCCAGGCGATGCAAGACTTCCGGGTGGCGGCTGGCCCGGGGGCTGGCGTGCCCAGTGCGGTGGGGGCGCAGTTCCGGCCCGGCAAAGCCGCACACAACAGCAGCCCGGACCCCGCGGCGTGTTACAGCCAGACGCCCTACTCGCAGCAGCAACAGCAGCAGCGGTTCGGCTACCCGGCCGACACGCCATACTCCCGCCAACAACAACAACAGCAGCAGCAACAGCAGCAGGTCCAGCACCGGCTCAACGGCGTGCCCGCAGGCTCCGGACGGCCGCAGCACATGAGCAAGGGCAACAACTACCTGCAGAACAACTACCACGCCGGCTACGCAGGCTACAACGGCGCCTACGACCACACGTACAACCCCTTCGGCCCCTCGTCGCGCGGCGGGGGCGGGGCGGGGCGTGGCCGGGGGCGTGGCTGGGGGCGGGCCCGCGGCAGGCAGCGCCGCCCACAACGGCCACCACAACTACCAGCAGACGTGCTTCCCCGAACAGGACGCCAGCGGGTACTACCCGGGCTACCAGTACGGCGAGCAGCACATGCAGCACATGCAGCAGCAGCCGCAGCAGCCCCAGCAAGACGTGGGCTTCTACCCGTCCGAGCAGGCGGGCATGCAGCCGCAGCAGCAGTGCGGCTACGAGTACGCCAAGCAGCCCTACTACGAGTACACGCCGTCCCCCGAGCAGTTCCCCGGCGTGGCGCCGACCGTGCCCGCCGTGCCCGCCGTGCCCGCCGCCTGCGTGCTCACGCCGCCCTCCAGCTCCGGGGACATCTGCTCCCCGTACCAGTTCTTCGAGCAGGGTGGCGGCGCGCAGCAGACGACGCAGGACATGCAGCACGACAACAGCAACAGCTCGTCCGACTTCAACTTCCTGTCCAACCTGGCCAACGACTTCGCGCCCGAGTACTACCAGCTGAGCTGAGCCGCCTCCGCCTGAATCTTGGCGAGGTACCCGCCGCCCGGGAGGCCCCGACCAGCCCTGCCCTGCGACTGGGAGGTCCGCGTTGAGGGCCTCCGGCCTTCGCGACCCTCTCCTTGCCGTCGTGGAGGCGGCGCGGCGACGCGGCGACGTGCAGCGCGATGTCACCAGTCAATTACCTACCACGTCAATTGGGCGGGCGGGTTCCGTCCACGACAGTGGAAGTGTGCGGCGGTGCAGTGGCAACGGACTGAGCGGAGCCCCAAGCTCTGCGTTGTGGACTGCAGTGTGAAACTCTTTTTACTTTTGCATGTTTCTAATACTCGGCGCCTCCTTATGCGCTCCACGCGAAACGGTTTCAGAGTCGCCCCGAAAAAAAAATCCGCTAAAACAGCCTCACGTCTGTCTGCCATCATCCCAAAAGTGCGCAAAAAACAAGCCTAACTAAAAAATCATTTCAAGAAAAGCTTTACTTGTTTGTCTTTCTTTCAGGGGACCTCGGCTTTTTCAGGTTAGAAGGAAAGGACCAGGTCATTTTCAGTAATTGGATAATTTTTTAAAAAATGATCCTCGTGGTTTTGTTGTCTTTTTGTTGTTTTTTCTTCGCTCCCGCGCCCGGGCCGCGCCCTGACCGCCCTCTTCCTGCTTGAAGTCGGAAAGCCCTGTTCGAGGCCCCGCTGGCCCTGCTCGAGGCCCTGCTCGAGGCTCGGCTGGCTGCAGCGCCGAGGCGTAAGGGTGGAGTGCCGGGCGTTATTGCTCGGGAAATGAAAAGGTTGCCGTCGACGCGGGGGCGGCGGTGGGGCGGGGCGGGGCGGGGCTGGCGCGGTGAGGCGATGAGGTGGTTTCAAGAAGTGCAGCCAAGCTGGATTGTTAATATTCTGTGATTAATGATTGAGCCGGTGGACCTCGCGCTGCGCAGCGAAGCAGCGCCCAGGCGCAGCCGTGGCGCAGCCCAGGCACGCCGTGGGGAAGGCCAGGCCTCTCGCCCTTCGGCGAAATAGCTAATCAGATAGCTAGTTATCCATTAAAATTTATTATTATTATTATCATTATTATTATGATTATTATTATTATACCAGAAAAAATATGTTATTTGTTGTTCATTCGTTCATTTGTTGTTTGCTGTATATAAATCTTATTATTATTATCATTATTATTATTATTATTGAATCCTATAATTAAATTTTAAAAAAAGAGAGAGACAGAATGAAAAGAGAGAAAAAGAGAGAGAAAGAGAGAGAGAGAGAAAGAGAAATTATTGTATTAATAGTTACATGTCATTATTCACTATATGAAGGTTTTTGCCTGTGAATTCACAAAGTAGCGAATTAAACCATTTCATCATTACAACTTTTAGAGCGTGCTTCTTTCCCTGCCTTCGAACCCCCACTTGACACAACAAGTCGTTTTATGACGAGTCTTTCCAAACTGGTGAACTGAACAATAAAAGTTCAAGGGATTGGGGGGGGGAGGGAGGGAGAGAGAGAACAGAGAACAAGTAAAAGGCCTACGCACAGCTCGAGGTGCAAAAGAAACGAAACCGGAGAAATAGCCAAAGTCACGGGAAGACGGGGGAAGACGACGAGGGGAGGGAGGGAGTGGGCGCGGACGCCAGGGGTGGAAGGGAAAGAGAAAGAATTAGGCAGGAAAATGCGTAAGCGATACGGTGGTCGCGGCGTGGCGCGGCGCGGCAGTCGCAGCTCAGCCAGGGTTCGAGCTCAGCAGGCAGGCGCTGGGCTTCGCTGCTTCAGCTTCGCCGGGCTGGCTAGGCTGGGCTTCCCTCCTCCCTCCCCTTCTCCAGCCTTGCCTCTTCTCTTCACCCTCCTTTACCCATTGATCGATGTCCCTCCCATTATGGAAATGATGCGGAGGGGAGGGGAGGGGGCAGCGCGCGGGGGAGGGGCGGGGAGCGCGGCAAAAGAGAGGAATGGCAGAACGAAACAAGTTTGCTTTACTTATTCAATTGGCCCGCTAGTAGTGGCGGCCTGGCGGGACGTTTGAGAGGGGAAGGGGTGTACAGGTGACTCTGACCTGGCGGGCCGGCCCCGTCGCCCCGTCCCGGACACCGACGAGGACGGGGACGGGGAAAGGTACCCAGAACACCACACAATTTATACGTAGAAGGGGTCACACTGCACAGCTTTAAAAAACTTTAGAATGAAAATGAGCAATTTCAGTCGCTGATTAGCACTTGATTCAGCCTATGGCCGTTCAGAAGAAGTGCGTCATGTGACGCGGCTGAAGTCCTGCTTCGAACAAGTCTTTGACTGGGGCAGAGGCCTCGGCCACAAGGCAGTGCGAGGGAAAGCGAAAATCAGCTGATTCCGACCTCTAGCGGTACTCAAGATTTATCTTTTGTTTATGGGTTGTCAACATGGAGGCTCTCGTGGACCACCCCATCCCTTCCACGGCCAGCGCCAAGCGCCACGCCACGGCGACGGCCGTGTACTTGTACTTCCCTCCTCTCTCTGGCTGGGCGCTGGCGGCATCTCGCGGCGCCCAGCCGCACCACGACGATACTCCTTGCTAGGGGCATCTCCAGAGCCCAGAGCCAGCTTGGCGCTACTCCGCCAGCAAGAGAATTTCTTTTGTTGATTTTGACAGCGCGGCGAGTGGCGCCGAGGTAGAGAGTGGTTCGGTTGACAGAAGCAGAAGAAATACCCGGTGTGGCAGGAGTGATTCGAAATGAGGAGGAGAAAGGCGATCAGGCCAGGTGAACTGGTGAGGAAGTACTGGTTCCTGTTCGGGATATTGGGATGCATACTGCTCGCTGAGTTGGCCCCCAGTCTGGGTGCCAGTGGCGGTAAGAGTTTGAACTGTTATGCCAGGTTATGTGGACCATCTCACAAAAACAATACTCATTGATAACATGAAACTTAAACTGTTTTGAAAGCACCCTTTCACTCTTTGCGCTGATTATTTTTCTCTGATTTCAGGCCCACTCGCTCCCGAAGTTACAGTGAAGTATGGAGCAATTGCTGTGATATTTTTCTTGAGCGGAATGTCACTGAACATTGTGGATATGAAGAGAGCTGTTGTCCAGTTTAAACTTCATGCTTTCATCCAATTGTTTACATTCCTCTTTGTTCCGCTTTGTGTTAGATTGATCACCTTTGCTCTGAAATTATTTGGTATCAATGAATGGGTTTTGAAAGGGTATGTTGTTTCTGCTGAAACTTTATCGCACTGTTTTTGAGTTCATTAATTAAATCTGAATTTCTGTTTGTATATTTCAGCCTGATTACTGTTAGTGTAATGCCACCTCCAGTGTCTACTGCTGTCATATTGACCAAGGCAGTGGGCGGCAATGAAGCTGGTGCGGTGTTCAACTCTGCTCTCGGAAGCTTTCTAGGCATCATTGTCACTCCTCTATGTTTATTGTTGTTTGTCAGTAATGTTTTGGGAATTTGTAGCCAAAATGCTTTGTCAGTTAAATTTATTTGAGCGAGAAAAGTATCACTAAAATATTTGATTCATTTCTTTTGTGTGTTTTGTCAACAGCTGGGTTCTTCTACTGTGGTGCCTTTTCGGAGTACTATTGTTCAACTAGGTGTCACAGTGGTCATACCACTTCTAGTAGGCCAAGCAGTCCGAGCAATCGGCATGTTGCATCACACTGATTTGCCTACTTCTGAAATAGGTCAAGTGGCCCTTCTGTTGATTATCTACACAACATTTTGTGATGCATTCCTTGAACACGATGCAGGAATGGATCCTGTTGACATTCTCGTAACTGTCATGTTAGGTAGGCTTTTAATAAAAAAAAGCTTGAAATTCTCACGAATAATTTTTTACAACAGTTGAAGTTTTGCATTATCTTTCACACAGTTGTCATCATTCAGCTTCTTCTAATGTACCTCGCCTGGAACATCTCTGGACTTACAAAAATGTTCAGCACTCCTGATAGAGCTGCTATAACTTTCTGTTGCTCTCATAAATCACTTACCCTTGGTAATTATGATTCTTCATTCTTTTCATTTTTCCTTTTGCTAAACTTGAGCTGCGTAGGTTCAAAGTTGTATGATTTTCAGGAATCCCAATCCTACGAATTTTGTTTGCTGGCTACTCTCACTTCTCATCTATTTCCTTGCCATTATTAGTCTATCATCCTGCTCAGATAATCATAGGAAGCTTATTGGTTTCTGAAATGCGGGAATGGATACGAACTCATCAAAAGCGGTATTATACAAGTTCTTGGGCTGACATCTTGCATCCAGATAACTAGACCATGAATTTAAATGTTTTCATTTTGTTTGCAGGTCTTTTCTCCCACCTTGAATGGAGAGGAATTGTGTGTTCTGACTTGGCCTCAGCTTAGGACTTCAGAGGATCTTTTAAAATTTTATTTATTATTTCTAGATATGTATTACGAGTTTATGAATTTTTTGCATTTATAATGTACTTAAGTTTAGTTTTGTATAACCATTTTGTATTTGGTTTTTCTTTGTTTTCCATGAGCCTTACTCATGAGTGACTGACTGCCTGATCAAGTTTATATTCATAACTTTTTGTTATTATTAATTGTTTTACTTCATGTGGCTGTGATTACATGGTGTTTTTACAAAATTGACCTCATGTGTTTGTTTTTTGTTTTTGTTTTTTGTGGGGGGGGTTAGGGGGTGTTTTTGTCTATTTTATATCCTGTAAGAATTACTGACAAATGCATACATGCTTACAGGAAAGTTGACAAGCCTTAAGGATTCAGCATTAATCTTTTTAACAACATATGTGGCAGTTACAATTCTGACACCATTTACGGTGAATAAAATGAAAGTGAGCATCTTACAAACTATCTGAAACACTGTAATTCTGCACCTCTTCAATTTTGGATGTACGCCGTACGCATCAGTTAAGTTTCATGACAAGCAATTGCACTGTCACCCTACCCACCTGCCCCTCTGCAATTTCTAAACCTATTTCTAATATCTCAGACTTCTTTTTTATCTTTGATAGCTTGCCTACTAATTCTTTTTCTAATATTCGATCGCAGAATCCTGCATGCAGAACATACAGTATTTCTAGTGACAGGAATAACTAAGAGTCCACAATCCACTGACCTGTATGTGGTAGAATATTTACTTTCCCTAAACATATTAGGAGAAAAAACTGCTCTTTCCATTTTATTTGCTACAGGCTGTTCCTGCGGTTGATTGCACCCAGCACAGATATCATAACGCCTCACTAATTTCCAAATAGCCAAGGCATACTCAAAGGACTCATCCACAGCATGAGTGGACAGTGAGATTCTCTCTGGCAGCTTTCCCCATATTTCATGGTCAAGTCCTAAGGGTTTGCCATGTACAAACAAATGCACAACACCATTTTCAGAGATGTGAATTTGTCTCTGTGGTAAAAAACACATACTGTCAGCAAGCTTCAACAGTGAGATTCCATTATCACCTGTGACAGTCCAATTAATGCACTGCCAATATGGTGGCAAAGAATGTTTCAGGCGAGTTTCAACTTCCTCAAGATTACAAATGTTGGACGAGGATGGAAAAATCTTGGCAAGGATGGGTTCAGGTGATGAACTTAACTGAAGCTCACATGATGTGTCAGGACACTCTGATGTATCCTGTAAAAGCACAAAAGAAGTGAGAGGCAAAGAAACGGAGATATACCCTCAGACTTACACAAACATTCTTACCTCTAATATTTTAATTTCTGCGACCTTAAAAGGAACAGCACCTCTCCATTGGTGAGTAGATGCACTTTGGTTAACTTTGGTGATTTCCTTAACAAGAAATTTAACATTTACGACTTTCTAGTAACTAACACAGAAACAAACACCGATCATAAATCATCATACCCTAACTGAATTGATCTGTTGAACCTCAAAAGGCACATTTACAGATTGATTGGCATTGACAGGTAAGCTCCGAATATCAAGAGAAGCATCAATTGCCTTGCAATCAGCTGGTGATGTACTCAAATTGTTGTCAATAGAGTAATAAGTATCAATGAGACAGCATGGCTGTTCAGTAGCAACGTGTGCGGAGAACTGATCAGTTGGAGTAGATGCTCTTGCTTGAGTCTGAAAGGTAACTTTGAGTTGATCATAGACAGTTCATCTTCACGATATATCAAGATAAAACTATTCACGTAAAATGTACAAACCAGAGTACTAGTATCAGGACAGTGCACTGGTTGGGTCAAGGGTGGGTTTTCAGTTACAGCTTGTACATCATCGGAAATATGCTCTGCTCCAGATTCATCCTGAAAAAAAGAATAGACAGATGGTTGAATGACATTTGATATGAGTGAGAATGTGGGCGGTTCAAAGGATACAGATCTAAATTGTACTCACAGTCAAGCATGTATCAGGATTCTTCTTCACAGAACGTTGTTTTGATTTCGTAAAGCGCTTACGTAGAGCTATTCTCCTGTTGCCTCCAAGTCTCCCCATGTTTTGTTAGGATTGGAACAATATTGTTAAGAAATAATGTTTTCTGAGTGCCATCAACACCATTGAAATACCTAAAGGAAATAACATTTAAAACAAGGTTAACATCAAACCCTGGCACAAAAATACACAAAAATGAAAGATATTAAAGCAGAGATATTAAACTTGGTGCACTCCTAAAGCCAGAAATCGACAAAAGAGAAGTTTTGGAATATTGACAATGTCACAGTGGGACGTAAAAATTAATTTTCTAACGGGCTTCAACTCTTCTGTGGTTGTAGTTCAAAACACCCCGCCCGGCCAGGAAGAGTGCTCGGTGCTTGACTGCCAATAACGTGTAAACACACAGCAACAAACAAACAACAACAAAAACGTCTGCTAGTAAGTGACAGACTGACCAAGACTGACATCATTCAAATTTTCCGGAGCCGGCAAATAACTAGGCAGGTTAAAGTACGCCTGTCTCACTATCACGATGTCATAATGCACTGTTTCATTTGCATCAAACCAAGTTCTGGTCGTGAAATTTCTACTCTATATTTCACATTATTTTTCGCTTGTATGTTGTTTGACATAACCTGCACGTCGGTCAACAGATGGCTGATGGCTTTAAATTTTGACTTTTTGAAATGTTCTATGTCAACAGACGTCTATGAATTATATATTATGATTAATGTCCATTGATTATCCTCTACTTTTCAAGGTTTGATGTATGTAAATAATTAATACTTTTTTTCTGTTGAATCGCATTATATTATTCTTACAGTATGGAGAATAAAAGGGTGGTTCTCGTTACTGGAGGTACAGGCTTAGTAGGACAAGCCATTAAAGACCTTGTGGATAATGAGCAATCCCCTAACGAAACATGGATCTTTGTGGGGTCAAAGGATGCAAATTTGAGGTAACAGACATTAAATGCATATGAAAGCGGGAGTAAACATCTTTATTTATTTATCTTAAAATTTACTTATAATTTTTTTTCAGTGACATTGGGCAAACAGAAACTCTTTTTGAAAAGCATAAACCCACCCATGTTATCCATTTAGCTGCTATGGTTGGTGGCTTATTCCACAACATGTCACACAACTTAGACTTTTTGGTAAGAACCCATTATTTCTTATTTCAATATAATGTAGTAACTTTACATGGATTCCAAATTTTTTGCAGCGAACAAACATGCATATCAATGACAATGTCCTCGAGACCAGTTTTAAAACTGGAGTTGTGAAGGTTGTTTCCTGTTTGTCCACTTGCATATTTCCAGACAAAACAACATATCCTATAGATGAATCTATGGTAAGTGTTCAAGCAAGGACTTTTTCTTAATGTTTACTTATAATTATATGATTACACTTTTGAATAAATCTTTTTTTTTTTTTTTTACAGGTTCATTTGGGTCCACCTCATCCATCTAACTTTGGGTACAGCTATGCTAAAAGACTGATTGACATTAGCAACAAAGCTTATTTTCAGCAACATGGATGCATGTTTACCTCAGTTGTCCCATGCAATGTGTTTGGACCATATGATAATTTTAATCTGGAATCCAGTCATGTCATACCTGGTCTCATAAGGAAGCTGCACCGAGCAATGGAATGTGGTAAGATCATTGATTAACAAAACACGCATTCCATAGAACATACTTTGTGTGTCTTAAACCGTTTTTAACTTTAACCATTAGGTGAAAATCAATTTACTGTCCTTGGCTCTGGGAAACCCCTAAGGCAGTTCATTTACTCAAGAGACTTAGCCCGTCTCTTTGTCTGGGTACTGAGACATTATGACGATGTAGAACCTATCATCTTATCAGGTCTGTCAACTCACTTGGTGAACATATGCATCATCTTTGAAAAGGATTTTCAATGGCACATTGTTTTCTTCCAGTTGATGAGAAGGATGAAGTCAGCATCAGTAATGCTGCAGAACAAATAGCTGGAGCATTTGGATTCCAAGGACAGTTGGTTTATGACACAACCATGGCTGATGGCCAGTTCAAAAAGACTGCAAGCAATGCTAAACTACGCAAGTTGAACCCTAATTTTACCTTCACTCCATTTCCTCAGGCTATTAAAGAAACAGTACAATGGTTCAAAGAGAACTATCAAAATGCTAGGCTGTAGAAAAGAATTGAATTGCTTCACTCTATTCTATTAGCTAGACAATCTAGTATTTTCAGAATAACTATGTTGTGATTTTGGATTTTCTGTCTGCATAATTATTATTCAAGCAGGCTTGATGATGTTAAAATTTACTCAAACAAAAGATATTATAAAGAAACAGTAACTGTCTGAACTTCTGTATGTTTCGTGCACCATTTCCATTATGCCTTTCCTAAGGTTACACTTCTAGTTAGGGCAAACTCTGGCTGAAATACAACTAAAGATACTGACAAGAGTTTTATAGTTCAGGGAGCCAGTAAAAATTTGGCCAAAATTGAATTTATATTTAAGAGAAAATGAAGACCAAGTTTTTTATGTACTTTTAAGTCTTTTCTTCATTAACATTTAACAATGATGGCTCCTTCAAGATTTTTATTTAAACTCGTTTTCTTGGTGCATGGCCCTGTGGAAAATCCAGCCTTGATAAATAAGGTATTCTTGGAGATTTGATCAGAACACACAATATAATTACATTCAGTACTCACAAGTATTTTGTAAATATGCAGATCAGGTACCTGAGATTCCTCATTTGGTATGATCAGTACCTGAAGATCATTGTCCCCATTCTTGTGTCTGCGCCGATTCTGTGGCCTGCAATCAAAAGCCTTTACATTATTGTAAAAATCTTTTTTTATCTCCTGCACGTTTATGTTTTTGGCCTATCAATACACAACCTGATTCTGTGAACCTCTTCATCGCTCTCATCCGCAGCTTCCGGGTCTTGAAATACCTGTCCACTTAAAATGAATGAAAGCATTTTACTCGAGACACAATGAATGCAGTCTTGAATAGAGCCAGGGAATGACCAATGACCACTCCCTGGCGCTATCCTGGAGCCACAGTGCATCATTACCTGGGGATGGAAATGTAATCGGCCAAGGCGTTGAGACCGAATCTCCGGGCCACTGTAGTAGAGGGAGAAAATTCACGTGCCATTAAAAGCATTCTGTAGCAATGCAAATTTCCAAGTGTGAAGGTGAGGGTTGCCGACGGCCGACCTTGAAAGGGGCGTCGCTGGCGGTCGGGCGCTTCCAAGACCTCCGCCTGCGGCACCTCGGCGTCGTCCTCGGGGTCCTGGGGCGCCTCCTGAGCGTCCACCACGGCCGCGTCGTCGGCGTCCACCTCCCTGTCCAGCACCTTGCCGACGCCCTTGGCGCCCAGCTCGGCCAGCTTGTCGTGCGAGCTGCGCTTGCCGTGTCCTGCGGCAACATTGCACAATCGCCCTCTGTTAACATGGCCATGGTTGGTGGCGTCGCGAGTCTCAAGAAACACCAGCAATCTTTTAAAAAAAAGATTTTTTTTTTTACATTTTAAACCGTACTTACCACCCCAGCAGGCGTGGCCATAGCGAGAACAGCCACCTGAAAGCAAAAAGCAACGACAAGGGCTGAATAAGGGCGTGGCACCTTAAACCGTGGAGGAGGGAATTCCTGGGGACTTTGTGCTGCTCCACGGCGCCGCGCAAAGCCACGCCTCGCCTCGCATGCCCACGCGGGCGCCGCGGCGTGGGGTGCTGCGCTGTGGCTGCGCTGTGGCGCCGTGGTGACACCGTTCATACAAATCTAATTATCAGTTTCCCTTCCCCGCGGCGCAACGCAGGCAGAGTCGTGCCGCGCCCTGCCGCCCCACACAGGTTGGCCGAAATTCGTCTCGAACCCATCCGGTGTCAGTAATGAGAGCGCCCCTCCCCCCCCCAATCGCCGTGTTCACGCTTCATTTTCAGCCCGCCTCTCTGTTTTCGCGGTACAAGTCCACGATACGGCCCTGCCACTTTGTCACGCACTCGCCAACGCGGCGTTTCCTCATTTCGGATTTCAGACGCCATGCGGCTTGTGCACCCGGCCCGAGCCCGCACGGCCCCCGAGGACACGACAAGTTCAACTCTCCAGGAAAGCGACAAAGCATTGCAGAGGGGGTCTTTTAACGAGTATGACCCCCCCCCCCTTCCCGCAGGGCCTCGGGCATGGGCGGCAGTGCACTGCAATGCACTGCCCTGCCCGGCGCGCCGGGTGCAGCCGGTGCAGGCAGCCGTGGGGTGGGCCTGCTGGCCCCGACACTCCCGGTGCACGGCGATTTCTTCCACTTATTCCCAGGGAGGGGCAGGGGGCCTGCCTCCGCCACCCCGCTACGCGAGAAATGATAAAAAGTTTAAAGGCGCCTCCTCTCCTCCGCGCGAGGCAGCGCCACGCGGCGCCACGGCGGGAGGCACGCCGGCGTCGAGTGCTCATTGGACAACTACTGTGAACGCCGAGACACCTAAACGGATTAGCGCGGCGAGCGAACGTGGGGACGCGTCCAAAGTGATTGTGGCTGGCCGTGCGTCTGGGAAGGGGAGGGGGATGGGAAGGGGCGCGTGGGCCCCCGGCCCGGAGATTTTACTTAATTGTGGCTTCTTTGTCGAGGCAGTGGCTAATGTTTTAGTATTAACGCGGGCAGAATGGGCGGGTACAGCGGGGTTAAATCTAGCCCCCCGCCTCCAACCTTTTCCCCTCACATCTCCCACGCCACGCACCGCCCTCTTCTTTGGACCCAGAGACGCGACTTTTAGTCAACTTGGGAGAAAAGTCGACACGGAGCCCCCCTCCCCCTCCCCTTTTCCACCTCCTCGCCGCCCGCGTCGCTGCCGTGCGAGACGAATACTCCGGATTCCTGCAAATTCCTGGCCCCGAAAGCCGACAGCTTCCAAAGCGCAGCGCGGCAGCGCGCGTGCAAAGTGGTGTCTCGGCGAAGACCTCGGAGCGCGTCGCGTGTCGCGTCGCCTACACCGTACGCGGCACGGGCTGCTCACATGGCCCGAGCAGTCCCTCCGCGAAGACCGCCTTACAGCACTGCAGCAAGTGTGCATTCTCACCGCCTCCTCTAAACCGGACTGCAAGCCGAGTTTACGGTGCAGGCGGCCTCCGCGAGTGGGCAAAAGTCGTGCGATTTACACGACTTGCATTTTCCCCCTTTGTTGCCGCCTCGCCCATCCTCCCCCCCCCCCCCTCCCACGCGTCCACGCGTTATGAGGGAAGTTACTAAACCAGGTGGGAACCTTAGCGCCGGCTCAGGGCGGCTCGGCTAACGCACCGGGGCGCACCGGGGTCGTGGACGGGGGAGGGGGGAGGGGGCACGGTCTTGTGCCTCATAATGGGTCACTGTCCACGCGAGGCGAGAGGCGAAACGAAATGAAGCACAGACTTAATGCGGCCAAGGCAGAGTAAGGCCTACCGCGGCGTTTCTGAGAAATACAGAGAGGAGGTGCAATGCTCGCGTACGGCGGCTGCAGCAGTCTAGGCGAACCTCAGACCCGAGAGCCGCACAAGACAAGCACAAGTCCCGCGCCGTTCCGAACAAAAGTGGTGACCGAGCTGCCTGGCCTGCTGCGCCGCGCCTGCTGCGCGCCCGGTGACGCGCTCGCCGTCCAAAGTCCCACGCCAGTCCTTTGTGTGTCTTGGCTTTTGGTTTTGCAATCTTGCAGTCGCGCCTAATACGTTCGTCCCCGTATGTCCTCCCGCGATTTCCCTGGGGACGGAGCGCGAGGCTGGGGCTCGGCCCGACGCCGGATTTATGCGCGAGACAGCTGCAGACTGATTCCGCGCAGCGTTTCGCCTCGGTCTCTCGCACCCGTGTGGCGCGACCCGTGAGTGCGAGAGAGACAGCGGTTACCTACCTGTGGCGCCGTCGCACAGCCAGCAGAGGACCAGCACGGCCGCGACCTGCAGCAGGATGCACTCGAGGAGCTGCAAGCAGAGAGCGCGAGGATAGGGACACTCTGAGAGAGAAGAGAAAGGCACTGCTTGACAAGGGAGGTACACTGGCGCGGCGAGGAGCGCCCGGCGGGTAGGCAACTCTGCTGCTTGCGCGCACGGGTGTGCCGCGGGCTGGCCTATCTTCTCGATCGCAGGCGGCAGGCCGCGCCAGGCCCAGCGCGAGGCGCTGCGCTGGGACTTTCAAAAGCACGGAGAAAATCCTTTTAAGTATTTTGAGCACGTGCAAGGCACAAGATATTTAATTCGTTTGCGCGAAGAGTTACTTTTTCGCGAATCGCGTCTGCTTTTTGCCTCCTTTTCTGGCAACCCCGATGGCAAAAGTCGTCAAAAGTGTAAAGTTAGCACACTCTGGCTTAATGGTGATCGTTTCGAACAGTGCATGAGTCACACCAGGTGCTGTCAAAGGGGGTTCACATGTAATGATAGTCGCCTCCCCCGCCCGCCTGGCCGCAGGGTGCCGCACCCATGTCCCATGTCCCCGTGGGGCCGTGGGGCTGTGGCGCCGTGGTGTCACAGGTCATAAAGGCGTTCAAGCTCTGCCCTAATCTTTACTGGGGCTATTAGGTAAGACACGATCAAAGCCGTATTGGGCGCAACTCGGCCATCACCTCACCCACACATACACGCACGGCATCGTACCCACGGCAAACAACCAGGTGAGGGCATCACCATCGAAAATAAAAATGACCGACGAGGGAAAGGAACTCCGAGGCTGGAAACGGGCCAACGGGACGACGGCGGGTAGCTACTGGATGTCGATTGCATACGTTTTATCACATTTCGCGACCCGCCTTGGTTGAGCTCAGTCACCGCGGGCTTTAAAAGAAGAGAAGTGTTTGAAAATTGTGCAGCCGTACATTTTAGTAGAAAGAAATTTTTCCAACCGCTACGGGATGCCTGTGGATTCACATCCAGAAAAAGCGTTGCTTCGCGAGGCGGGGCTGCCTATCCGTGGGCAGCTTTGAGGCCGAAACGCTCGACACGCGAACAGAAGATAATTTCATCTTTCGGCCGGTTGTCTTAACGGGGGTACTTGCAGCTGGGCAGGGCACGTAGCTGTAAGCTTGCTGGCTACATATTATTTTGCACCGCTACTAAATAGATGAACGAATCGAGTAGACCTATACGTAAATGAGCATTTTTGGCCGAAAGTGCATTGAATTTTCTGCACTGCCGGACACACTGTGACACCTGCGAGACTTTGGGCCGCTACACTGGTGCTCCCTCGGCGGCGCCCTAAGGCCCTGCGACCTCGGCCGGCCTAGGCTCACAGCAAGCTGTCTTGAGAACGGCTGAGGACACCTAGCGCTAGAGCTTCCCTGCACGATGGCCCAGGGTCGGGGCGCTGGGCAGTGCGGCTTGCCAGTGGCAGTCCAGAAAGCACCTGCATGCAACTCCGGAATTTTGTCGAGTAGGTCGCGGGCCGCCCCGCAGAGCGTGCCGCGCTACATGACTCGGGGCGGTACCGGCGGGGCTCGCAGGACGGCCGTTACCTTCATGGCGCTGGGCTGCGCTGGCTGCGCTGAGCTGCGGACTGGGGCTCGGGTGACTCCGCGACGGTGCTGTGCGGTAACGACGGCTCACATGCCGGCACGGCGCGGGGCGGGGCCGTGGACGACGGGGAGGCTGCGGGCTGCGCTCTGGCTGCGCTGCGTCGGGGTGCTGGTGGTGCTGCGCGGTGCGGCGGACACCCCTCGCCGAATGGACTAGCTGCGTCTGGGCGTCGGTTTCCAGAGGAAGCACCTTTATACCCCGTTCCGTTGCGTTGGGCCGCGTCGCCGCCACCCCCTCCTCCCGGAGCACCTCGCCCACCCCGCCCCCGCACCCCGTTCTATGAACGTCGCCCCCGCGCGGGGACGGGACGGCCGCTTGTCCGCAGATTTGCGGACTCGGCTCGCCGCTTCACCGCGGCGGTGGTCACATTTCTTGTTTCCTTCCTGTCGAGAAGTGGGCTGTAATTGGAACTGAAAGTGAAAGTGAACGGGGGCATTGCACGGCCTCGCCTTGCCTCGCTTTTCAGCGCCCCTAAACGGCCGCAATAAAAGATGGAGCATCAAGGCAGCACCCGTATGGCTCGCAGGGCTCGCATCCAGCTCCAGGGCCGCCCCCTCGCCCTCACCTTCCGCCTATCGGACAGTCGAGTCCGGCCCGGCCTTGAGCCCGGCCCTGGGCCCGGCCCCAGTGCATGACGGCTCGGGGCGGGGACACGCCGGACACGCCACACTGACACGTCGCTCGGAGACCAGGGGTGAATGATTGAATTTCAGTCGCATTTCGATCACATAGTTAACACGAACTCTTGCGTTTACACCGAAATTCTTAGGCATTTAGCCGCAGTTTACCAAAAATTCAAAGTTATTTGCCCTTGAGTCGGACTCATCGGGGTCGGATATGACCTGCTAAACGAAATTGCCAATTAGATACCTTGTTCATCGCGCAGCTGGCGCAGCCAGAGCGGTTTTGGTTTCACAGGCAGATGCAGTTTCTTCTTACGACTACGCAACGCCGGATAAGGGCCCAGGGCACGCCCGCCGATTCCCCTGCAGATAGGCAACATGCAACTCGCACGAGAGCCCCCCGCCCCGCATCAAGCGTAGCAGACTGTCCTAGCGCATAGCGCAGTGCGATCAGTCGGCTTTGCGTCGTTTTGGCATCAATGTGTGTCGTGTAATGCAGCCCTCAACTCTGGGTAAGCTAGTTGTTGGTGAACTGGGTCGTGAAATTTTCAAAAAGGCAACTGTGAAAAAAGTAAAGTAAGTACAATCATAAATTTTTTCAAAAAATATTTTATTAGTTCCTGTCTAAAACGTATCACAGACAAATATCACTGCACCGCTGTAAACACATATAAGCCCAGTCCCTGAACTGACTGACAGTGCTGTCATTTCCATCTTCTTTTAAGAAACCACAGACCCAGCATAAAGTTACTCACTTCCTGCTTACCAACATTTCTCCTTTCCTCCCTAATCGACGATATTTAAAACAAATTTAAGTTGAAATAAAAAGGTAAAATTAAAATTCTTATAAAATGCAGCATCATATTACTACCATCTCCATCAGCCAATACTTCTATTTAACTGTTATGCTATTTATCAAATTAAGATCAAACCAATGCATGCATACTGTTAAATAAGTAACCAGATAAATAAGCGTAACCAATCATCCTATAAAAACTGCAAGCTTTACTAGTCACATAAACAAATGTTTAAATTTCATCGATAGGAAAAGGAAGATAGATTTCTGGCCAAAGATAAAAATTAGCTAAAAACTTGTCAACTAATTCTGTAAGCTCTGAGAAAGAGTGAGAAAAGTTACTGTAAGTTACTGAAAAGAGAAGAAAAAAAGCAGCAAACTTGGAATTAAATTGATTTGAAAAATTGAAACACCTTTCCCTATATTTGATCTGAAATGAGGGTTTTGAGAAGTCTGAGATAAATGTGGTGTTATAAAAGAAAATGTCAGTATCAACATTAAAGGCAGTACCTATTCAAATGGACAAATCAACACTTCAGTACCATTACTAAACAGATAGGAAAATGAGACCAGTCTTGGAATTGTTGCCTAAATGTAAAACCAGTTTGGAGTTTGTTATTTGGGATTATCATGGCCTCAACAAGACCAAGACTAGTCAGAAATTGACACAAACCATCAATACAGCATTGCCAACATTTACGATCAAAGAGCCAGCTAATATTGACCAAACAAGCATTTGATCGATTAACACAGGAAGCATCAGGCATGGGAAGCACCTAAGAACTATCATGCAAATGAGTTGTAGAAGCAACAACATGCATAATGCACCTTTCACACAACATGGACGATGAGAAAAGCAGAGAGAAACTCTTGTGATAAGTGGTTAAATAAACTGACCATTTGAAACAAGAAGAAACATATAAGTTACCTTTAGAAAATAAAATCTGCAATAAAAATTATAAAAAGAAAGGGCAAATTTGATGATAGAATAGTTTGAGATACTTGGAAAGTATTTAAAAAGTTGAGAACAAAGCAAAAAGATGTCAAACTTGTGAAATTATTCAATCATTAATAAATAAAATTTGAAAAAGCTGTACGGAAACAGACAAAATTGAAGAATGCTCCCAGGTGTAAAATAAGACTAGAAACAAAACAAATGAAAGGGTGAAAGATAAAATGTGATCTCAAATCTACACCAAAACATAAATCTGAAGATGACACAACTTTACAGAATATAAAAACAACTGGAATAGATATGTAGGTGTGGGTCATGGGGATGGGCTAAATGAAGTGAATCATCAAGGCAGTTAACAAAAATTTGGGTTCAGGAGTTGCTTAAAGGGGGCTTTTCAATCTCATACAAGTCACGCGAATGAACATCAAGGACCAGACCAAACCAATCCTACAATACTACAATTAAACTGGTTTGAAAATGAAACTCAGTTCCACTTAACACTAGTCTCTCCACTACTATACCTGCGAGTCCGTACCTAGAATTGGAGATCCGATCCACCTACCGTTCTGACGCTGTGTCAGCCTCCATGTATCCTGTCCGCTGCTACCTTTCAGCTAACAGCAAGTACTCTTGCTGACTTGAATTTGGCTATGTAAATTTGATGTTGATGAATGCATATTTGAAACAAAAATGGAAGAACCCCAAAACAAGTCTTTTAACTGCTGTATTTAAGTTTAAGCATTATTTAAAACATTGACTAGGGTATCAATTTTGTAGATATTCCTGACCAAATGTTCAGCTATGGGAAAGGCCTGTACATTAAACTTTAAAATCACAGGCCAGAACCCAGCATCAACCTAAACTTGCCAATCTGCCCCTGTAATGGCATGCATCACATTTGCCAAGTCCAACGAAACTGCATCTAGAGTCTGAGAGAACTCACGTGGCCTGATAACAGAGAGCTGAATGCTAGCAACAAACTACCACCAGGACTCCTAAAATACACAGCCTCTCATCACTACCAGATACATAGCTTCCATGTTGAAAAGTGACAATGTAAGAATTTATTTTTTGAAATTTATTATCAATTACTTCAGAAGATTAGTGGGTTTATCATTGAATTGTGTATGTGCATGTGTGGCTCCTCATGAGAAATAGGGTATGGGCATAATTCTATCTTGCAGAAAATAAAAACCTTCATATTTACTTTACTACATTTCTTTAAGATATCAATAAATACATAAAACCTTCCGCCGATTCTTAACATATACCTTCATAGAGACACTAACATCAGATCAGTGGCATCTTGCATTACAGAAAATTGTACATAAAACTCCTACAAACGGAATGATTAGTCACCTAAATAAAGAACTGAGGCATGTTCAGTCTGTAAAAGTTAAGGGGCCCTGATTTAGTGGAGAATGGGTGGTTTTATTTCATTAGGGAAGTACAAAATTACAGTTCATGCCTAGTGTTTGATCCTCCTGACAACCAGAATTAATTTAAAATTGTGATTAAGACAGGCTTTACAATCTTATTTGCTAAAGTCATGGTTTAAGCAGAAACCACTTCATCTACCTAAATCAATAGTGTTCCCTAATCACAACTCTCATGATTGCTGTAAATGGTTAAAATACCTCAATTCTAATGGTAAGTTGATTTCATTTGAATGTGTCACTTTACACTTTCAACAAGATTTGAATTAGATTCAATGCAAAATTCGCACAATACTGTTGAGTCCTAAAACTTAAAATTCCTGAGTAACACGCATAGTCACACGAACACAAATATAGTCCTTCACTAAGGTCAAATCTGCCAAATCTGGCAAACAACTGCTCATCTTCAAGTGGATCGGATCGTTCATCTGACTTGGCTAATCCAACCCTGACCAGAAAGCCCTACAGTACCATAACTGTATGCAGGCTGTAGAAGGAACCTAAACAACAGGGTGCAAAAACAACAACTGTTAGTAACCCATTTAGCTAACTGAAAATTGCTATTATTTACCCATTATTATTGATGCCCGCAAGGGTATAGCTAAAAGATCATGAAAATGTGTTCCAACAGACCCCTTAATCAGAGAAGTGGTTCTCATTATCTCTCTCTAATTGCAATGGGTATTTACTACAAGAAAATGATAGCCCCATGATTATAAACTGGTTGTAGCTAAACAGAAAGCAACTACCTATTACTATGAGAAGGAAAATATACGGGGAAGAGAAGCTGGGGAAATGTACAAATACACTAAACATAAAACAAAGCACCACCCCAAAAAAAGAGATAACCGCAGAGTTCTGAAAGCAAATTGAAGTTCACCAAATGCAAAAAGAAAATGCAAACATGAATTGCAGGGTGCAAATAAACAAAAGTGAACACATTGTCACGAATTACAAAAATATTAAGGAGGTAATGGTAGGTATGCGTAAGCATTTCCATTGGTTTGGCCAATCCTCAATCAGAAACAGCAGTTATCAGAGAAAGAAGCAAGAGGAAAGATATTTTGGAACTGATTACAACATTCCACTACAGCAGCATGCCTTAAAAACTGTTAGATGTCTAAATTAATAAATTATTCCCCTCTCCTCCCCCAAGAAAACACAAGAACTTAAAATACCACAAGGTGTTATGCAAATTTGGACTAATCTTACTTGCTTTCCTTTTTTCAAGTTATATAACAATAATTAAGTTTGGGGATGGAATGTTTTCATGAGAGCCAATTACCAAACTTACTCATTGCACACCCCAAGTTACTTTCAAAGATTTCCAAAATGACCAATCAAACCAAAATGACCTGGCAACTACTCAGACAAGAGACAGCAGCAGAAATGTTGAATAAGCATATCCTTATCACAGCTGTAGATCAACAAACTACAAGGATGAAGAAGAAGAAAAAACACAACAAAGACACATACCTGGTGTGGTTATTCGAGTGGCCTTAATATCTTCTGGCACCACCATACCCTCCTTGCCCACCTCCATAGCCACCTCCGCCGCCTCCTCCGCCCTGGTTGCCTCCGTAGCTGCCGCTACCGCCGCCGTGGCCTCCTTGATTGGATCCGTAGCCACCCTGGTTTCCACCATAGCCACCTTGGTTGCCTCCATATCCACCGCCGCCACCGCCTCCGCTGCCACTGCTGCCTCCGCCACCACCTGCGAGTAATTAATAGAAACGTCAATTCAAACAGGCCCAAATGACGCTACAAGAAACTAGAATGGCATAACAGCGAAGGCCTTACCCTTACCCGAGTAGGGCGCAGGCCGTCCTCCTCCGTAGTTGCCGCCGCCCCCTCGCACCGGTCCTCCTCCGTAGTTCTGCTGGTAGCTGCCCCCGAAGTTGTCGTTGTTCCAGTTGCCTCCAGAGCCGCCGCCTCCGCCGCCTCCACCCTGGTTCCAGCCACCGCCGCCGCCGCCGCCTTGGTTTTGGTTGGACCACGGGCCGTTGCCACCGTTGCCCCCGTTGCCTCCCCAGCCGCCGCCGCCGCCACCGCCTCCACCGCTGTAGCCTTGGTTGCCCTGGTTCCAGTCGTTGCCGCCGCGGTTGCCGCCCCAAGAGCCTCCCGATGGGCCCCCCCTTCCTGGACCGCCGCCCCCGCCGCCACCACTGCCGCCGCCCCCGCCGCCGCCACCCCCTCGACTGCCGCGGGACTGCATGTCTGCCATCTCTTGCCGGCTGAGGGCCTTCTTCACATCAATGTGCTTCCCTCGCAGTGAGTGATTCCTCTGCACTGTAAACAACATTGTATTATTAAAAAAATTATGAAATTGTGCAATGAGCACACAAAGCTATAATTTAAGAAAGCGACTTACAGCAAATCTTGTCAACAGTATCATAGTCGTCAAATTCGACAAAACCGAAGCCTCGCTTTTTCCCAGATTCCTTATCCATGACAATGGATACAGTCCGCACTTGTCCAAATTGTTTGAAATAATTACGGATATCATCTTCATCCATCTCTTCCTTGAGTCCACCAATAAACAACTTCTTTACTGTTGCACCTGCTTCTGGCCGGCCAATTTCCTTAACAAGATAAATGCTTGTTAGTTAAGCATAGAGGAATGCAATGAAGTTGGGGATAACCTGGCAGACACTTACAGTTCGGGGCACAGCCCTCTTAGGTTCAACCACTCTACCATCAATGCGGTGGGGCCGGTGCGCCTGAGCCTCATCTACCATGGCAGCTCTTGCGTATGTAATGAAGCCAAAACCACGGGACCTGACAACATATTACAATAATATAATAAGAAATTTGACGCTTAATAGAAGCTTAGCTAAACCAAGGTAGACGCAAAAACATACTTTTTGGTTTTGGGATCCTTCATGACTACAACATCCACTATGTCTCCCCATTGTTCATAAAATTTTTTCAAGGACTCATCTGTTGTTCTATAATCCAATCCACCAATGAAAAGCTTCCTTGTGTGTTCTGCTTCATGTGAGCCCTGGAAATAAAAAAGACCTAAGTGATAAAATGTCTCAACAGAGAAGTAAAATGGAAAACAAAGTGATGACTACTCTTCAAAGAAGTAAAGTACTGAGGCTGTCTATTTTTTTTGAGGGAGGGGTGATTTGAAGAACAGTTGAAACCAAGACCAGGCACAGAAGAAAATATCTGGTCGAGTTCTTATCAACAACGGGAAACAGGAAGGAGGCGCAAGAGAACGCTGAGCTGAGCCGAGTAAAAAAATATAGCGTCCCGGCCGCCCCTCGCCTCGCCTCGGGGGTAATGACCTTATTCGAGACTTCCAAGCCGGCTCAAAGCTCAAACCGTACGAAATATAAAAGCGTCGAACCACTTCCTGCGAAAGGCAAAATACAAAGAGAAGCAAACAAATTTAGAATAAAAAAAGAGGGCTGGAAAAAAATAATAATGAAAAAATATTTTAAAATTTCAGCAGAGCGTCCAAATCAAAACACTGGACCAGGCCCTAGGTCTCACTTACAGATTTGGTGTTAAAATGCGCATTAAACACAGCATATTCTTTGAAATTATGACCGTCGCCAGATAAATAATTTTAATTTACTATGAGATTGAAAAGGCGAGAATAACATCGAAGCGAAATGGAAATAAAAGTGCGGCGTCTCTGCCTATGGAAGCCGAGCATCATGGCAACAGAAATACAAATATGCGAGAAAAGAGGTAAATAACTTACTTCGTTATCCATGTGACCACGATTGCCGTCCATTTCTACTTTAACCATGTCAGGTGGCCAGTCCGAGGTCTGATTACTTTCTACTATTCCAGCAGAAAAGTGCACTTCTCCTCCAGCAGGAGGAACACAAGTCAAGGCCCAAACAAAATGGCGGGGATCGCAGCTCTTTTCCCCTCCCCTCTCCTCTTCTCCCCTCTCTAGATCAATACCAAAACTTCCGGCCGATACAGGGCTGCGAAAATTCACGGGAAAAAATAGTCTGCCCATCATAGAAAATGGAACGTGAATGAGAATGAGACTACTGGATGTAGATTCGGGTATTTATTACACTTCAAAGACAAAACGAACCAGAAAGAGACTTTGCTTCTGCTTTTCTTTTTAAGTGAAGAGTTGCGCTGGCACAACTGTATCCCGGCACCATATCCGCCATTTATTCATTTTTCTTTTTAACTTCCGACCGAAAGCCCTCGCCGAGTCGGCCATTTTGTCGAGTAAAGTGGAAAAGCCGGGCCGGGGCATAATCTAAGATTCCAGGTAAAGTTTCCCTATTTATGAGTATTCGTTGTACTTTTTGGGTCTATCCGCTCCCTATTGCATTCCTACTTGTTTGCATCGAGCCGTTCGTATTCGCCGCATTTCCTGCACCAAATTGTGGTGTACAAACTTACCGGGTTAAAGTAGTTGTGCCTACCTTCGGGATTGAATTTTTAGCTTATTTGATTGTTAAATGTGGCTCCAAATCCGCGTTCAGACGTTTCCATGGTCTCTGTTTCAAAACATATATAAGTTTTACACTCTCTGATATTGAAACATAATTGTATAGAATGGGTTATTTCTTGGTGGTTACTGCCTGTACTTGCCCAGAGCTGTTTTAATAATTTAGCACACCCACATTCAATTCCATTCGGAAGAGAATCAAGCTCGAAATTGCTTAAAACAGCTTGTTTTTATTTGGTCTGTATGCCCCAAGTGGATGTCCTTAATTTTGCACCCCTCGTTGTTTCTACTGTTGTTTATTTGTCTGATTCACCAATTGTTCTAGGTGTATGTCATCATTTCTTTGTACTTTCCAGTCTAAAATTTTGTGCCACTTTTCACTCTATTAGCCTTTTTTCTGTTTTTTTTACAGTCCTTTAAATACTTCCAACAATGGAAGATAGGCCACAGCGAGGTGGTGTTGGTGGCGGGTTTCGAGGTCGAGGCGGGCCACCTGGACGTGGTGGGCCCCCTCGAGGACGAGGCGGGTTTGATGGTGGTATGAGAGGAAGGTATGTCACATTTCTATTTTGCATATTTTCTATCATTCTTAAAGTTCCATTCAAATTAAAATTTCATCTTTGTTGTAGGGGAGGACCAGGCATGATGCGAGGTGGTCCGCCAGGCAGGGGAGGACCTCCACGAGGTATGGGAATGGGTCGTGGTGCCCCTCCAGAGAGAGGTGGATTCGTTCCCAGAGGAATGGGAGGTCCACGAGGAAGAGGTGGAGAGTTTGTACCCCGTGGTGCTGGTGGAGACCGAGGCACATTCAGAGGTGGTGAGTACTTTTCAATGTTAAAGTTTAAATGTCTGAAAATTTCTTTAAATTTGACTCATCAATTCCTTTTCATCAGGCCGAGGGCGTGGTGGCTTTGAGCCCAGGGGTCGAGGGGGCTTTGAACCCAGGGGGCGTGGAGGCTTTGAACCTAGGGGGCGAGGAGGCTTTGAACCCAGGGGGCGAGGAGGCTTTGAACCCAGGGGGCGTGGAGGTTTTGAGCCTAGGGGAAGAGGCGGCTTTGAAGGCCGTGGAAGAGGAGGTGGCTTTGAGGGCCGAGGCCGTGGTGGATTTGATAGGGGAGGACGAGGAGCCTCATCAGCTCCAAGTGACCGGTTTGGAGGTGCTCCTCCAAAACGCATGGGAGGCCCCCCTGTGAATGATGATTCTGCACCCAAGCGAGGTCGCTATGATGGATCTCAAGGAAGCAATGGCTATGGTGCTCCATCAAGGTCAGTATAAAATAAAATTGCTTCATTTTTATTGAATGGGCTTCTTATCTCTAGCGTTGTATATGTGGCTTTCTGCATTGTAGATTTGATTGTAATTTGAAGGATTTAAAATGTAGCATGTATTATAGTGAAAGTAGATATTTAGCTTTTCGTAGAGAGTAATTTCTCACAGTTTTTGTAGCACCCACATGGTAGTTTCCTTATCTGTGTTTTCTTTTGCATATTCAAGCCAATTTTCCTCTAATCAGTATGACAATCAAGGATTTGATGCATCATCCCATAGTAATGCTGGCACTGCTTATGGGTGAGTTTGGCCTTTTTAACAATGCAGCTAGCCTTTGTTTCTTCCTTCTGTGGGTGTAGGTCTCATTTATTTGTGCTTTGGTATGTGTATTGACTGTTGGCCTGTTCTTCTATGGTTTTTGTTTTTTAATCCTTTTTTATCCCCCACCTCCTTTTTGTTTGTTAGTTTGTTTGTTTTTGTGTGTGCCTAAGACTTATAGTTGCATCCTTTTCGTAATTCTCCCAAAGGGTACTTGTTTTGTAATTAATAAACCCAGCCTAATAAATTTTGTTTTTCAGGGGTGCTCCTCCTAACCAGAGCTACAACACACACCAAACATACAACTCTGGTGGTTCCAGTGGGGGTTACCCAGCACAGTCCTATGGTTCAGACCCACCAGTAGCTGCTGCAGGCGGCTATGGAAGCGGTGGTGGTAATCCCAACTACAGTGCTCCAGCAACTGGTTACAATGAAGAATATTCTTCAGGATATCCCTCTGCTCCTGCAGACAACAGGCCTAATTACAGTGCCCCTCAACCTTACTCACAGACGGAATCATACCCTAGCTATAATAAGCCTGCAGGTTAGAGTTTTGTTTGTTTTGTTTGCTTGTTCTACAGTTTTTATGCTACTTTCCATACTATATCTTCTTCCCTTTTCAGCACAAGATGACTATTCCTCTGGAGGGTACGGGAATGCTCCCTCTGGAAACTACCCAGCTGCTGCCCCCACTTATGATGATAGAGGGTATTCTAATTCTGGTTCTTATGGTGCGTTGAACAATTTTACCGTTGATGTCTATCATAATCTGCCAACCTTAATTTGATTTTTTTTTTTTTTAATAAGTTGTGACATCCTTTGGGTTATTGAACTTATTCTTTTTACAATGATATGCTTTTGTGTTTCAGACTCGCCGAGTTATGGGTCCAACACCTACAACAAACCTTATGGTGAGTACTACCACCCTTAAATATTTATTACTTTTATTTTCCTTTTTTTTTCGGTTGTTTTTGTCTTATAGTTTTGTCACTCTGGGACAATCATTTGGGTTGCCCTAAGATATGCCTCAGTGTTAGTTTGGGGAAATTTTAAGTTCTCAGGAAGTTGGAGAGATTGTGTTTCACTTTCACTTAGATGAGGGAAACATGCAGATATTTCTGCTGGGATTTTAAAACTGAATCATCTTAGTCTTCATGAAGCAGGTGCGGGTCATCAGCTCAGAAGCTATAGGTTTCTAGTACGAAGAGCTGGAGGACAGTGCAATATTTATTGAAACTTAAGATGATATTGCTGAAATTGGCATTGGGATAAACAATAAATTTCTCTGCACACACACCATCTTGTACAGAGTACCGTAGTTTGTCTATAAATTTTCATTTGGAGAAAAGAAATCTATAGGGTAGTTTTTCCACCTCAAACTATCATATTTCCATGTGAGAAAAAAGTGAGCATGTATGAAGCTGCCTTAATTTACCAGTTAAAACGAAGTGAGGTTTACATTACGCGTTGTTTCACTAAGCCATGAGCTCTTAGTGTATATGTGTGTTTTGGAATTAACCATGTTTCAGGCGGCAGCTCAGCTAGCTATGGGCAGAACCGAGATTATCAAGCACAGCGACGCTACTAAAACATAAATCAAAAATTGAAACTGCTAATCTTATCAGGCTATATCTCAAATTTTAATCTATTGATTGATATTGAAAATATCATATTTACTTCATAAATTATTGTGCTCTCAAATATTATTAGGAAGTCCCTTGTTAATAATTTGACGTTTTGACGAATACTTAGCGTAGGAATGATGCTGTGATGGTTGAAGCATCTCTCATATGAAAACTGTACATAATTCTTCATGTCATTGTTTTGAAGAAAAGATTATAAGTTATCTAAGAATCGTAATCATCTCATTTCAATTTTTATTTTGTATTTGTCAAAGAAAACGCATGTACATTCCATCATGGTTTTCTTTTTGTTGTGAAATTAAGTGAAGAATAGTTTAGGGCTATATTCACAACTACCTTAACACTCGATCTGTTACTTCAATGGGAAGATTTTATTTAAGTGTGCAATTTAAAGCTAAACTTTAATAAAAGCTTGTAGTAATTGATCTACACAATATCAGAGACTCACCTTATTTTGACCTTCATTCACCCTTAAGCTGCATTTTAGTTTATGTTTGGCGGGGGTGATCAGACCCTCGAACACTTCAACTCGGGTTTGGTTGTGAGCTGAATGATGCTTGTGGTGATCCAGCCATTCAGAGTATTGTTTGAAATGAAGACTGTGTAACTGAAAACCATTATTTGTATGAAGATGATTAATATTCTAGCACGCTTTCCATACCCACAATATTTTCTAAGTTGGTTCACTTAGACTGGATTATTTTATGGGCTTTATTATGGATGCTCTTGTGAGTTACATGCTGCAAAGTCCTGCTCACCTATGTGTGTGCTCTATTCACTCCACTACTGAAAATTGCTATACTTTATTTCTGCTTATTTGCCAGTGTGCCTTTCTATAAGTGGTCTTTGAAGGTCTGACAGAGACCATTTCAGTAGTTACTCTTCTTGGAGAAGTGGAGTTGCAGGTAGCCATTCTTAATTTTCCTCTTAAACTGGTAGGGGCTAGAAATACATTTTGTCAGGACTGGAACGAATCATTTGAGTGCAGCAACCTCAAAGACCGCTTGGCATTGAAACTGGAAGGATTCTACTCAGTGAAGACCGTCAAGATAATTTATTTCAAGTAAGTCTGGGAAAGTATGCTATTATTACTGGTAAAGCAGAGGTCTTGTCTTTAAAAAAAAAAAGAAGAAGAAGTAATGAAGTGGTTAAGCTCATTGTTAACCTTAACTTTCAACCCATTGTAGCATTGAATGCAAATGCAATGAAAGAGATAAATTGCGAGTAGTGAATGCTAGATAGTGAGAATTTAAATAAGATTTTCCAGTTCCATAGTTCACTTATGGTGCCATAAATCGTGTAGTTTTCTTCTAACAATTTTTCAGTTGGTGGATGCATTGCCTTATTTCTAATACGTGAATAAGTACCCACTACTGTACATCTTGAATCCAAGAACTTGACAGGTCTAAAAATGAAAGTCATTACTAACAAGCTACTCTGAAGGTTATGAAACTATTGTAAGTGTAAGTGAACACATTTTGTCATTCACAGTATTAGAAATGCTCTGATGTTTAAGTTAACTTGTTTTCGATTTGTTGCTGCATGAGGCAGATCCCTGAGTGGGTTTAAATCTATTCAACTCGTTTTTTTTTTAAATTTCAAAAAATAAAAACCTTTCTTTACATTTTTTTCTAATTTTAGGAATGTTGATTAGATTGAGCTGTCACCCATGCTTGACTCCCCTGTCTCCTTCCATCGTTTCTCCCCTTTTGTGTGCTTCCATTCGTGCTTCTGTGTTTTCTTTTCAATGAGACTTTGTTGAATTGAGATCGGACGATTAACTGAATGACTTATCTCTTTAGGATCAAGTAATATGGAGGCGTGGAAGTAAGAAATGTGCTAAATTTTAATTTCTAAGCTGGACTGTGGCCCAGAGGAGTGATATAAACATTAACAGATTCTGGCTATCAGTGAGAGAAACGAAGTGAGAGCTTGCATGCAGGAGAAGGTTGAAATTGGAAACTATACACTGTGATACAGAGTATTGGTGCCATGAAAGTGCATAGGTGTACCACGGGCAGGAGGAGACGCCATGAACAGTACCATTCTACTGTATTTTGATTCAAAATGCTAAATGAAAACTCCCAAATGAGAGAGAACTGAAAACGAAAGCTGTTGAGGTTTTTCTATATTTGTGGTGAGAGAATCTTTTCAAACTGAACGAAATGGAGGACTTTTGCCACTATTTATTTGCCGAAGCTACCTCTGGTGCACTGATTTCTCTATAGAATTAACACTGATTCGCAGCAGTGATAACAAACTGACTCTTGTGTGTGTGAAGTATAATTCATCTATCTAGTTTGGGTAAATTAGCAATAAACTATTTTCATTGATGATCATATGATCATTAAATTTGTCAAGTAAAATTTGTTGAGTGACAAGTAGACATTAACTGTTCATATTGTCGGTTTCTTTTCTGTGGTAATGCGAATTGTTTTTCAGATGCAACTTCTTTACCTCTGCCATTTTATATGACAATTTTTATGTTTTCAGGAATGAAATGGATGTTAGTGAAAGCTTCAGAATTCATGGCTTTTTCTGTTGAAACATCCAGATATTGTTGTGCAGCTCCTGGATGAAAACTGTAAGTTACTTACTTCTAGAGTACATTACTATTCAGTGGGCTTCACTGTTTGACAACTCCCCTCTTGATCTTGCAGTTTGGCTTCATAGATTGAGACTTTTTCTCTATCAGTGTCAATGGCTCAATGTCAATACATCTAACTATGTTGGAAATGATGTAGATTGTCTGTTCTCCACGTGAAAGTAAGTTACCTTAATAGAAACACTATCAATTTAGCATGTGACACCTGTATAAATCTGTTCTTTTCTTCATTAGGTATGCACTGGCAAAAATGTTGTGGATCCCACAAATTCTCAATTAATGAGACCATTCTCTTGTGCAAATGCTCTATGATATGTGGTGCAAGTGGGCAATATGGAAAATTCATGAGTATTGTGCATGGATGCAGATAGTTTATTATTCCATATTTCTCTTGCTTGACAAATAGGTAAATCATGTCAAAAATATTTTTGTTATATGGGTCATAATGTGCCATACCTAAGAATTAAGATAATCTTTCTCTCATTAAATCATCTAAATAAGACATAAACTTGAGTTTTTCCTCTTTTGTAGAATGAGTCCAAGCAAGTGGCAAGTGTGCAGAAACTGGTGCTCGATCTGGAAATAAATTGGTGTGATAATGATAATAAAGTAACTATTGCATTGCATAATTATTCTGAATCTACCTTGAAAGAAATTCCCATTTGGATAGCTTAATGCTGCGGGAGAAACTGCCAACCACGTAATTGTATCTGCCCCTTCCTCTGATGAACGAAGCCTTCCTTCCATACGTTTGTGAAAATCGGGGAGAGCAGAACGCACTGAAGGTGTATCAGCCCAACCAGGATGTGCAGAAGCATGGAAAATGCCACTATTTTCTTCTGCATACTGTTCAGCCATCACCACCTGAAGGTTATAAATTAAAGAAGCTGAACAGATTCTGATTCAGATGAAAAATGCACACTCACGTTTTTCTGCTTACCATTTGTCTTTTGTTCTGAGCATACGAACGCACACCATCAAATGGCTCCTGTTTTGAGAGCTGAGGATCGTCAGAGTCAAGTTTCTCCAGGAGCATGCCTCCAGAAGTAACCATGATGACTCTCCCATGATCAGACCTGTAAGGGAAAAAAAATTAAGAACACTTCTTTAATTTTAAGACTTCATTGGAGCAGTAAATTTAATTTACTTACTTAAGCAGTAGAGGCGAAAGGAATCGAGTTAAAATATGAGGAGACAAAACATTTGTCGCAAAATTATATTCAACTCCTTTTGAGTCAATGCGCTTCTCATGAACCATGCACCCAGCATTGTTCACCTGGAGCAGATTTTAGTTATTCGAAATAATGACAGTTACACATTTTAAAAGTAGTGCAATACCTACAAGCACATCCAACTTCTCATGACTATTTGCAAAATCTTTGGCAAATTTGTACACTTCTTCTGGAGCAGCAAGGTCAAGAATGTGTAAATGAATGTTCTTTAAAATGGAAACAAATCAGATATTAGTTTATAAGTCACTGCAAACCTCATGTCATCAGCAAAAATAACTCATTAACCTGATTATTTGTTTTTTCTATTATCTTCGCCTTGGCATCTTCTGCTGTCTGGGCATTTCTACACACCATGTGAACAGTCCCGCCCCGATTTGCAACTTGTTGTGCAACATTTTCACCAATCCCACTATTTGCTCCTGTAAGGGCACAACATAAAAAATAAATTTAGAGACTGACTTAAACCTTCTTCAGACCTTCCATGAGGTTTTGGTTAAAACAGACAACATACCAGTAATCATAAATACTTTGCCGGAACAGTCAACATCTAGATCTCCATCGTTGAACCTTTGAGATGCCGTCTGGTATCCGCTTCTGTGAATCAAAGAGCAAGAAATCAGTAAATGCAGCGAAAAGGGGCGGAACACTAGTTGCATAACTATTTACAGAAGAACCACAAGATTGCAAAAGAAACATACTTCGTGTATTCGCGAAAACCCTTCATGAACCACACGCATTTTCGGTACAATGTCATGGTAATCGGCTGCAAGCTATCACAAAAGCGCAGTAAACTTCAAAATGTCAAACAAACAAAAGTTTGGACTAGGAGGTTAGACTTTCTGCTTATCTCCCGGCCCGGCCTTGAAAACAAACAGGCAGTACAGGCAGCTTGATATATTTGAATCGTTATATTACTTGAGCGACAGATCCTTGCATTTCGATAACTTATCGATTAAATTATTTTGATTGTAGATGCGACATCATGAATGATCTTCTAAGGCAAATTATAACAATCAACTCCCATTTTTCACCTAATTTAAGGGGCGAAGGTTGGTAGACTACTTCCGGGACGGGGGTCCCCCTCCCCCACGGCCTCCCCTCCGCTACCCCTTAAGTTATCCTGCCAGCACAGTTACTCCGTTACTCTGTTGTAGCCTACCCTAGGAACACACTCATATATACTGTGGCACTGCTTCAAAAACCAATATGACGCAGAAAAAGATAACTTATGGGAGCAGCAGCCTCCATAGGCGAAAAGTTTTCCACGCCAAAAATAATTGTTTGATGTGCGGCAGTGAATTCCCCCCTGGCGGAGACGGCCTGCGTACCGCCCAACACGAAGAAACTCGGGGGTCATGGGAGTTTACGATAAGTACCAACGTGGTCCACTTCACTGGAAGATTATCAACGTGCAGATAAGGCAAGACAATATGGCCTTAATGGGATTAAATTCGTGCTACGAGATGAAATGATGATGCACGTCCCTGTTTGGAGGGTTGTAGCTCAACTTGCAGCCACTCAAGAGGAGTGAGCTTATGAAACGGTACATAGAACAGGCAACGCCACGCAAACGCAAGCACCACAGCAATGTTCATAACCAGTAACCAGTTTCGTAGATTGGACGAAAGTAAGCGCGATTTTGGCGCGCTCGCTTTCTTGAAAAGATTTGAGTATTTGTCTTCGAGTGAGGAAGGCGTCCTTATTTACACTTCCTGGACCCACCTTCCACGGCCCTTATCCTTATCTTTCATTAGAGAGAGCACCAAAGTGGACTCCATTCATAGTACCACGGAAAACTTCGTACCCGTCTTACGCGTCTCGTCCAACGAATGCAACAGCTTCCTTAAACCGATACACTTTGTATGAATAGATTTTCAGCGAGGTGACTTGGGATCAGCGGTTATGGATGCAGATCTTGCTGAAAAGGCTTCATTATTCTTCACCGTTTCAAGGATTTTTCCTCTCACCTTCGTAATCCCTCCCCTCCTAGCTCGGTCTTGTTTACTAACGCCAAATCCTGCAAAGGGGGGCTGGCGCGGCTGGCGGCTGGCAAAGTCACCCGTTCTTAGAATGACACCGTGTGGAGTGGCGGGGCCGGGCGATAATCGAGTATAAATGGGCCACCAGGAGGGCCCGACGCATTATCTCGCGAACGTTCACTCTCCGACGCATCCTCGCTAGAACATGAAGTCCGTGCTCGTGGCCCTGGTCGTGCTGGCGACGCTGTTGGCGGCCTCCAAGGCCGGCCCCGCGGCCGCTCAGCGCAAGCTCAAGCCCCTTGCCGAGGTCCTCAAGAGCGACCGCGCTCCGACCGCCGAGGACGCCGCCGTTGTCGCTGCCGCCGCCGTCCCAGTCGGTACGTCGCCCTGCCGTGCCAAAGGCAGCCAAAGGCCAAATGAATAGGGGACTCCCTGGCACCGTTCTGATCGTTCCGATCCAGCGGCGGCAGGATGGGCACCTGTCGGGCCCTTCGGCCATTCCGGGCCAAACCGCCTGGTCGGTTGGCCTAGACGTACCAAAAAGTTCTGACCACAGAAAAGCGCTGTACAGAGTTCTCCAAACTGCCCGCCTTTTGCTTCTTGTAGCGCCTGTGCCTGAGAGGTACGCCGTACGCCCATCCTGCAGCACGCCGGCGTAGCGACAGTGGCCTACCGTGGCCCTGTGAAACAACAGGCGCGAGGTAGGCCACCGTCTCCACAGTGGTGTGATGCGGGAGAGGTGTGATGCCTACCCCACAGGCGCTAGTCGAGAAACTTGTGCCCAAGCAACGGTTCGAGCTCACGGGGGTCCACTGCCAAGCTGATTTCTAATTTCCAATTCTCCGTGAAAGAGTATGTGTACGATGGGTGGCCTAATATCCCGGCGCTCGTCTTGCGCCGGCTCGAGCTTTTGCAATTTTTCATTAGCCCTTTCCCAACTGTACATCCCTAAACAGTGCTGTTGGTCGAATAGGACGATAGATCCCCTGGGCAAATTTCGGTGCACCAAGTTTAATGCTCTTTACTCTGTCCACCCAGAATCACGGAAAGTTGTCGGATGTTACGAGCCGGGCTGCAACTACCAATGCCAACGCTACCAGTACGCCGGAGGATATTGCAGCTGGGGAGAATGTCTGTGCTGGTACTAATAAAAGAACAATCAATTTAGGGTCTGAAACAGATTATTGGACACTCGTCCGCTTGGAGCCGGCCTCAGTCATCCAATCGACACCGCTACACCTGAGGCCCGTGGGGCGCCGCCTTATAGGTAGGCAGCTTGTCGGACACCAGACCCCGCACTTTCACCAATGCCACATCACGTCCAAATGTGAAGCAGGCCACTCAGCATGACAGGGCGTTTCCGTAGTGTAGCGGTTATCACGTGTGCTTCACACGCACAAGGTCCCCGGTTCGATCCCGGGCGGGAACACTTTTTCGGCCACCACTAATAGCCCCTGCGTGAAACATCTCACGAATACAACCCTTGTAATCAGAGTTTTTATTTGATTTCTACTTCAAAATCTTAAAATAAAGTTGTGACCATTTTGGGAAGGGTTCAATGATTTAAAAATACAACAACCATAACAAAGTATGCAGCAAGTTTCAATGTATTTAAGATGCAAAACTTTCAACATGAACAGCCAAATTGCTTTTCAAGATGAAGCATGGTTCATTCTCTTTGCTACCTGGAGACCAACACTCAGAAGTTACCTTATTTCTACAAATATTTACCCCTGAAAGTTCATTTCCCCTAACACATAGTTACAAGATAATAAATAAATAGATTCTTCTTTTTTTAAAAATTAGTAGATAACAGGAGTAGTGTAGAAGATGATGGAAGTTTCTTATATGTGCACAATTCACAATTCAAGTGAAATAATATACATCACAGCATTAGGTCTGTAATTGAATAAAATTGTCCCCGCAGTATTGGTTTTGGCCCCTTGACGCATTTACAGAATGATTGTTATTTTTTTCTAAAATTCTTTTTACTGCTCAAAAGCAGCATTTGCTACAACACTTGGATTGTTCACAACTTCTCCTAGTTTCTCCAGAAGCTCTTTACGGTAATCATCAAAATCACCATCAACTTCATTAATTGTTTGATCTTCTATCACCCAAAGAGTACATTCAGTGTCTCGAATGAGGCGTTCATCGTGAGAAACTATTATCACACCTGAGGCAAATCAAAGAGAATGTTAATAAACAAACGAGTATTAATAACTACATCAGGACAAACAAAGTATGCCTTACCTCCAGCATAGTCATTTATAGCATCAGCCAGAGCATCAATGGATTCAATATCCAAATTGTTAGTAGGTTCATCCTGAAATGTAAGGACAAAAATTGAGTAAGTCTGTGCAGTTTGTACTTTAACATAATGTTCATAAACACATTATACCATACGTACAAGAATAACTACATCTGGAGCATTTAAGCATAACTCAGCCAGAGCTACACGTGCCTTTTGGCCACCAGATAAATCCTTCATTTTAATGGTGTGAGCATGGCTGGAAAGACCAAATGTACCAAGCTGTTTACGGGCCTTTTCGTAAGGCAGATCAAACAGCCTCATCAGATATTCTGAAGGGGTCTCTTCGGCAGTCAAATGTTCTCCTGAGTGCTGATCAAAACGACCAATATGCTGAAACATAAAGAGGTATCACAGTAAGGAACCATATGAACCAAGAACCTAAGCCATTTGAGCATTGCTAAGTGTTTGGTTTGACCAAAAGGTGCCAATATAACTACATAACCTTAGCATCTAAACCGACAACAATGCAAGTCAATTCAACAATGATCCATTCTTGAATCCTTCGCCTCTTGCTTCCTTTAGAAGAAATTTGGCCACATTAACCAGTATCACCACACCCCCTCTCAAAAATGTAAGTCTGATGACTGCTAATGTAAAAAATTAAAATTTTAACTATTCAGTTCAGAAATTGTGCTATTTTACCCTTCAACAGGGGGTGTTGTGTTTCTTACTTGCCATGCAATAAGATGACCCTCAAAATAGCAGCAGATCAAAGTCACATAGGAGCATCATTCATGGAAATACGAGATTTAATAATCTACTTCTTCTATATGATTATGCTGGGAGTATTTACATTGGGAGTTTACACCCAAAATGCATTTCACCTAAATAATGCAATTGCCAACAGTTTCATTCATCAGCCATACTATTGTGACGATGACCGCACTAACATTTTTAATGTATCATCCATTGATGAACTGTGGTGCTACTTGAACCAACGCTTCATAGTGACTCTCAATAACCACCCATTCTGGGGACCTATCGGCACTCAAAATGAGACCTTCCTGTTGCGACAACCAAGAATTCGCCAAGTTCGAGTGATGGAAGAGGAATGCCTTGTTCCAGTAGGAAACCTAAAATGTTATGGAGAGTTCTCAACATCAACAGAAGAAAAAGGCCCTTTTAAGTTCTCAAATGACTCAGCCTGGGTTTACAACCCACCAGAAGAGATGGGGGACATCTGGTTCAAGGGATTGGTTTCCTACTACAATTCAGCTGGTTATTATTTTACCATAAGTGATGAATCACAACTGGCATTCTTTGAAGAAAATGATTGGATTGATCAACAAACAAGAGCACTCTTCATAGACTTTACACTCTATAATGTTAATATAAACTTGTTTAGTGTGTGTCAAATAATGTTTGAACTCCCACCTACAGGTGGCATTATTCCTTCCTACTTATTTTCAACAGTTAAGCTGATCCGTTACAATGACAAATTTGACCATGGGGTAATGGCATGCGAGTTTGTATTTCTAGTTCTATGCATTTACTACACAATTGAGCTTATTCTGGAGATATGGTACTTCAAATTGAGCTTTTTTAAAACTGTTAATAACTGGATAGATGCATTCATCTTAGCACTTTCCTGGGCAAGTATTGGATTGCTGAGAACCAGACATGAAGCAAGTCTCTCCATCATTTGGGATGAGGACACAAAGAATATTCAAGAATTACCCGACTATCAAGAACTCAAATATATCCACCTGACAGTTGATCGAGTGACTGCTGTCACATTGTTCTGCACCTCTCTGAAGTTTTACAGGTAAGAATGAAGCAGATGTGCCTAAATCCAACTCGTGATAAAATAAAGCAGAAGTATTCTTGTTCCAGATTTATCCATTTTGACACCATTCATCAATTATATACAACACTCCGGTACTGCTTCAAGGATATGGCAAGTTTTTGCTTCCTCTTTTTTATAATACTATTTGCCTATGCAGAACTTGGAACCCTCCTATTCAGCAACTATGTAGAATCATACAGAACAATAGAGGAGTCTTCATTCACTTTGCTAAGGATAATGATGGGTGAATTCCATTACCAAGAGATAACAAGAATTCTCAGCGTCATTGGTCCTCTTTACATTGTCAGTTTTGTCATGTTTGTTGTCTTCCTCCTCTTGAATATGTTTTTGGCTATCATCAATGCTACCTATTCAGTTGTCTCAAGTAATGTCAAGGTTACAAGAAAATCAGAATATATACCATTTTTGAGCCACTGTTATAGAGAAATTGTAAAACGGTTTCAACCACCCAAGACTGAAAAGAAGGTCCAAACAAAAAATAACAGTGATAAAATCACTGCGTGTATGAAAACTAGTGGATTTTCAGAACTAGAAATTGATGCATTTTACTCCAGATACACAGTGGACAATAATAGAGAAATTCCTGATGAAGTTTTCCAAAGAGTTGTGCACCAAAATGTTGCAATCAATCATCTCTTCAAGTTAAAATCAAGAACAAAAGTCATTCATAAGGCTGTGCAAGAAGTGATTGCAAAGAAAGAAATTTTCTTGGATAAAGTGGGGCACTTAATGCGAAGATGAGGATTGGAATGATGCTGTAAAAAATGATTATGACAAATGCTTACCAATCTGTGATTCCTCTTAACATCTCCTTTAAGTGGTGTCAGATCCCCAGTCAATAGTTTCAAGAAGGTAGATTTGCCCACACCGTTTGGTCCAACTATGGCCACTCTTGAGCTCAAATCTATACCAAATTCGCAGTCTTCGAATATGTTCTTCTGGCCAGGGTAAGCAAAAGTAACATCTAAAACATGAAAAATTAGACTTTTAGGCAAGTTTTGGTGCTGGGTCTGTAGGCAGGCAAGAAAATTCTTCCCAATTACTAGAGATTGCACATTGAAATAGACTTACTGTGGAGTCCTAGGATTGGAGGTTGAAGAGGCGGGGGCTCAGGGAATGAAAACTTAACAATGTATTCCCTAGGCTTCTGTAGGAGCTCAGTTGGACCACTGTCATCCTCTTGCTTCTGAATTTTTGATCTGCCCTTTTCCTGTTTACGAGTCAAAGCTTCTTTCTGCTTCTTTTCCTGGATATTATACACAAAGTTGCCATTTTAAGTCAAGCATTCAATAAAGGTGTCACAATGAAAATCCCAGGATGAAAATGAACTTACTGCAGCCTTCTTAGAAGAACCATGAGATTTCAGGTCCTTTATTCTCTTTTCTTGTTTTTCATATTCTTTAATCATTTCTTTCCTCTTCTGAACATACATTTTCTTGAACATGGAGTAGTTGCCCTTATAATAATGGAGTTTGTGCTGATCAAGATGAATTATGTCAGAGCACACATTGTCTAAGAAACTCTGGTCGTGAGAAACAATGAGCAGAGTTTTCTTCCATCCTTGAAGATAACTGTAGAGGAAAGTATGAGAATGGGAAAAAAAAAAAAAAAAAACACATAGTAAGAAAACAAGGACAACATAAAAATATCAAGACATGTTTTAAAAGAACTCACTTGTCAAGCCAGATGACAGCATTAAGATCCAAATGGTTTGTAGGTTCATCAAGAAGCAAAAGTGTAGGTTCAACATAAAGAGCCCTCGCAAGGGAAACTCTCATACGCCAACCACCAGAAAAACTATTTGTTGGTCTATTTTGCATAGCACGAGAAAATCCAAGACCAGCCAAAATACGCCGTGCTTTGGGTTCTGCAGAATCAGCACCAATTGCTTTCAGTTCATCATAAATCTGCAATAATTAAAGCACTTAGGTGGGACTCTTCAAATGCAGCTCAACTTAAAAATGACTAAAGCAGCAGCCCACCTCTTTAATTCTTTCTTGACCAGATACAGTTCCAGCTTCAGGCGAAGCTTCTAACTTCTCTAGTTCCTCCAGGAGAGCTGTTCTTTTAGTATCAGCTTTCAGGACCACATCAACAGCACTTGCGTCTTCTGCAACTACTTCTTGTTCACAGTATAGTATGTCAATATTGGGAGGAATTGCAAATTTGCGAGCAGCAATGTGCCGTAGTAGAGTTGTTTTACCATGACTGGAAGTAAGTGAGCGCGTTAAAGGAAACATAATTTTTTTCTCACCAAAACTAAAAACAAATATAAAGTCAAGGACCTACCCATTAGGGCCAACAAGACCATAACGTCTGCCATGAGCAATAAGCAAATTTGCATTCACAAACAAATCATTGCCTTTGGCAGAAATACTAAAATTTTCAACTTTGATATCAACAGCATTTTCAAGAGCTGCAATTTGCCCTGCTGACTTCTGAGCTTGAGACACTGTAAAGTTCTCATTAAGATCACTGTGACCCTGACCACCTTTTGTAGTAAGCACCTCCATTTGCTTCTCATACTCCATCTGGAAATAAAATTGAAATAAAGTAAAATCCTCCCAACACATTAACAGAGTCCTATAATATTCATGAAGTACAAACCTTTTTCTTTAATTTCTTCTTTTCTTTGCTGGTCATTTTTTTCTCTAAGAAAGGCAAAAAGAGTAAAGTGTAATGTTAGAGACAAGCACACACTATAAGGGACAAAAATTTTATCATATGTTGCAACCTTAAAACAATTTTGTGATATAGAAAGATAACATGTATTTTAACAATTCTCCCAATAATGCTCATTAAAAAGGACTACAAGAATTTGAAGAATTTAAGAACTATGAAATAAATCTGGGTCACTTACCAGCTGGTTTGCCACTTTCATCAGATTTATCTGCATTCATAGTCTTACTACCATCTTCAGCAGACTCATTCCCTTCATCAGTCACCACAGAGGTCTTTACAGGCTCCTCGTCTTTGAAAGATACTTTCGATAGCTTCCTGGAAATTACTTCATCCTCTTCTTCACCTTCACTGGAAGACCGCTTTGCGGAAGTTCCTTTGAACTTGGTTAAACCTGCTGGTTTCTTTACAGGTTCTTCATCTTCCTCCTCCTCCTCCTCCTCTTCACTTAAGCTGTCATTGTCGCTCTTAACCTTTGCTTTGGCCTTTTTCCCCTTTTTCGCTGCAGGTTTTGGAATGTCCTCTTCATCGGAATCGCTTTGTTTCTTTTCCTCATCACTTTGGTCACTCCAGTCATCACCTTTTTTGCCTTTCTTACCCTTCTTCTTAACTGTTGCTTTTGGAACAGGCTTGGATGTTGTTTTACTTTTCTCTGATTCATCGTCACTTTCTTCACTGCCACTGTCAACTTTCTTCTTCGACTGCTTGCCTCCCTTCTTTTTTGATGGCTGAGCGATATTTAAAACTTCATCATCATCAGAAAGCTGTGTAAGTTTCGACAGCTTCTCTATCTTTTCATCATCATCGCTCCAGTCATCATTTTTCTTGGATTTCCCCTTGGCCTTTTTCTTCTGAGCTGCTGGTGGCTGTTTGGCTTTGGAGGTTACCTGCTCCAGATCACCATCGGCGTTTGACTTTCCTTTCGTTGACGTCTTCTTCGGCTTCTCGTCATCGCTGTCAAAGTCTGGGTCTTTCTTGTTGCCCTTTCCCTTTTTCGGGGCCATGGTGTACACGGTCTACTGACGTTGAGTTGTTTACGAAAATGGGTTCGAACACGAGCAGTCAGCAGAACAGCTGCGCGTGTGCGTGTTCGAAAAGACAGGAGACAGGACGGACAGACAGACGGACGGACGGAAGGGGAGGGGGAGGGGTGAGCCATATCTATTCGCACGATTTGCAAGAAAACTGCGAATAGCTGAGAGTCCGCCTGTTGCTTGAGCGGGAAAATTAGAGTAACTCAAGTGAGAAATGAGAAAAAACAAATATCTGGTTATACAACGGCTCTGGTTGTACATAGTTTATTATAATATATTTCATAATTTCAAAAACTATGTACAAAAAATATATTTACAAATTAATTTTTGTATAGGACTAAAAATTAACAGCCACATCATGAAAACACATAAAAAAGAAGCAGCTTTACTTCATTTTTTTCTGTTTAATTAAGTGGTCACGAAGAGCGATCTGCAAGGAAAAATTGGAGCATATAAGAGTGTGATTTTTCTGGTGACAGTAAAAAAAATCAGGGAAAAGGAGGAACACAGTGACTGGAGTAAGTACCTGTTTGTCCTTGAAGGAACGCTTAAGCTTGCCACGAACTTTGTGCTTCAACATCATGAAGTTCTTGTTCTTTTTCTTCTCTCTGTTGGTTGTACTTGCGTGAGGATTTACCCTGCCTCCCTTATATCCAAATGCAGATCGTTCAGCTCTATCCTTCTGCAAGGTTAATTAAAAAGTTAAGTTAACATTGATTGATATGGCTCACTTCCAGCTATTGCACAAAATTTCCTGAAACAAATGAAATTACCCTCATGGTTTCCAGACGAGCTTCCAGGTCATGACGTCGCTTTTTATAAATGTTTTCAATATCATCCAGACGCACAAGTTCACCCCTAAAAATACAAAAAAAGGCTGATTAAACGAAAATTCAAAGGGACAAGAGGCAAAGATTATCATGAGCGAAAATTTACCTCTCACGAAGAGCATCATCTTCAGCTGATCTCTTTAGCCCTTGTTTAGAAACCAAGTGCATTTGCTTCCGAATTTGAGCTGCGTCAATTCGCTTAAAATCTTCATCTGTGAGGATTCGATCTAGCATTATTTCTTCAGCCTTGGCTTTCTTTTCCACAACATTTTGGCGCACCAACTCTTTTCTGGTGAGCTTTGAAGATTTGCTAGACTTTGAATTCTTCTCTGAAGTGATCTGAAAATGTAATTTTAAGAGACCAATTAATTTCTAAAAACTTGATACAACAAAATAAAATTTGCGATATCCAAATTGCCTTGACCTTGCTCCTTGAAGAACTTTTGGCCTCATCAACATCTTCTTCTTCTTCTTCATCATCTTCTTCCTCGTCTGAGCTGTCTTCATCATCACCAACATCTTCCTCATCACTGTCATCCTCACTCTCCTCCGTATTTTGTTCTTCATCACCCCCTTCATTGTCACATTTTTCTCCGTCCTCCTCTTCATTCTCTTCTTCATCCTCTTCAACCCACTCCCCTTCACTCTCATCACTACTACTGATTTCAATTCCTGATCCATCATCACCTACATCAACCCAGCTGTCATCACTGTCATGCCCAGATTGATTAGTTCCCTGCAAAAAGTGTCCGGATTTATTTCATGAGTTTATCACAAAGCTATTTTAATAATTGATATCATCATTGAAGCATACCTCCTTTGCCTTAGCCGGTTTCAGCAAAACCTCTGCTCCAGGGATGTAACTTTTTGCATCAACTTCACCATATTTCAAGGTTTTTAATTCATCTGAAGCTTCCGTTGCCCTACCCTGAAATCAGAGTTGTGCTGAATTCCTAGTTTATTATATCAGAGAGAGCAGAATAGAATTTATTTGTCTTACCCGATCTCTCTTGTGCAATAGTTCAGGTTGATGCTGACGATAAAGATGTATAAGAGAGTGTGCTGCCATACCCACACTTCTATCCTTGTATTTCTTGTATTCAGCTAGATCCCTTAATAAGTCCTCAGACATTACCAAGGGACAGCGTCCACAAAATTCTCGAACTGCATTCAGACTGAATACAAATTTGTTTTAAAATAATATACACCATATTGTGTTGTTTACAATCAAATTTGTGAATATAAAAAGAAGTTATGGTAATATGTCTTAATAATGCCTGTCGTGTCTACATACCCAATAGCAATGACATCTGAAGAATTTCTCTCTGTTATAAAGTTGTTCACTATTGTCCTCAGCACTGGTTCTAAAGTCTGCAAAAAGAGCATTAAATAAATTTAGGTGGTAAAATTCGAGCAAGGCCATTAATTAGACTCTAGGAAAGCAAATAAAGACAAAACATACATCTGGTGGAACCAATTCATGGGCAGATTGAGCAGCAAACTGAAGAAGTTTAGTGACCTCTGGAAACAAGACATTTACAAAAGTTAAGTGAGTTGTGAGAATAAGTGAATGAATTCAGTAAAGAATAGACATTTTACCTCTCTGGTGAGGTTGAATAAAACGCTGAATATACGGGTAGAAGTTAAAAAGAAACAACTGATGAAGACCAATGAGTCTCGAGATCATGTCCAATGTTAAGAGTTTCACCTCAAACCTTTCGTTTGTCTTTTCGAGCTGTTTAAATAGTTTCTCAGCAAGACCTTTCAAAATTAACAAAGCATACAGTATTGTTAAAATTAATTAATGGGATTGAATATCACAAAAGTAACGCATGTTATTGAATGATTACCTTGAGGATCATGCACTAAATGAAGAGCAGAAAAATTGAACACAGGCACAGATTCCTTCTTTTTCTTTTTCTGGAAAAGAAAAACTGGTGATTTAGCAAGGATGTAAGAGGGAGAGAGGGATGGTGAGCTTTTTATACCTTCACTAGCTGTTGAACACGCTGTAAATTCTTCTCTCTTTTCCTAGTCTTCTTGTTAAATTTGTTAGCCAGCATAACATCTTTGGGCTTCACTTCATCCTAGGATTGAATTTAAAAAGATAACTTAGTATATCTGCAAGTAAACTGACACTAAATTAGCTCAGGCAATGAAAAATACCTCAGAATCACTATCCTCCTTAACTTCTTCGGTGTCTGCTCCAGTGAAAAATTTAAGAGCAGCAACCATTACCTAAATAAAAACAAATAAAAGAAGACCCTTTAGATAACCCTGAGTGCAAAATTTAGTGCTCATACATCATATTACCACTTACCTTTGTTACTCTTGAAAAACAGGCAGTAGCAATAACATTGACTGTTTTGGCATCACGCCAAATGTTCTTCCTATACAGATCTATCATTATGTCCTTAAAAAAAATGTTAACAAAATCAGTAAAAGAATAACTAGGGTGATTAGCAGAATTATCACACAATTACATGAGATCCACTTACTAGCGACACTTTTGCAGCCTTGGGGTTGGAGTCATTCAACATACTGTACATAAAATTCTGAAGAGACTGAAATATAAAAAATGGGAAAAATGTTATGCTTGAACCAAGTGTATGCTTGAGCATAAAAACCAACATAATAAGTCCAATGTACCGTATTCAACTTAGTGTTTTTGTGCTTTGAATTGACATTTTTAATGTCAGTAATGATGTGAGTCTCAAGAAATTGCCGGAGCTGTTTGTCTTGGCATCTCAGCAGATGAAAGAAGAGAGACAAGAGGTCTGTTGGAGCCAACAGGTTCTTGTTACGGAGCAATATCAAGGCCCGGCAAAATGTCTGCAATAAAAGACAAGGTATAAAACCTAACTTGAGATGAACAGAAAAAAGGCTGATGTCATTTGGAATAAATATCTTACCATGCGCATTCCGGGGTCAAGAACTGTGTGATGAGTTTGAAGTAAAGTCATCAGCTCCTGAGGATACAGCTTGAGTTCCTCTGAATAGCACTGAGCTACTTGTGCCAAGAACATGACCAACTCTTCTAAATTCTTTTCATACTTCTCTGGATGCAGCTTGAAAATCTCCAGAAGAGCTGAGTAGTGGCGGTACTGCTGAGCAAACTGAAAAAAAAAAACAATGAATAAAGTAGAAAATGGCTTATGATGCATTGACTAAAACATTAAAAGGTACATGTTACATACCTCATCTTTATAAGACGCTGGGTCTCGTTTGATGAGGTTCTGTAGTTGAGGAATATTATTGGGTAGTTGATTATTGTGTCGCACCATTTTGATGTGATCCTGCAAAATAGACACATGAAGGCATTCAGACAAAAATACATAACACATTTAAAAAATAATTTAAAAAATCAGATGGGCACAAAAGAAATGTCGGATAAATATCTCATAATTTACTCCCGAATCAAACACAACACAAAATGTTGGATGTCCTTTCTGCCTTAGAACAGAGGACTCGAAATTTAAATTGGCGACGAATGCATTATGGTCCGCACCCCAACAATACAATAATTGGAGAATTTTAATCCAACACCCTATCCACTTTCAAAATCACTAGAGACATTGAAAATAAAAATAATTACGAAGTTAGAACTAACCTACGCACCTTGCAGTGCAGACACGTGTGACAGAAGATGCAACCAGCAACACTATTCTCATACTTCTTTTCTCGTCAAAATTCTCATACTACAAGTTGCACCACCTACACTTGCAAATGAAACGAAAACTAAACTAAAGAAAATATTATTTCGGAACTTACACATTGTCATTAAGGTCGTTTACGTTTTCTTAATTATTATAATTTCAAAACTTTCACACATTTATCCATTTTGAAAACAACATAAATTGCAAAAGCATCGTAACTAATTTCTTGTTGGAATGTTGGTAGAATAAATGTGAGTCGTCTGCTTGCCGCAGTTTTTACTTTGAATTGGGAAAATTATCTCAATTGCGTTGTTTATTGAATTGTAATTTTTGATGGCTGGACACAGTACCGCTCGGAAACTCCCTACCTGGATGACTCGAAATGTAAAATGATCACAACCTAAGTCAAAACTGTTTACCATGTTAAAATTGATAACAAATTTTCTAACCTTCTGATGCATGCTCTTTCATTATGACTTGTCTGCCGTAGGTTTCTGATGTTGAAGAGGAAACAAAGAGTCAGCGAAATATATCATTTAGAGGCATCATCAAATATTGTTCAAATGTTGACGATCTAGGACTAGCATGTGAATCATTAATGTGAGACGTGATATTCAATACTTTTCGAGTCAAAGATTTCCTTGTTGTTTTGATCAGTTGTCTTCCTCCGTCGGAATCAAAGTTAATTTTCATTCATAGCCCTTTTTATCTTAGTTATTAATATTTCCCTTGGTTTCAGATCAGAAGCTGATAGAGAGGATGAACTGATTGTAGGTTTCGATGCAGAGTGGCCTGTTGATTTTACACAGGGTTCTGGAAAAATTGCCCTCATTCAAGTCTGCATTGATGAAAGTACCTGCTACCTTTTTCATGTAGGTGTGCCATGTCTTGTGTTTTAAAGCATTTATTTATACATTCAATCTTCTTTTATTATTTTTAGGTCAGCCTTATGAGAAGTTTGCCCAAGATTTTTATTAACTTTATTGAACATCCGAAGGTGAAACTTGTTGGTAACTGTATAAAAAAGTAATCATATTTAGTCTACCAGTTTTGATTCACCTAACTTCTTCCTTGTGCATAACCAATTTTGATCTGTTTATTTAGTGATATTTGGAAAATCGGAAGAGATTTCAATTTACCAGTTTCTAAACTTGTCAGCAGTCACCGAGTCATTGATCTAGGGGAATTTGCTAATCAAGTCCTTCACTGTGCCCAGACTTGGAGTCTAGACAGGCTTGCACTGCATCTGGTATGTTGCAGTTTATTCAACTTCCACTGGACAAAACATGGATCTTAGACAACTTTTCCTTACAGATGTCGATGACTGTTGATAAGGCTGACTCTATCCGTAAAAGTAGGTGGGATTTGGAACTTTCACGTGAACAGCAACTGTATGCTGCAACTGATGCTTATGTGGGTATCTTCATCAATTTTAGGTTGTCAATTCTGGCCAGAGGGTAGATCTTTCACTGAAACATTTTATTCCCCTGTCTCCAGGTGTCCTTGGCTATTTACAACAAGTTGAGAGCCAAACAAAGTCAAGTGGCTTAAAGAAGAAAGAAGTCAAAGAAATCAAATTTTCTGATGCCATGGCTCATGTTGTACATGTTTGGAATGTCGGGCGTATGACATATACGCCTGCTCTTCGTCTCCAAAAGCATTTGACTGAACGCTACAAGAGTGCCATTGATAGCTCATCCAATACAAAGTCTATCAATGACATTCTTCTTCTAGTAGAGCATGATCCAGTTTATACTGTTGGAATCAGAAATAGAGAATATGATAAGAAAGAAGAAATGAGATTAAAGAACCTTGGCGCTGAGTTTCACAGGACCAACCGTGGTGGTTTGATTACTTTTCATGGTCCAGGCCAGCTTGTGGCTTATCCAATTATGAACTTGAAAAATTTAGAGAATCCAGGTGTTCGTTGTTATGTCAGTGCAATAGAAGAAACCATAATAATGATGTGCAAAGCATTTGGCATCAGGGCTGAAAGGTCACCACACACGGGTAATAAAGACTGATTTATACGCTTATGTTAATTTTTGTGGTTGCTCGATAGACTGTACTAGCTTTTTCTTTTGCTCAAGGTGTGTGGGTCGCTGACAACAAGATCTGTGCCATTGGTATTCATGCTAGTCGATATATAACGTCTCATGGACTGGCGTTAAACTGCAATACAGATTTAAAATGGTTTGAGCACATTGTACCCTGTGGTATTGAGGGCAAAGGAGTAACGTCACTGACAAGAGAACTTGGTTTGGAAATGTCAATAAATAGAACAATTCCGCACTTTCTTAGGAGCTTTAGTTCAACTTTTAAATGTAAACTTCAGCCTTTGCCTCAAGAAAGTGCTGAGCTTCTAATAGCAGGAATTCAATAATATGATGTCTGTAATGATCTGTTCTAGTTCAGGAAAGTTAGCTATTGGTAATTAAATTGGAAGTGTTCAAAGTTGTCCTTTCTTCACCATTCCCTTTCACTCATAAATCTGTTAACCAAAAGAGAAAAGGAAGTGGAACATGCTTTTCTTAACAAAGATTTGTATTTACCAAATTTTATCAACAATTTATAACAGATTAACAATGATGACCCATGAAAGGAATTTTTTAGTAAGAGGCAGTGAAACTTTACAGACACAATAAGTAAAATTAAATTAGTTGAATAGTACCATCCTTTACAAAATTGGCAATAGGCTTATATTGCATGATATGCTGTGAATTCTCTTCTAAATCGACTTCTTCATCTCTACTGTCACGGTCTCCTTCAATAACAACTCCATCAACATCTTTCTTTGCCCGTAAAAAAACATGACTCCGAAGGTTCGGCACTAAAGATTGCTGAGTAGGCATAAAATCTTGGAAAGGTGGTGGCACATGTTGTAGTACCAGTTGTTTGCAGTGATTTTCTTGAAGTGCTAGAAAGTCCCTTGCAAAAATCAGCTCTCCTTCAGACAAGTAGGAATTTTCTGGGCCTCGAAGTGCTTCCTGCTCCAAGATGTAGGCAGTGTTTTTTTCGATCTTCTCTAATCTAGATCTCAGATAGCTTGTAATTGTATACCTTATTCTTGCTAGTTCCATGTGATGTACTTCAACTCTAAAATCATTCTTCTTCAACTTGTTGACATTTTCTTCCATTTGTTGTATCTGCTCCATCATGCATTCAACATAGTCTGCCTGAGACGGGAGCAAATCTGGGCAGAATTTCTCATTCAACCAAGCCTCTTCCAAGGTTTGTAACACTTTCTGAGCAGTGATAGGTTCTCCATCACCATCACTGAAGAAGTCGTCATCGCCAAAAGTATCCTCCATAGTATTGATTCTAAAACTTCTGGACTTTTGTTGCTCAAAACTTAGGTTAGAGAGGCTGCTAGCTGCTTGCAGACAACAACAACAGTGACTGATTGGAAACCGAATTCCCGCCAACCGAACTAACAGCTGACTGTCGCGCCGTAATGCGACCTGTTCCCGCGAGATGGCGAGTGCGTCGAAAACGACTGCGAGCTGAGGACATATTTCTCGATATTTTAGAGTACTTCAGCTCAAATGTGATATATATTTACTTAAAATAAAAATGTCTGATACATTTTTAGTTGTGAAATGTCTTGTATTTGCTTCAATACTTGGTATGCAACCTAAAATCCCACGGTGTACAGGGCAGCAACCCACTGACGGTTTCTGGCCCAGACTTGCAGTATATATACATTAGCAGGACGTCTCATCCCCGTACTCGCTTCGGCGGTACATATACTAAAATTGGAACGATACAGAGAAGATTAGCATGGCCCCTGCGCAAGGATGACACGCAAAATCGTGAAGCGTTCCACATTTTTTGGTAAATGCCCCACTGCTATTATGATTTGTTCATCCCTTATCTTCACGAGTGTTATTTATTTTACAATAGATTAGAAATTATTCAAATAACTGGCCTGGTTGGTTTCGATCGTTGCGATAAAACGTAATTTTCAAATAGCGTCACTGAACCCTCTAAGTAGTAACAGAAGGGCAAAAGAGCTGCAAGTAAGTATGATGACCACCCATAAAAATATCTGTCAGAAGTGGGATTCGAACCCACGCCCACAGAAGTGGACTGCGACCTGAACGCAGCGCCTTAGACCGCTCGGCCATCCTGACACATGCTTCTGAGACAGGAAAAACATGCTTACAGACTGCAAGCAATCTCTCCGTTCCTTACATTTTATTAAATTCGGCTGGTACACTAGCAATAAGCTGCTTGAGCGTGCCCGCGGGTCAGTTTTCAAGTCTGGAAATTGCAAACTCAGACAAGGCATCTTAGGGCCCCATGTTTCGGGGCACTACTTCCCTCCGCGCGCGGACGCGGTGGAAAGCGGCAGAGCCGGGCCGTGGCGAGCCGGGGCCGCGCCGCACGCTGTCTTACGGTGTCTGTCTCCCTCCGCCGCGCGGCACATTTCGAACTGGTTCGGAGCGGCCGCTGGCACTAAACGGACCCAGCCGACGGGCATCACCACAAATGGGCTATACGTCGCGAATAGCACAGAGGGCTCGGGTCTGACTGGGCCGTGCCTTCGCCAAAGCCATGATGGGGGAGGATGGGGTGGGCGATGGACTGCGAGAAAGTAAGATGCGGTTGCCGAGCTATTCCGAAGAGTCGTTTCGTCACTCTGTCTCTCTCGCGCCCTAGCGAGACGCCACACGAGTGCGGGGGGAGCCGAGCGACGAAATGATCTGGCGGAATCAGGCGACTGGGCTCTGGAGCCGTGGCGGTGGTAAGGTGGCGGTGGCCAGTGGCCGGCCCCGGCCCCGTAACCCAGGAAGGCCCAGGAAGGAGACAGTAGCCGCCAAGTCCTACGATTTGTGCGCGCCCCACTTCCCCTCCTTCTTCGAGGAACGACAACGACACCTCGACGGCGATTCATTTCTTTCCTCGCCGCGGGCACCGCGGGCCACCTGCGCGGGGGAGGGGGGAAAAGGGGGGGAGGGGCGAAGCGCGCTTCATTCGTGTGTGGTGTGGTTCACTGGCAATGCCAAAATGACGCAAGCGCAACGTAACACTCGCCCCGCCCGTCGCCTCCCCGCTCGGCCCCTCGGCCGCTCGGCCAGGCCCGCCGCCAGACCCAACCCGCCGTGCTAATAGGGCTCAGGCCGCTCAGGCCGGCTGGGGCCTTCGGGCCTTCCCTGCATGCCTGCAGCTCCCTCCCTGCAGCCCTCCGTACTCCCGCGCTCCGCGCACACCTCCGCAGCCCTCATGGAGGCCGGCGCGGCAGGCGGCCGATGCCGGCGTATTATGTCGGCCGGCCGCGCATGTAGCGATGTAACCCTGTCGGCCTGGCCGGCGGTAACCCTTCGCGCACGCGTCACGCCGCGTGTCCCGCCGCGTAACGCGCTGCGATGCGCCGCGCACGGCCGGGCACGGCCAGGCCCTACACGACGAGGACGACGATGCCGTGCGCACCGCAGCAGGCTTTCCCCGCGCAATTTGTCGGTAGCGGGTCGGAGGCCACCGGCATCGTTTTGCGAAGAAAGCGCTGCTGTACTGTAAAGCGAGGCGCAGGGAAGCTCACAACAATGCAAGTACCTCAATGATCTTTGCAAGGCGGCAGAAATTGGCGTCGTGTGACGAGTGCGTGTCCGCGAGCACGCCCTCCACGCCGGCGACGACGGCGTGTCAGACGAGTGGACCTTCACCTTCGAGGCGCCGGCCGACGCGGGGCGGGGCGTGCCGCGAAGTAGGTCGGGTTGCCTACCCTGGCCCGGCCTAGCGTAGAGCTGTACATCCCCCGAAGGGGTAACGTAGGGCTCTAGCCTAGCCCGGCCCAGCTCGGAAAGGCGCTCGGTGCTCGACGCGCAGCACGCGTAGGTAGGGAGGATGAGTATCGCTTTTGGCGCGTCGCCTTGCGTCGCCAAGCGTCGCCTAGCCACCCCTCGTCCCATGTCGCTTGCCGAGTCAGGTCGCGGGACTTGCAACACGGTGCCGGCGAGCCGCGCCGCGCTGAGCCGTGGCTGAGCCTCGCCGCGCTGCATCTCCGGGGCCAAGCGGCGGAGCGGCATGCAGAGCCATGACACGCCAGAGCCTGCTGCTGCCTGTGGCTGCCTGTGGCTGCCCTGTGGCTGTTGCTCCACGCGGTCCAAAGTACGAGCCTGCGGCATGCCTGCGGCCAGGCCGGCTGCCTTTTGCCTCGTCATGTCGCGCCTCAGCCCTCAGTCACACCCACCAGGACAGACGACCACCATGGCGTCGACCGCAGCAGAACGCCGACCTGGGCGTCTCGGCGGGCGTCACCAAGTCACCAGGGTGGCGGTGGCGTTGGCGCGCGTAACGGCAAAGTTTGCGCTCGACGGGGCTCGCCGGCTTCCGTCACACGGCGGGGCTTTAAGCACATGTCAAACACGCGGGCGGGCGACGCCGGGCGACGCGGACCGTGGGCCTACACATTGCGTGCTGCGCAGTGCTGCGCCCGGCCCGGCCGGCGCCTTGTAACGACTTGCTCACCCAACCGGCCAACCTGTCGGCCACGCGCGCCGCGCGCCGTGAGCAAGCTCGCGGTGCTCTTTACCTTGGCGGGGAGCCGAGCGGAAAGCCGCGCTGCGCAGTCCTGCAGGACCGGCCAGGCCGCCCGAATCCGCGCATGACTCTAAGTACCGCGCCAGGCGCCAACCCCGCGGCGGAACAGACTGCACTTCATTACGGGCAGCCACCCACACCCACCCGACGCACGTATGCACGCTCACACGCCCCCATACACACACACACACACGCACTCCACCGCCGCGTCGGCCTTTCCGAAGGCGGCTGGACGCTGGACTCAGAACGGCTCAGGGAAAGGGCGCGCGCGCACACACGCGCATTCACACACACAAAACACACACACACACACACACACACACACACACACACACACACACCGAGCTCTGTAACAACTCTCTCGATTTGGACCATCGTACGTTGGGGCGTGGCCGGACGTGCTGCGCGCGCCGCGGGGCGTTGCGGGGCGTTGCGGGGCGTTGCGGGGCGGGGCGGTGTTGGTCCTGGACCCGCACGGGGTGGAAAGGGGGCGGGCGTCTGGCTTCCGGAGACTGGCCGCGCCGCCGCGCCGTTTGGCCCACATAACAGACGGGAGGAATCGGCCCACATTCACAAAGGCCCATAGCCGGAGCCTGAGCCCACTGGCCGGCCGGACGGCGGGGCGGCCGGGCCGGGAACAGGATGGCGCGGCCCGGCGTGTTCACAAAACAACGCCACGCCGCCCACTCGACCAGCCCCAGGGCGTTAACGTTAATTTCAGTCGAGGACGACAGCATGTTGAACTTAAAAACTGCACAGCGTTGCATTAACAGTCACAATTTCCGTAGCGGACGTCGATATTTTGATGGGCGGAAACTTGTTGGTCAATGAACGATTTCCCGCGTAAATCGAAAGGAGTCGGCTTTGAATCGAGGGCGCCAGGATTCGACTCGATTCGGGTTGGCAGTATTCGTGAAACACCAGCGTAAACTGACCTGCGCTCAGCTTCCCGAAAACGGACGCCCTGCCACTTTGTGTCACTTTGTATCGCTTTGTGTCACTTTGCTGGCAATGCAGCCGCCCCGCCGCGCCGCTCGCGGAAGTGCACGTCGTCGTCGTGGTCGTCGTCCAGGAGAGTGCGGCGGGAGGAAACACTGCTGCATTTGGAGCGGCCCGCCAGCTTCCGCAGTCCGCGTGCCGGTGGCAGCCTGGTGGCAGCCGCGGCCGATCGACGTTGCCGTCGTCACCTCTGACCCCCGCGGATCCGGCGGCGGGGCGGGGACGCATACCGATCGACGGGACGGACCGCGTCCGCCGCGTCCACGACGAGCAGGAGCAGGACGCCCCGTTTCCCCGTGTTGCATCCGTTTTACGGGGACCTGTTACATAATCGGGACAGGTTCCGTCGCCCCGCGCGCCGCCACGCCCTGCCCGGCCCTGCCCGGCCCTGCCATGGAGCTGCCATGCTGCCAGGCTGCCAGCGTGGAGCATGGGCTGCCAGCGGCCCGGCCGGCCCGGCGAGTGGCGAGGCGAGGCGACTGGCCAGTCGATCTGGTCCAATAGCCTGCTGCCCCACTGCGGCTGGTCCACGCCGTTCCGCTGCGTTCGCTGCGTTCCGCCCCCGACTCGACTGCCAGACTGCCACGCGTTGAGCGCGGGCTAGCGCGGCGCCGGCCCGCGTGCCCAGAACACGTGCGTGCACACGAGCGTGCGAACGCGGAGCGTCGTGGGACAAGAGGGGGCTCGACGGACGAGCGCAGTCCCCGACGTCGCCGGCGTCCCCGACCAAGTCCTCGACGCCCCCGACGCCCCCGACGCCCCCGACGCCCCCGACGTCCCCGTGCCGGGCCCAGCAGCACCACGATTATGCGCCCAGCACGCCATGCATGTCGCCGGCCAGACCGGGAGTACCGGGTGCGACCCGTCGGTCCTCTCTTGTGAAAACGAAAACGAAAAAACGGAGCCGGCGGGTTGCTTTTCTGGCGCGGCATTTCAAATAAATAGGTGAGCAAGTTTGGTGTTTACATGGCCTCCCGCTCCCCTCCCTCCCCTCTCCGTGGCCGGTGCCTCGCTCACATAATTCCCCCGCCCCTCCCGGCCCCTCCCGGCCCCTCCCGGCCCCTCCCGGCCCCTCCCTGCCCCTCCTCGCTCTCTATGGAATTCCACCTGTTTATGGTCCACTTCCCGGCCGGCCCGGCGCGCGGTGTTGCAGAATGCAGAGCAAAGCGATGACCGCACCGGACTGGAGGACTGGGAAAGACTTAGATTGGAAGAGTAAGACTGGAAGACTCGGACTGGAAGACTTAGACTGGGGGACTTAGACTGGGAGACTAAGTTGTAAGACTTTGCGTGAAATGTGGTGGATCCGCGTGCTGCGTGCCCGCCGCGCTAGACGTCCGTGAGGTCCGCGGGGTTGTGAGAGGCCGAGCAGCAGGTGGCAGGACAAGGACAACGCCCTTGAGGACGCCCTTGAGAGCGCACTTCCCGCGAAGGGCTGGTCTTCCACCCCCGCCGTCGAGCCCGCCGTCCAACACGCCGAGTCCTCGTAACGAGCCGTGGCTCTAAGGACGAGCGCGCTGGCCCGGCCCCGGCCCGGGGGTGGAGTGGAGGGGTTCGATGGGTACCCCGCCGGACCCCGGGCGCTCGGCCCCGGCCCCGCCCGGCCGGCCGGCCTTCCCTTACCGGAGTGGGGCGTCTCAGCGCGGAGGGGCCGACGCGGGGCTGGCGGGGCTGGCGGGCCCGGCGGGGCCGGCGGGGCGCTGGAGCCAGCCAGCCCCCTCCTTCTGTTTTGGTGCAGGCATCGCCTGGCTTTGCTTTTCGAGGTTAGTCTCCTCTCAGTGTTGGCTTCGAGCTGCAGCGGGACGCACCCTATCAGAACGAGGACCGCCGGACACTCCACCCGTTCGTTCGCGCGCGCGCGCGCGTGTGTCAGTGTGTGTGTGTGTGTGAGTGCGTGCGTGTGTGTGTGAGTGAGTGTGCGTGTGTGCCTAGTTTGCGGCGACAAAGTCGTGAGTTTCTATACTCCCGGCGTTAACAGCTGCGCACACAAACATCCCTGTCGGATACCTCTCTGCCGGCCGACCCACGAGTCACTCCCAGCTAACAGGTGAGTCGCGCGGTCCGCCTAGAGCGAGGCAACGCGCGAAAGGCGCCCGAAGGACCGAAAGGGGCCGAAACCCACGGAAAGGAGCACACGCTCACTCTTCGTCCACGCCGAGCGGCGACGAGCGGCGCCGAGCTGCAAGTCCGTCAAAGAGCGGCGGAGGCATGCCGGTTGCCTACCTGCAGACCGATTCCGCGAGCCGTTTTCGTCACTCCGTCTCTCTCGCGCCGACAGGAGTCACCCCATGAGTGCGAGGGAGACAGAGCGACGAAAGCGACTCGCGGATTCAGTCTGCAGCCCAGCACGCCGGACGGCGGCGCGGCGGCGCGGTGGAGCTCCTTGCAACAAACGAGTGCATCTATTGCTATTACCCAACGGAACGGAACGGAACGGAACGGGCGCAGTGAGGAAGTGGTCCTGCACTGCACCGCGCTGCAGTTGGCGGTTCGCGGCTCGCGGTTCGCGGAGTGTGATCTGAATGGAAGGGCCGCCGCCGCGGTGCAATAATGCAGGGCGATGCAAGGCGTGCAGCACGTGCGCCGCTTCCATTACGGACCGTGACTGGAGAACGGGAGCAGGGCGTGCGGCGTGCAGCGTGCACCGCCAGTGCCGCCAGCCAGCCGGGCTGAATCTCAATAACACTAATGCAAGAAAGGATAGGCGGCGCGGAGAGGACGAAGAAAAACGAAAAGAAAAGGGTGAATGCTTTCTTTCTTTCACAGCGGAGTCCCCAATGGGTAATCTCGGGCAGACGAAAGCGAAGGTGACGGATGTTTCAATCGGCCGCGGCGCAGGCAGGCAGACGGACGGGCAGGCAGACAGCTCGCGGCGCCCGGCGCACGCACCATGCATACCAAATGGTGGCGATTAGCAATAGCGTCGCCGCGTATCGCTACGCATTGCTGAGCGTCAGCGATCGGCGTCGCTGCAGGGCCCGACATGCCCGGCAGGGCCGATGAGTGTTGCCAAACAAAGGACGAAGGCGTCCCTGCAGGCCCTGCAGGCCCTGCAGGCCCTGCAGCGGGGTGCGTTCGGCTCGTTCGGCTCGGCCGTTCGGCTGGCCGATGAAGCTGGCCCTCTTTGTCTAGGGCCGGCGCGGCGCGTGGCGTACCGGCTTACTGGAAGGTCGCCCCGGTTGGCCAACCCAACCATGCCAAACCAGCCAGGACGACGGAGAGACGGAGAGCGAGACGCACGTTGCCAACATTGCGCCCCATTTCTTAGGGCCGAGTGGGCTAATTCCATTTTAATGACAGTCGATGCGGCCTGGCCGGCCTGGCCGGACTGGGCAGCACAGCGCGCAGCCTGCACCGCCTGCATCTTGCACGTCTTGCACTCAGCGGTCAGTGACTCGCCGCCTCGCCGTGTTGCAAAACAGGCAGTGCCGATGCGGGCCGCGTCCACGTCGCGTCGCCGCGTCCAGGCCAGAGCTCGGTCCAGCCGGGCCGGCCCCCTCGCCCCGCATGTCCAGGTGTCCAGACGTCCAGGCGTCCAGGCGTCCAGGCGTCCAGGCGTCCAGGCGTCCAGGTGTCCAGGTGTCCAGGCGTCCAGGCGTCCAGGCGTCCAGGCGTCCAGGCGTCCAGGCGTCCAGGCCCAGGGCGGCAGTGCCAGTGAAAGGACCGCGGGACTCGTGACGCGGCGTGACTCGGCCCGGCCCGCTTTGACCGCGATGGACGCGGCGCGCACTGCACGCGGTCCAGAACCGAACCGAACCACCTTGAGGCGAGGCGTGGCGAGTTCGTTGTCCTGAGTCCGGGGGGCCGCACCGGGCCGGAGGGGCCACACGCCGCGCCACCCGGCGCCACCGCGGCCCCGCCCCACTTCCACATCGTGACCCCCGTGAAGCAGTGAAGCGGCGCATGGCTGTCACTCACGGAGGCACGCATGCAAAACCCGCGGAAGAAGAACCTGGGAGGGAAACAGGGGAGATGGAGTGGCGGCACTCGGGACGGAGCGCGTCTAGCGCCTGCGGGGTAGGCCGCTCCGTCGAGCCGCCGTGCGTTGCGGGCCGGTAGACGCCGTCCCGGCAGGCGCGCGGCTGAAAAAGCGGCCACGCCTCGACGCACCGCCAGGGCCGGCGTCAGGGCCGGCGTCAGGGCCAGCGGCAATCCAAGGGCCAGTGCCCTTCCCGCCTGCCCGGCGCCGCCGCAGGGCCCCAAGGACTCCGGGCCGCCTTCAAGGACGACCCAGAGGGCCCAAGGACGGGAAGGGACCGCGAGGGTCCTCGCCCCCACCTCCTCTTTCCCGCCTTGCTCCGATCGCGACTCGCAACGCATGCTCCAGAGACCAACTCGATTTTCGCACACGCGGCGTGGAGCGCGGGGCGTGCCGGCGCGTCCGTGCAGTAACGGTTACCACACTCTGGACATGCGCCGGTACTTCCCCCGATCGGGCCGGGCCGGGCCGGGCCGCCGCAAAGGCCGCCGCAAAGGCCGGCGGGGCGGGCCGGATCGCCTGTTTTACGAGACGCTCGAGGGTGGGGCAGTGGGCCACCGTCCGGACGAGGCGCATGAGCGCCGGGTCCAGCCAGCCAGCCAGCCGGTTTCAAAGTCGCATTATCTTCTTCATCCGAGCCGAGCAGGAAACGCCTCGCCGCGCCGCACCTCGCCGGGGATCCCCGGATCCAGATCCCCCCGTCGAAACAAATGACGAAACGGGAGCAGCCGGACGGACCCGGCGCGCGGCCCCGCGGCGGCAGCGCCCTGGCCTGGCAGTGCGGGCACCCAGCAGCTGCTTCCAGCCCGGTGGTTGCGAGTTCGATTCCCACCAAGGTTGATTCACCGGCAGTCTGCTTTCTCGGGCCGCTCCAGAGGGCCGCGGGTGGTCCTGTCGTTGCAGCTCCAGCCTCAGTCCGCCTCCAGTCGGCCTCCAGCAGTCGCTCGTCGTCCGGTGCGGCTCATGCTCACGCGGCGCGATGACACCTTCCGATTCATCTCTGGAGCGGGCGGCTGGAAGGGCTGGAGGCGAAGGGCTGGAGGGGGCGTTGCGTGCAATGCCCTGAGCTGCTCGGCCGGCACTGCACGGCACGGCACGGCACGGCTCGCCGCTAGTCCGACGCGCTGTACCGCGGCTTACATAACGCAGCCCAGCCTCCTATCCGAATCACCTGGCAGTAGTCATTGAGAGGAAAGAAACCGCCCGGTGAAGCAACAAGGACGGGGAATGCAAGGGAAGGCGAGGGACCGCTGGGACTTCCCTCTGACCGGCCCTTGCCCGCGGCGGGGTCACGCGGCGCCGCAACACGCGTGCGCACGCGCGCGCCAGTTGCAACGCCAACGCCTCTTTGCACTGGCATCACCTTTTATATTGGTGTCATTTTTTTCCTCCCAATGTCGCCGTTCGTTCGTCCCCACACTGCTGGGCCCTCGCCCGCCCCGCCTCGCCTCGCCGTGTCGCCAGTTTGATTGTGGCTTGTGTAATTCTGTCTGGTGACGCCGGGCCCGCGGGCCCAGGCGCCCCGCCCCGCCCCGCCCGCCCCGCCCCGCCCCACCCCACCCCGCATCGCCCGCCCCACCCCACTGCCGCCTCCCCGGCAAATGGTGTCATTGCTAAGGTCGCCGTCACTTTGTGACCCTCACCCCGGCCGGCGGGGAACTGGGAACAAATGGGGCGCGCCCTGCTGCCCTGCACTTCCCCGCCGACCGAGCACCGAGCCACCCGTGCCCACGCGAACCCGAAGCCGCGGCGGTCTTCCAGCCGCCCAGCCGCCGATGGCGCCTCGGCCGTCGAGTCGGTGCGTTCCAATTCCAAGCGAAGGCGCGGATAAGGTGTGCTCGGCCGGGCCGTCACGTCGGCGTCGCTCCGTCGCAGCGTGTCGGCGTGTCGCCACGGCGGTGACGCGTGACCAAGCGGCACGCGCGCCTCTAACCTTGTGCCGACGTCGCCGTGGCGCTCGACCCCACGGCCCCACGCCTGGTTTCGTTGTGACCCGCGCGGTGCTCCGCAAGGCTCCGCAGAGCTCGCCAACGACACCGTGTGCTAACCGCGCCCCTTGACTGTTGCAGCGTCCACGCCATGACGGACTAGTGCACGCCTCGACCAGCACCCCATCTCCACCAACCGCCTCGCGCTTCGCCAGACGCCAGTCCCTCCCGACGACTGCCATGGCGTCCCGGACGGCGACCCTGCTGGCGGCGCTGCTCGCCCTGGGCGCGGTGATGTGCCACGAGCAGCAGCACCGCTTCGCCGCCCCCAACTCCACGGCGTCCACCACGACGTCCACCGCCACGCCGGCGCTGGTCGTGGAGGAGGGCGGTGGCCGTTTCGAGTACGTGGAGGTGAGCAGCGCGACGCCCAGGACGGCCTCCAAGGGGCCGGAGTCCCGCGGCGACGTGACCGCCGCCATGGACCCCGTGACGCGCGCCGGCCTGCAGTTCCTGTCCAACATCTACAACCCCCACCACTGGACCATCCCGTCCGGCGACGACCCCGCGGCCGCAGGGCCTCTGGGCCAGACCGGCGCGGCGTGCCGCAGGCAGCTGGGGACGTACCTGTCCGCCCTGGACAACGGCACCACCTGGGCAGTGCAGAGTAAGTGCGCAGCATTGTCACAGCAGAGTTTACCGGGCTCGTCCGCTCGGCCCACCCACTCGGCGCTCTGGGACTTGGCGCGCCCGTCGCGCAAGACGTCGGATTCTCTGCAGACTTGCAGACTTGCAGGCCTCGGTGCCGGGCCAGGCCAGGCCAGCGCGTTGAGCAAGCGAGATGAGTGATGTGTGAGGCAAGCCGGAGGCAAGAATCGGGCGAATACAAACAATTGCGGCGCCCGTCAGCGCGGCACCGAGTAGCAGCGAGGTGCACCTCCGCCGTGGGGCCGGGGCTGGAGTTCCCCTTCGACGCTCTCCGCGCCACCGTGAGCGGCAAGCTGGCAAGCCCAGCCAGCGCGAGTGTTCCTTCTCGCGGCATTCCTTCGACTTCGGCTTCAACTTCACTCCGCGCGTAGTGTGCCGCAGGCGAGTGCAGTGCTCCACGCCGGGCACTGTCCGGTCCGCAGAGCTCTTTGGATTAGCAGCGCGTCAACAAGTGGCAGCCTTCAGTGCCTTCGCGGGGAGGGGGAGGGGGAGGGGCCGCGGCGCCGGAAGTGGGTTAAGTCTATTGGCTGATATCCTCAGGGTGTTTGGCCGGCGAGGCGAGGTGTGGAGTGGAGTGCCCCGGGGCCCCGGGCCTCTCTGGGGCCGCGGCCGGGCGGGCCGGGCGGGCCGGGCGGGCCGGGCCCTCGGACCAGTCTTGTCTCTGGACGCCGGAACCAAGGTGACGTAACGCGGGCAGCGCGGGCAGCGCGGCCGGAGTGGCGCGGCGTGGCCTACATCGAGGAAGCGGCGCTGTCCGGGCTGTCCACCTGTCCACGGAACCTGTTATTCCCCACATGTCGTGACTCATTCACTGCCCCCCGTGCCCCGCCGTGAAGAGGGGGTGCCGCGGCGTGCCGGGGGAGCGGAGCAGAGCGGAGCCGCGTTTGGTTCGACGAATCCGCACCGCACCGCGCCGCGCCCGGGGCCGAGGGCGTCAATTTCAGGCTGACCGAGTGCGGCAAGGACGAGCTTGTTGTTGTCGCGTTATACGTTGTCACGGTGGTGCCCCGCACGGCACGGCACGGCACGGCACGGCGTGCCACGAGACAAAAGCCCCACGCTAGAAAGTGAGCGGTGGCGCTTGGCCTTCCCGTTCATCATCATGGCATTATGGCGCCCAATTTGGCGAGGGAAGGCCAGGGCGCCGAACGCGGCGGGGGCCCGGCGGACGCACGGGCCTCACCGAGTCCTTCCTGTCCGCAGTGACGGACGCCAGCGGCCGCTACTCGTCGCAGTTCTTCTTCGGCAACGACTTCTGGCTGGGCTCGCACACGCTGTGCGAGCAGCTGGGCACGCCCTACGCGCTGGAGAACCCGCCCTACCCCGTCACCTTCCACGTCCTGCAGATCAAGGTGCACCTGGACACCGTCCTCACGCCCCACGTAAGTGCTTGCGGTGCGCAGTGTGCCTAGCGACCCCGAAGGACCTCTTCGTCGCTCAGCCTCTCTCGCACCCCTACGGGAAGAGGACGTGGCCGTCCCACGAGTGCGACAGAGACAGCGACGAAGCGATCCAGCGACCACTCTAACCGTGCTTGCTGCCTCGCCGCTTCCAGCCCCGCCTGCTGCACCTGGGCGTGTGCCTGCCCAGGACATGCGACCCCAAGGACATCACGACGCTGCTGCACGCCGCCGGCCGCAGCGGCGCCATGTCCTTCAGGACGCCCAAGGCGCTCCGCGGCACCGCCAAGACCCCCTCCATGGAGGTGGTGCGCCTCCGCAAGGTGCCCGGGCCGTACGTGCTCATGGCCGACACCAAGCTCCACATCCTCGCGTAAGTGGCCTTTCTTTTTCATTCGCAGAGCGCGAGGCTTTTATTTATTTTTTTAATCGGGACGGGTGGCCTGAATGGCGCAGTGGGTGACATTGCAGCGAAATGCAAGCAGTGCGTTGCAACACCGACCTGGCTGCGCCGAGCGTGGACCAGCAGGCAAGCAAAGCAGGCAGGCCGAGGAGGAGGCTGGGGGCTCCGCGGAGACTCAAACGCAGGGGGCCATGGGGGCTCCGCAGGGCGGGGCGGGGCAGGAAAAAAGCGGCCGCACTGAAACGCGGCAGCTGGGTCGCGGGGAGGCGAGGGGAGGTCCTCGGGGCTCGCCTTGACTCGATTGTGGCCTGGCGCGTTGCGGTGTGTCACCGCGACCACAAGACCCACGTCGCGGTGGAGGTGGCATCAAGCGGTGCAGGCGAGATCAAGCGCTGACAATGCGCCGCACCGCACATTAAGCGTGCTTCGCTGCTTCGCCGCGCCAACAACAACAAGGTGGTTCTCATTTCGACGTGTTGCTCTTGCTTGTTTCTCCCCAGGGGCGTGTCCGCCGCCGTGATCATCCTGATGGTGGCGGGCGCCGTGCTGGAGGAGGTGACCAAGCGCACGGCCAGGGCCACGTCCTCGCCGCACCAGGCTGACTCGGAGCAGCAGGCGGGCCGCGGCGGCCAGGCCCAGGAGATGCAGGAGCGGTCCTCCAAGGCGATGGCCGCGTCGCCGAAACACAAGACGACCGAGCCGCTGCGGCAGAAGCCAGGTGAGCGTTCCGTTCCTTTTCGATCGCGCGCAACGCAGGCGCAAGGCTCGCGGCCTGCGGTTGCCTGCGGCCCGCGCCGCCCCCGCGCCGCCCCGCCCTTTATTTGCAAATACTTTCTAAGCGAGCGCTTTATGGAGAGTGGCGGTGCCCGCGGTGCCCGCGTCGCGCGTCGCCCCGGCCGTTGCACAATGACACTCAGGAGGACTGTGCCACACCGCGCCGAGTCCTCGCGGGACTGGGCGCGACGGCCGCCGCCGGGCCGTCCAGGAAGCGATTGCAAGTGCGCTGCCTTCGTCTCGGACACCGGCCGACAAAATTAAACGTTGGGGTTGTTGACAGGAATAATGGTGCAGATCGTGATGTCGTTCTCGCCGCTGTCCAACGGCGCCAAGATCTTGAACATCGACGTGCAGGAGGACGACACCCTCACGGCCGTGCACGGCCTCCGCTTCCTGTCCCTGGCCTGGGTCATCCTGGTGCACACGTACCTGCAGGTGTTCGCCATCGCTGGTGAGTCTTGAGTCTGCCTCGCCGCTTGCAGCCGCTTGCATGTCTCTGACCAAACCACTCTTGCCCAGAAAACAAGACGCTGCGCACCATCACCGAGCGCAACTTCCTCTTCCAGACCGTCAGCAACGCCACGTTCTCCGTCGACACCTTCTTCTTCATCAGGTGGGCAACTCGTGGGCCAGCATCCGCGCGCTTCTGCGTCCGTGTGGTTGTTGCCGTGTTGTATGTCTTGACCATGGCGCTCTCTGTGCAGCGGTCTGCTCGTCGCCTACCTGTACTTCAGGACGACCTCCAAGACAGACAAGGCGGAGGCCGGCGCCAAGGTGGACCCGCACCCTGGCCCCGTACACAATACCGCCCGTAGCGACACCAAGAAGGAGGCGAACATCTTCAAGCAGGCCGGCACCAAGTTCCTCATCCTCATCGTCTACCGATTCATCAGGTGAGTCACCGTTCGCGACATCGGCGAGCTGGTGTGCTTTTGTTTCGATGGTTCTTACATTAGAATTGTGTGCAGGCTGATCCCCGCGTACCTGTTCGTGCTGGGCATGGTGGAGCTGAGCATGAGGTGGATCCACAACAACTCCGTTTTCGAGCCCAAGATTCTGGACCACCTCAACTGCGACAAGTACTGGTGGAGGAACGCCCTCTTCATCAACTCGCTGTTCCCGAAGAAGGACATGGTGAGTACGCGGCCTACGCGCTGGCCAGGGGGCTGGAGGTCATGCCAGTAGTGCCAGCCTGCAAGCTGACCAACGCGTTCATGTTCACTTTCCGTGTTCCAGTGCATGCTCTGGAGCTGGTACATGTCGAACGACACGCAGTTCTACGTCATCGGAGTCCTCCTGCTGCTCTTCTCAGGCCGGTAACTACTTATGGTTGGAGGACAGAGGATGGGGCAGTCCTCGGTGCTGTACGCGACGTCACATAGTTGGTGGGGGAAAAGGGGGAGGGGAGCCTTGCCTCACCGCGCCGTGTTTGAACACCGCCACGGCGCTGCCAAGCACTGCCAAGGCGGTGAGGCACTCGAAGGCCTCGAGGGAAAGTCAATGCAGTCCCTCGAAGCGCGGAGTATCGCCGGTGCCATAATGTTGGCCAAGTGTCGTCACTGCATTTTGTTTTTCGACACTGCAAGGGTGTGAAGTGCGAATAAAGACTCCCCAAGCGCCTGCCGCCAGAACGCGCTGCAGTCCCGTGGCGCGCCGGTGTGCGGCGGGCGGCCTAACCGCCCTCGTCAGGCGCCATGGCTAAGAGCCATCCCCTGTTCCAGATACTTCCGCCTGGTGGCGGGCGCCGTGCTCACGCTCATGGCCAGCTCCTGGATCACGACGGCCTTCGTGTCGGTGCAGTACGAGTACCGCGCCAGGATTGAGGAGCCGTTCGCAAAGTTCGACGAGCTGTACGACAAGCCGTGGACGCGCATAGGGCCGTACCTGGTCGGCATGATCACCGGCTGGCTGCTCTTCAAGACCAACGGAAGGATACGGATGACCACGGTAAACTACGCATGGCTCACAGTATGGTGGTTTTAGTGTTGTTTGTTTGTTTTTTTTCTGACGTTTGTGACTGTGCGCAGCCCATGGTGGTGCTGGGGTGGTTCTTGTCCCTGGCGTGCCTCACATCACTCGTGTACGGCCTGCTGCACCAGAAGCTGGGCGCGGCCTCCTCGGCAGCCTACGTCTCGCTGGGGCACACGGCCTGGAGCATCGCCCTTGGCTGGATAGTCATCGCCTGCTGTACGGGACACGGAGGTATGTGCGACCACCTCATTCCCAAACTTTATTTCAACGAAATATTAAGTCACACATTTTTGTTTGTTTTGAATTTAGGGTATATAAACGAGGTGCTATCCTTCCGAGCCCTGCAGCCACTGAGCAGGCTTACGTACTGTGCCTACCTGCTGCACCCCATGATTCAAGTGCTCACATCCTACCAGATGGACGGCCCCCTCCACCTCCACAACGCACTTGTGGTATACTTTTTTAACATTTTTAATTTGCTTGTTTTGTTTTGAGACTCTGCCTGCCCCATTAATCCTATACATCCCATTTTCTTTTGATCCCCAGCTGACTTTGTACTTTGGCAATGTGGTAGCTTCATTCATGCTCGCCTTCGTCATTTCCCTGGCATTTGAAGCACCAGTCGTCAGAATGTTGAAGATTGCTATCTCCCCACGAAGCAATACAGAATAAAGGAGAAATAACCAAGTGATTCCAGAGAATAAAGTCTAACTTCAGCATTCTGAAAAGGTTGTGCACTGCTGTCGCTGCACTCTGTGAGTTGGTCCAGTGGAATCCTATTCAATCAAACATGAAAGAAGAAATTGTCGGAAGAAATTATGGGAACCTAGTGTATTTTAAAAATTTAAAACTTTGTTATGTCTTCAAAGTCCCTTTAAAAATTTCTGTTTCTTTTTAGATTGAATTTTTTGACTGATTATGCAGATGTACAATGTGCATTTTAGGGACATGTCTGGCTGTTCTTGCAGTAACACAGAATAAGTTTGTTTAAGATTTACCTTGTACCTAAAGCTGATGGACTTGGGAAGGATTAAGCTCTTCTAAGCAAATAGTAAAAGAATGTGAAATATTTAGTGTTGCCAAGGGTTGACACCTGATTTGCTCATCTGATTTATTCAAGACGGGAGACTGATCTTTTGTACTATAACTGGAAATTATTTTGTACACATTTAAGTTATAAGTCTTAGATTAGAGAAGAGAATGAGATCCTTAGATTTTAATTATGTGACAGGGTGAAAATAGAGAATTGTTGTTAAAATTGGCAAACACATTAAGATTTTGATGTAATTTTTTTTTTAAGAAAAATAAAAAAGAAACAAACTTTGAAATATTTAGACCTATGATCTTGTGATATTGTCACTTGATGTGTCCTGTAAGTGTAGGAGATGCTTCAAATAGTTAGCCTCTCTGTCCTGAAAGAAATCATCAACCTAGATGACTCACTTCTTCAGGTTGAAGGTCGCCTAGTCCAAAGCCCATGTAAATATTAAAATTGTGACATCTACGCACATTGATTAAAAATACTTTTGTGTTCTAATGTGTCCTGTGCAAAGTTACCTCTGTAAATTAGGTTTAAGATTCTGTTATGTTTGATGAATTTTGTTGTTGCATTTCTAAGGCCATCAATCTCTAGCACAGTAAGAATTGTGCAGCAGGGAATTGTGAAACAATATCAAATACACTGCAGCAGCCAATGTGGACAAAATTACTAATAGTGTAATTTTGTTATTTATTTTCTAATGTACATTATTTTAAAAACATGATGTGAGTAAAAATCAACTGATTTGTCAAGTCACATGTTCTTGTGCTTTGTATTGTGATAATTTTATTTTAAAATATATTTGAACACTTGACAAACATTTTAAATTTATTCCCCTTCCAATTCTTTGAGATTTGAACAGTATGAAAAAACAACACCGCAGACTTTAATCATCTTTATAGGACTGAAGCCTGTGTCTTGTGTGCAAAGCAACATCTACCATGGTTTCAGGAGTTAATAACTCCTTGATCTGTGATACAATGACAACCATGATAATAAATGAGATCTAGTTAATTGAAAATTGATAATAAAGCCTAAAGAAAAAAGTGTACTTACGGAGTAGCTGAGGGATTCCTCAAAGGCATATTGAATGGAGGAATCAAACAACATCAATTTACTTGCAGCAAGGGCTAGTATACAGTTTCTTAAACGGGCTATTCTTTCACGGTCTTCTGTGTCAATAACCTAGAATGAGAGTAAATAGAATGTTAGGATGAATTGATAAAGGTAACATTTATTTTCAAAAGTTGTGTTATCCATGTACAGTACCTCCTCTAAATTTTGTGTAAAACCACCAACTCCACTTTCATCTTCCGGACTAGTAGGATAGATCCAAATTAGTCCATTGTTTCCAAGAATTACACTTGCACCACACAACAAATTGTGAAAGTGATTTTTCCTCCTCAGTATAAGAGAAGGTGGCACTTTCACAAGAACGCCTTGAGACAGCTAAACCAACAGGAAACAAGAAGGAGGCAAACTTAAATCAATGGTGTTGCTGGGGAGCTACTGAATTAACAGTGGTCAACATTAAATACCTTTCCATATTTTAAACTGCGAGTATGTAAAGAAAGAGAACCATCAGAAAACACACTTTGCACTTCTGCACTGACTAGGTCACCTTCTTGAAGATACTTCCGCATCATCTGTTCATCTTCTGCTGATCTCCTTCTCTAAAACAAGATTGATAGAAATGTTATTTTGAAGAGAACCCAGTCAATCAAAATCAACAGAATAACAAAAAACATTACCAATTCACCACCAGGCAAGTTAACAGATGAAATCAGTAAGACTGAATCAAGTCGAGAATTTGTTTCTACTTTCCAACGCTTCTGCTGAACCTCCGTTATTCTTCCAACGACAACATCCCCTATTTCACCCATATAACGGCACTTGATGGGTCGCACACAGATGAGCTGGTTTACTCGTTCCACAGTGCCAGCGACAGAAGCCTTCAGGACATCCTTGTTGTCTTCATCCAAGTAGGTACCATGGCCACTAGTTATAACAAGGAAAGGAAAGATTAATCATCAGATTCGTCTGCAAACCCTCATGTGCCAGCAATCCAAGAAGCTGGATAACCTCATAACACGTTGGTTGTCTGTTATGGTCTGGCCCGGTGTAAACAGCTGAGGGGCTCCCTTTTCACCGAATGTCAGCGAATGATTCACTCGCTCGGACGCGAGTCTAATTTTGATGTCTTGCATGTCCAACGCAATTCGCTCAGAGACACACAGGGGAAAATATCACAATTAAATTGTGTGCTCTGCCGCTTGGACGATGGATGTGATCAAAACAACGGTGGTGGATGAACGACGCTAACGTTATTCGCAGGTATATGTAAAGTGTTATTTGTAGGATATCGGTACCAACTTCTTAAAATTATGAGAACATATGTTATCCATGAGACTACAGAAAAATTCTCAAAATAAATTCTGTCGTATCTTTGACGTAATTTAACTTTCAGGTTTAAATTTAAGAATTGATCTAACATTTTTTAAAAGTAAGTTTTTATGACTAGAGTATTTTTGAAAAATTGGTACGAAATCAAACTTGACTTCTTGAAAGTCGAAAAGCATTTGGCGGGATGTGAGGTTTGAGAGTTGTTTGTGTTTTCTAGTTTCTTGTCTCTTCTGCTCATCAGGTGAATATTCAACCCTGTCCTCTCGTGATTTCCTTTTCAATGAGTTGTTTAAAGCTCTATCTCTCTATTTATCTTTATATCTACTGTTGTGTCTTTCTTTTACAGATTTGGGTAAAATGCCTGGTGTAGATGGTACATGGCAAGTGGAGAGGCTGAGGGAGATTGCAGGCTCTGAAATGGGCCATGCCGTTCAGATAATGCCTCCTCCGTCTTACCTGCAAGCACTTCAGTACGAAGGGAATGTAAAACCCATTCCTGGCTTGTCTTCGGATGTAATCCTTGTGTACAAATGTGTAAGTTTTAACTTGTGTTGATTGTTCGCTTTGACTTGTTTGCGTATCCTCTTATGGAATGTCATTTGTTCTGTTTCAGAGAGATAGAAGTAGCACATCTTCTCTTCCTATTGATGTCCGTGAGGAGATTAACAGCTCACTCGGTACATCATTTCGGTTTTGTTAATGTGACTAGAGTTCTGTTAAAACTGTGCTAATGGAACTGCCTTTGTCCAGATGCCAGCACGGAGCTTGGAGGAGATCCATTGCCAGCACCTTTTGATGATGACGAGACTGACATTTCAACTATTGAACTGAAGCAGTACCAGTGGGCCAAAGGGGAGTTAAATCATTATCCCCTGAAGATCCATGATGCTTTGTATGTTGCCTCCATAGTTTTAACTTCATATTTAGTTGTAAATTTTATTGACATTGTGAATAATTGTTTCTCCATTTTTAGGAATATACTCAACAGAGGTTGTGATTATTTAAATGACACATCCTGTGAATGTGATGTATGGTGCCTCGTAGATGGTGGGGTTGGAAAAGGGGCTTTTAATGAATCTAAGAATGGTTTTTCAAATGGAAATGGGAACCATTCTGTTGATGCGTCCATCTTAGATTCATCTTTATCTAATGGCTTAAGTGGTACCAATACCATCCTAAAAGAGAAGTCAAGAATTTTGGTGGGTGTGCATGCTACTGGAGAATGGTGGACTAGAAGCTTTGTTGAGTCTCAGGGCATGTGTTCAGTAGGCTCGCCAGAAATGGACCCCGAGATTATGAAGAAAACTCACTCTGATATTTCTTTGATGCCTCCACACATGGTAAACAAAATTTCTGTATTGATCAATAGCCCCAATAGCCAAATTCAATGTCAATTGTTATTTTCTTTTACAGATGAGCGTGTCTGTTCTTTGTCGGTACAACATTGTTGGAGAACGTCTGACATCAGATGTCCCTCCTTCTGCAACTTGTGCATCTTGTGTTAGTTTGGAGTTGGAGTGGAGGACACCCACCATATCTGTCCCTCTTCAAGATGTATTTGCCAGAGTGGTCTGTAAAGCACTGGCGTACTCCTTGAAATTAAATTATTATTACAATTACAAACTTTTGTTATCCTGTGATTACAGCTTGTTCAAGCTTCTGTTGGTCATCATTCGAGTCCTGCACATGGCCTCTGGAAGCAATTGTGTGTTTTGCAAAAGTTGTTTGAAGTACTTTTTACCTGTTGGGGAAACAAAAGTGCACCTGACATGCTGCCACATTTAGATCCTACCCCTGACGAAACTTTGGACAGTGAAATTCCTCAAGAATCACTCAAAAGCCGCATACGAACTCTGATAATGGGTGGCAAACAAGCACTTCAAGCACAAACTGGTGAGGGAGTGTTTCTTAGTTACACTGAGTGTTGTAATTTTGACTCTATATCCCTACACTACTTTTTGTTTTGACTCTTGTAGCCAATAGAAGAATGTCTGTTGCCCCTTCTTTGTTGGCAAGGCAATCTGTTGCGCCTGGAAGGCAGTCCATAGCACCTTCATTGTTAGCAAGGCAATCCATGGCACCTCCATCATCAAGAAGGCAATCTATTGCACCTTCATTGTTGGGAAGGCAATCCATAGCCCCTGGTGCACATAGAAGGCAATCCATGGCTCCTGGGTTCCTGGATCGCATGGCTCCCCAAGTAAATGAAGAAACAAACGAAGATGGTGAAGCTGATAATAAGGCATTTTCTCTTAGTGAAGTTTTAGATCTTGCTGCTACAGGAAACAGAGATAACTCTGACCTTACAGATGGGCTTTTCAGTCTTCTCAGTGGTAAAATATTTACTTAATATACTTACGTAAAATTTGTGTTATTTTGTGTATGACTGTGGCTTTTAACATTATTATTATTATTATGATTATTATTCCAGAATGCAAGACATATCATGAGTTGGTGAATGCTTGGGACCTCATTTTTATGGAACTTAATGAAGCACCAGCACCATTTGTAAGTATAGTATGCAATCCACTGCCATTTAAAAGGTTTAAATGTGTATATCTTACGTAAGACTCTCTTAATATTTTACAGATCCGTCCCAAAAATAGTACTCGAGCAGCTAAGCTTATCCAGGGATTTATATCTGGTCAAGTGGACTCAACTCCAAATTTTATGGAAATTGAAGGAAGCTTGTTTCCGTTGGAACTTTTGCTTGAGCTGGGCATGGAGAAACTTACAACTGATTATTACTATGTATTTTCAAAATCAAAACTTGCTGGTCGTGATGAGTTGCAAGATCCCCAATTAATCAGGTTCATTTCAATTGCATTTTAAAAGAAATTGTCAGATGTATTCCTGATAAAGTTGGTGTAAATACCCTTCTCTTTTTTTACAAATTTCAGGCCCAATTTAGGTGTGCCCAAAGAAAAGTGGCTTGCCAGTTGTGGTCAGCTGTTAGGGTGGTTGGCGCAAGTTCATTGTGCTCTGGAAATGACTTTGCCATTAGAAGCCCCTATGACTAAAATTACCATACAAAGCATGGCATCTAAAGCTTTGAAGCACTTTCAAAGTGAAAACTCACCCATACGGTCAGTGGAAGCGCTTCTGACTCCTGGAAATTCAATTCAGGAGTTCAACTTGCCTATAACCCCTGCTGCTATTCAAGAACATGTCAACAGGTAACTTTGGCTTAGTCTGCTCTGAAGAAAACCCTTCTACTTTAAACTTTAAATTTTCTTATTTATTAAAAAAAATTATTTTAAAGGGATTTTGATTGGTGGAGAATGACCCTGGTGTCAGAGAATGAGTCTATGAGGGTCAAGACTGTTTTCCTACGAAGCCACCAGCGTCCAATCTTCCCTCCTCAGCTGTTTGAAAGTGAGTATATTTTTTCTCATTATATATTTAATTTCCTTTTCTTCAATTTTTAATGACCTAATCACTATAACTTATAAAATTGCAGCTGCAGATTCTGACACTTCAACTAAGGACATTAAAAGTTATTACTGTGCAGAAGCTGTGACCATAAGTCAGAAGCTGTGAATGTTCATAAGCTAGGGTATACATAAAGCAGGTATACTACCTGCTTACTTTTTTAATACTTTTAAGTACTTTTTTAATATTTTTTATACTATAACTAGATGAATTTATAACTGGTTTGAAAGTAAAAACATGTCAAAACTGCTGCTGCTGATTTTTTGAACCGCCAAATACCCTGAGACACCGAACTTTTTGATGTCAGTAGTTTTGATGAGAAATCATTTTCTTTCATGAAGGAGGTGTGGATGGATGGTTCTCTGAAAACCGTGGAATGGAGGCAAAAGTCTGGCGAGTTTGTCGAGAGCTGCCGCTCGAGGCAGCGAGGCACGGAGGAGCGCCTGGCCGCGCCCGGCGGGTCGGCAGCACGCGGTATTGATTGGCAAGTGTGCCTATGGCAGGCATGGTCCTGAAGACCCACAAGCATAAGAACATTAGCATGGGGCGGTCGGGGTGAGGTTGGGGCGGCAGGGCGCGGCCGGCAGAGCATGGAGACCGTGGAGACTTGGCTACCCACAAGGCCGCCAACGGCCAACCCCCGCCGCACTTTCGCATATGGAGCAGCGGCCTGGCCGGCCAGGACTAGGACAGCTGGAGGGAGGGAAGTACCTCTGCAACGCCGGAGGGGCTGCGCGGCAGCGAGGGGTCGAGCAGGGTGTTTGTTTTCGACCGCGTTGCACTTGGGCACGACCAGGGGCTTGGCAGTGTAGGTGTAGGGGCGGGCGGGGCATCATTTCCATACGTCGCATCTCTAATCGGATCACAACCCGCAGGTCGCAGCGTCGCGGCAAAGGCCACAGCGGAGCGGCGGTGAGGCCTCCGCGCCGCGTGGATCGTGGATGGATGGCGCCGTCGCGCTCATCCGATTGTGTGTATGGCGTGCTGCGCAGCGCTGCGAGGCTGGCGACCTGCCTCAGCCCTCAGCCTGCCCGGCAGGGTCGCCAGGGGCCAGGGCAGGATCCAATTTAATTATAGGCTGGATCAATCCGGAGACTCCCACAGCACTGAAAAACTTGAGGGGCTGGGGTAGTATGGCCCTCTCGGGTGGCCGACATGGACGCAGCGGTGGTGCCCCTGGAAGTCAGTCCCTGCCACAGTCTCCCCGCCCTTTCAACATGAGAGGATGTGCATTCAGCTGGCGAAATGACGAGCCTGCAACGCTCCCGGGTGCGTAGGCCTGGCGTAGGGGTGCCGCGACTCGTTTCACTGCCACGAAGAAGCCCGAGGAGGACGGGGCGGACGAGGCTAGACGAGGCGAGGGGAGTGAAAGTAAAGCGGCGTGAAAGGCTGATTGCTGATTGGCAGGCCTGCCCCGGCGTCCGGTCCGTCCGGCGCCCGTAGGCCGTTCCGTTCGTCACCGGGATGGCCAGCCCTCGTCTCTGTCATTCTCTGTCACTTCTTCCTCGGGCCCAAAGGGGCGCTCGAGCGGATTATCTGAAGCATCATGTGTCTAGACTCATTACCCCGGTCCCGACCGACCCCGCCCTCGCCCCCGCTCCGTCGCATCAGCGCGGATAAGCTGAAGGGCGGGAAAATGGAGTCCTGCGACAGGTCGAGAGAGGGTAGAGGAGATGCTCCAGGGAGAAGAAATGTACCCGGGCTGAAGAAATGCTCTCGGGCTGAATTGTGGGCGTCCATGCTGCGACGCGTACGGATGCGCCGTGGCCAGGCCGGGCCGGGCCTGCCTCGGGGGCATCCCCGGCGTGCCCTGGTCCGCCGGCAGCCACGGCACCAAAGCACCGGGCAGCCTACTAACAGCCAACCCTTGTAACAGGATTGTGCGGTGGGGCGGTGGGTAACCGGGACAGGCCAGTGGACAGCCGGCGTCGCGGCGGTGGGGACTGGGGGCGCACCAGTACGCCCGGTACGCCGCACGGCCAGCAGTTCGGGGGAAGGGGGAGGTGGGCACCCCCGTCGCGGCTGCGGCCATGCTGCGGCCGCCCCGCCGACCGCTTCCTGGCCGGCCTCGCGGCGCTCGCAGCGCCGGCCGGTACATGACCCTCATGGTCGTGCCGCAGTGCCGCCGGATGCACGTGCGGCCCAGGAGGCGGCGTGCGTGCTGCGCGGGGACTGGCGGGGACGCGCAATGTGGGCAGAGCCAAGGAAGGCCGAGCCGCGGAAGGATGAGCCAAGGAAGGATGAGCCACGGAAAGGCACAGCCGCTCTGGGGGTCGGGAACCCTCCGCCTGCTGACCCACCTCGACGGCGGCGTCGTCATCCCGGCCACGTTCTGGAGACTCGCGCCGCAGTCCAGACGGAACCAGAACGGGGGGCGTGGAGGCTCTGTTGGGGGCTCCGGGGGGTCCCGTTGGGGGTCTCCAAGGGGTGCGCCTCGCCGCTTCGGCGCGCGGGTGACGATGTACACTGTGATGCACATATGACCGGAGCGCGCGGCCGGCACTCCGGGGCTTCTCAGCTCCCCCTTCTAATTGGATTGAGCAACAACAGCCAGCCTGGCCAGGAATTTGTGTTGTGCCAGAGGCTAGTCTGGCACCACTGGGCCGACTGGGCCCCGCTAGCCCCCTCCCTTTCCTGCGCCTCGGCACCCCCGTCTAGGTTAGTCTAGGCCGGTCTAGGCCAGTCACCGCTCTAGCCGGACTTGGAGCAGCGGTCCGCGGCGGCCGGGGGACACTCTGATACCCTTCCCCTGCACCCTTCTCCCTCCCCCTCCCGGCACAGGTGCGCGACCGGCACTGCAGCGGGGCAGCTTGAGCCTGGCTTTGCTTAACAACTCCATACACGAGTCGAGACGCCTCTGGCGTGGCGGGGCGTGGCGGGGCGTGGCGGGGCGGGGCGTGGTGACAGAGTCAATAAGTGCAAGTGGTGACCTGCAGGACCGCGAGTTCGCTCACCGCGACACGCGACAAACCGGAAGCACGACAGCAGCGGGATTTGCGCCCCGATCCAACGCACCGCACGTTTCGCTTCAAACGGGCGGAACCGGCGGGACTTCCCCCGCGTCCAGAGACGTCCAGGGGCGCCCCGCCGAGGCCCTCTGAACGAAGCGAGGCGGGCGGCCGAACCGTCGTCGTCTTGACGTGGAGTACAGTAAAGCACTGACAACACACAATCTGAGCCGGCCGTCGCCGCGCCGCCACGTCATGATCATGACGAGTCTGGAGAGGCCGAGGAATGCCCGGGACTAATGACGAGTGGGCGTTCAGAAAAGGGGAAAGAGGATCCGCGTGGGAGGCGCTGGGCGGCGGGGAGTGGAGGGCGGGGGGCGCCGGGCGAGGGGAGGGTGCCGGCCGCGTGCCCCGGTGTGCACCACGGCCCGCCGGCCATGGGCCCGGCCCTGCCCTGCCCTGCCCTGCCCGCCGCCGGCCGTGGATGGCCCTACCCGGCCCGGCCTGGGCCCGGCCAGTGAGGCAGTAGTGTCGCAGACCGTGGCACCGGCCGAGGCGTGGCGGCGCGTGGTGGAGCCTGGCGCTGCAGGAGCTGCAGGACTCGGGATGCGGCCGCAGTGACGGGGCAGTGACGGGCAGTGACGGGCCGACGAGCGGGTGCCGTGTTCCGTGCCGTGCTCCGCGGTGACCGGCAGTGTGGCCAACGAGTGCGAAGCGTGGCCAAGCCCGAAGGGAAGAGTGACCATGTGCGCGAAAATGCGGTGGCACGCTGTCACGGGATGAGGGACGCGCGTCCGGCCGTCTGTAGTACTGTGTGGTTGTGACCGTGTCCGCGAAAGCCCCCGCGACGCCGTCCGTGACATCGTCCGTGACATCGTTAGTGACAGTGGTTTCGGCGTCAAAGGATTTCCACCTGCGTCGACACGATGGTGCGTATTTTGGGTTGCCGGCGTCGTGGTGTTAGGCTGGAGCTGTGGCGGTCGCGATCGGTGTGAACCAGAAGTGAGGTCGCCGAGTCGCACCACGCGTGCTGACCGCGCCATTCGGCGAGTTCGCAGTGGGCCAGCGCCAACATGTCGCCAATAGGCACTCAGCCCTGTGAGTAGGCAACCCGCCGCCCGGCTGAGTGAGGGATCGCCTACCCTTGGCGTCGTGCCTCTCACGCCAGTGGCAAGGCAAGCAGCCGCCCGCTAACGTGAACTACCCTTTCGGTTGGCTTCCTCGTTTTCTGGAGAGAATTGGCAAAATTAGAATCTTGAACTAAACTGGACATTGAGTAGGGCGCTTACACCCTAAAAGTCGGCTTTCCTACAGGTAAGATTCCTAGATAACGTTTCACCTAAACGTGATGCAAATCGGAGGTTTGCCGATGCAGCGCGGCGTGAAAGTAGGGTTGCACAGTTTAAACAAAGATGCCTCGTCAACCCGCGGCCTCTTCCCTCGCCCCACGTGCTCGCTGGCGGCTCGCGGCTCCCGGACGGCCCCCCGCTAGCCGGCTGGGGCTGGCCGGCGTGTGGCGCTCTTCGCTGGCTTCGAATTAAGCCTAACAAGAGCAAGAAGCAGACCTCCGCGGAGTCCTGCCCGCCGTGCCGGCCGCGCCGTGCCTCCGCACGCCCCCGCGACCTACTCAATGGCGCCTCGGCGACCAGTCGGGACCAGTCAATGCGAGCTTGTCGTAACCTTTCAATCAAAGGACTGCTACCCGGTTTGAAGGTCTTACTGGGCGTCGTGTGCGTGTGTGTGTGTGTGTGGGGGGGGGGGGGGTAGCCCGCCCGTCCGTGCCGCACTCATTCATTAGCGAGCTTGGAGCACGCGGCATGCGGGATGGCCTGGACGACGCGGGTTCGGGTTATGGCCGAGGAGCGGGACTCGTCAGGCTTTGGCTGCCGCTGGCCTGGCCGCCTCTGGCTTTGGCGTGGGATGCGCCGTGCACTATGGGCTCCTTACTTCCGCCTGGGCCAGGCCCGGCCAGGCCCGGCCAGGCCCCTGACGCTCCGGGCGGGGCGCTTGGAGAGGCTTCTTGACAGCTGCGTCCGGGCCGGGCCCATCCCATCCCCTGCGCGCCACCTGGGCGGCAGGGCAGGGCGGCGTCGGCTCGGGTGTCGCATGCGTGCGATCACGCCAATATGAACGCGCCGCCGCGCGCTGGCCTACACTGTGCAAAATGACGACGCGATTCAGTTTTAGAGCATGGTCGCCTCGAGCCTTTGTCGTCGCGTTGGTTGACGTTGGCGATGACGCGTGCCGCGTGCGTGCCGCAGGCGGCGTGGCTGACGGTGCTGCTGCTGCTGCTGCCGGGCTGCCTGCTGCCGGCGCTCGCGCGCTCCCGCCTCTCGCTGGACGACCGCAACAAGGAGTACCTGCCCTGCTTCTTCAACCCGCTGTGCACGTGCAGCAAGTCCGTGCCCGACCTGGGCATCGTGCGGTGTCGCGACGTGCCGCTGCCGCGCGCGCCGCCGCCGCTCAACGCCTCCAAGGTGTACTCGCTGCACCTGGACAACAACGGCCTGCGCTCCCTGGACGCCCACTTCCTCACCGGGACGGGTAGGCAACGTCGCCCTGTCGCCTTGCGTTTTCGCGGGGCAGCACTCTCCATTAGGCCCTCTGGGTTGCAGGCCTGTACCGCCTGGAGCTGAGCCGCAACCCGCTGGTGCACGTGGCGGACGAGGCGCTGCTGGGGCTGGAGCGGTCCCTGTCCGAGCTGGAGCTGCCCTGGAACCGGCTGACGTCGGTGCCGAGCCGCGCGCTGCGACACCTGCAGAAGCTGTACCTGTTGGACCTCACCGGCAACGACATCAGCGATGTGTCGCACGAGAACTGGCGCGGCCTGGAGCGCTCGCTCAGCACGCTGGTGCTGGCCAGGAACGCCATCCAGGTAGGCGGCGTCAAGGTGGCACGCCGACGGGGTGCTTGTCGTTGTGCCACGGTTCGCTCTGACCGCGTCTTGCGCAGGCCTTCCCCACGCCGGGCACCTTCAGCGCGCTGGCGGCCCTGGAGACGCTGGACCTGAGCGGCAACGCCATCGCGGAGGTGCACGGCGACTCCCTGTTCAGCGGGCCGCACCGCCTGCAGCACCTGTACCTGGCCGACAACCAGCTGCAGTGGCTGCCGTACCAGCAGATGGCGCACCTCAGGTAAGCCTTTAGGGCCCTGGCGGCCAATCCAAATCGTTTCCTTCCTCGAGCGTGACCGCGACCTTCCTCCTCCTCGCAGGCAACTCCGCACGCTGGACGTGTCGTCCAACCGGCTGTTCAGCCTGGAGCCGCAGCCCGGCGTGTCGCCGCACGAGACGCGCCTGCGCCTGGTGCTGGACGAGCTGCACCTGGAGCACAACGAGCTGCAGCACCTGCCGCCGCAGGCCTTCCACCACTTCGAGATGGTCAACAAGACGCTGCTGGACGGCAACCCGCTCGTCGAGATCCAGGAGAAGGCCTTCCGCGACGCGCACATCCGCGAGCTGTGGATCCGCGACTGCGGCCTCTCCTACATGCACCCCGAGGCGCTGGCCGGCCTGGAGGGCTGGCTGCAGGTGCGCCCTCTCTCTCACTCCCCGCGGTGTAGACACCACAGCCTCTGTCTGACTCCCCGCCCTCGCCTCCGCAGGTGCTGCAGCTGCCGGCCAACAACCTGACGCAGCTGCCGGCGCAGATGCTGACGCGGATGGACCAGCTGCGCGAGATCAACGTGCGCGACAACCGCCTGGACAACCTGGACCCGGACGCGCTGTTCAACGCCTTCCGGGAGCGCGTGCAGCGCGTGGACGTGGGCGGCCGCAGGAACGGCGTCACCAGCCTTCAGGAGTTCAAGAAGTGAGTGAGGGTGACGCCCGCCGGCTCGCGTCCGCGGCCTCGCCGTCGCAGAGGTAACCCTGGCCCTCCCGTTGCAGCATGCGCAGCCTGCGCGCGCTGTCGGTGTCGCGCGTGCCGCAGAAGGCGCTGTCCATGGCGGACTTCGAGGACTTCGCCCCCGAGCTGGACGAGCTCAAGGTGTCGGACGGCGGCCTGCAGACCATCAAGAACCACGCGTTCCGCCACGTGCGCGGCCTGCGCTTCCTCGACTTCTCCGACTCGGACATCAACACCATCGAGAACGACGCGTTCCAGGAGGTACGGGAGGGACCGGGGTAGGGACGGCTGTGGGGCAGTGTCCAGGTGCTGACGCGGTGCCGCCTGTTGCAGGTGAGCCACTCGCTGCTGGAGCTGCGCCTGACGCGCGGCCTGTCCAGCTCAATGCGGCAGGTCCCCGGCGAGGCGCTGCGCCACCTCAACATCCTCACGCTGCTGGACCTGAGCCACAACCGCCTGCGCTCCGCGTCGCCCAGCGCGTTCCACCCGCTGCGCGAGCTGCGCTCCCTGCTGATGCGCGACAACCAGCTCGACACGCTGCCCCACCTGGAGGGCGACGTGCACCGCCACCTGGAGGAGCTGGACCTGTCCTTCAACGAGCTGCACGTGCTGCAGCAGCATGCTGTGTACGACCTGCCGCAACTGGAGCGCCTGGACCTGAGCGACAACCGCATCGGCCGCGTGGAGAAGCACGCCATCGCCAACCTCAACAGGCTGCGCCGCCTGGACCTCCGGGGCAACCGCTTGCAGCAGGTAAGGAAAGGACTCGCGCTGACGCCCGCCCTGGCGAACCAGCACTGTGTCTAAGACAAGCTTCGCTCCGCAGGTGGACCCCGAGGCCTTCCAGAACCTGCCCGAGCTGGTGGAGCTGGACCTGGCGTACAACGACTTGGCCGAGCTGGACTTCGGCATGCTGGACCAAGTGGGCACGCTGTCGTCCTTCCGGCTCAACGTCAGCCACAACCACATCCACCACCTGGAGATGTACCTGGGCGTGGGCCGCGACGCGCACTTCCAGGCCAACGTCAAGATGCTGGACCTGTCGCACAACAACGTGTCCACCGTGGCCAGGTACTACTTCCGGCCCGTGGAGGAGTGCATCACGCACCTGCTCATGTCCTGGAACGCGCTGCGCAACGCCACGCGGGACGTGTTCGGCAACATGCGCTACCTCACCTGGCTGGACCTGTCCGCCAACGAGCTGCTGGAGATCGACTTCGACACGTTCCGGAACTCGCGCAACCTGCAGGTAGAGCTTGGGCGACGCGGGAGCTGAGTCTCTGGTCCACGGGGGCTGAAATAACCTCTTCCTCGGTCCATCGGTCCGTAGGTGCTGTACCTGGCCCGCAACTACCTGTCCGACGTCCCCACCGAGCTGTTCCGCGCGCTCAGCCACCTCCGCCTGGTGGACCTGTCGCACAACCGCCTGCGCACGCTGCCCGACAACCTGTGGTCCGAGCCGTCCATGGAGCGCGTCGACCTCTCGCACAACCAGCTCAGCCGCATGCCGTACAACAGCTTCTCGCCGCAGGCCGCCGCCACCCTGGTCGAGTGGGACCTCTCCCACAACTTCCTGGTCGCCCTCACCTCGCCGGAGAACATGGGCAAGTTCCGGGTGAGTCGGCGTCCCACCAGGGCGCTTTCACTAAGGAATGAAATAAAGCGTGTATTGTTGTCTGAACCTCAATTCCCGTTTCTTTTCCAGTCACTGCAAGTCCTGGACGTGTCAACAACCGCCTGACGCAGCTAGAGGACGCGCCGTTCTCCGCGCTGCCCCGGCTGTCCATCCTGGACCTGTCCCACAACCCCGAGCTGCGGCTGGAGCCCCGAAGCCGCACCTTCCAGAACATGCAGGAGTCCCTGCTGGACCTGAGGCTGAGCAACATCACGCTGCACCAGGTAGGCCGGGCCGGCCCGGCCCGTCAGGCCCCGCGCCGTGGTGTGCGGCACACTGTACGCCGTGGCGGCACCACACTCAAACGTATCCTTCCGACAGGTCCCCGAGATGCCGCTGCCGGCGCTGCAGGCGCTGTGCCTCAGCCACAACATGCTGGTGCAGCTGCCGCCCGAGATGGCCAACCACCTGTCCTCGCTGCGCCGCCTCGACCTCAGCTTCAACGGCCTGCCGCAGGTCAGCCTAGAGGGTCAGCCGAGCCAACGCCGGCGGACGGCGGGATAGGCCACCACCGCCCCGCCCGCGCGCGGCTGTGCGGCGGGTCGGCCTACGCTCACTCTTGTCGCTTTTCTTGACTGCGTTTGGTGTTTGGCGGTGTAGGTGCCGTTGGTGACGACGCAGCTGCCTCAGCTGCGGCGCCTCAACCTGGCGGGCAACCCCATCTCCGTGCTGTCCAACACGAGCCTGCTGGGCGGCGCGGAGCGGCTCAGGGAGCTGGACTTGCGGCGCCTGCCGCTGCAGCACTTCGAGACCGGCGCGCTGTCCAAGATCACCACCCTGCAGAGCCTCATGCTCACCACCTACAAGGGCGTGCCGGACTTCAACATCCCCATGCGCCTGCAGGACAACCACGGGCTGCGCAGCCTGCTCGTTGAGGTGTGACCGCTTGGTCTGGCCCGCATGGCGCCTCTGCTCTGCTGCTGTGCACCCTGCACTCCACTAATGTGCTCTTTGCTACAGGTGGACGACGAGGGCGAGGACCTGGACGGCGAGATGCGCGGCACGCTGCCGGACAAGCTGTTCAACATCACCTTCACCGGGCTGTACCTCCGCTCGCTGCCCGTCGACATCTTCATGGTGAGTCCCGGTGCTCGTGGTCGTGCCCCTCGCGCCGCGCCCCCGCGCTCTCGCTCACGCCCGGCGTGTCTGTCTGCCGCCAGGGGGTGCGCACGTCGCGGTTCCTGTTCACGCTGCGCAACACGAGCGTGGACTCGCTGCCGCGCGGCATGTGGGAGCAGATGGACCACGTGCGCAACCTGACGCTGGACCTGCGCAACAACTCCCTCAAGCACCTGGGCAACCCCAACATGGCGGCGCGCCCGGACCAGCGCGGCATGTTCCTGACCAGGCTTCAGATGGCGGGCAACAAGTGGTCGTGCGACTGTGACTTGGGGTGAGTCCATGTTCTGGTCGCATTCTGTCTCTGTCGCACTCATTGGGCGTCACGTAGGAGTGCGAGAGAGACCGAGCTTTCCTCGAGGTCACTGTGTCCGTCCTGCCGCAGGTGGGTGGAGGTGTGGGAGCGCAAGAAGAGGCAGTACTGGTGCCCGCGGCCCAGCCGCCCCCTCGGCCCGCCGCCCGCGCACGAGTCCCGCGAGTTCCTGCACTGGGAGTCCAACGTGGACTGCCGCGAGCTGCACGAGGACGACATGCGCGAGGCGCACTGCGGCCGCGGCGGCCACAGCGTCATGGAGGCCATGAAGGGCGACCTGGAGTGCGGCTGGGGCGCGGGCGCGCACCTCGGCCCCAGCGGCCCTCTCGTGCTCCTCATCGTCGCCTTCTGGACGGTCTTCGCCCGCGCGCTCAACCCCCTGAACCCCGCCCAGTCCTAGTCAGGGGAAGGGGAGAAGTCAAGTCAAGTCGGGGCGGGGCGGGGCGGGGCGGGGAAGTCCTCAGACCCGCCGCCGCGGCGCCCGCTGCGCCAGGCCTAGTCCAGGCCGTTCTGAATGTCTGAATCCAACGGAGGGCGGCGCCGCGAGTGCCGCGAATGGGCACCGCGACACCGCTTTGCCTTCGCCTCACAGTCGCTGGCGTGTGACTGTCCCACTGTTTCGATTTGCAGCGCGGCGTGGTGGCGATGGCGAAGGTGGCGGGCCTGCTGGAAATCACTCGACGCGTCCTAAGCGCGGAGGCGGGGCCCCGGGGCGTCACGGAATGGAGCGGGTGGGGTGGGGGTGACGCCGAGCTGTCGGAAAGCCAAACTTTGCCCTGGATCGTGCATGTGATAAAGCTGTAGGCTTGCTTTGCATCTGAAAAAAAAAAAATTAGTCTGATTTATGGGTTTTATTTTTCATCGTCGAGTAAGACGTCTTTCGGCGATGCTGGATGCAGCATAAGCATTTAAATCGGTCTTGGGTGTTTAACTTATGGGGAGATTTCGTAGCTTCAGCAAGCTACCACATTATCAGGGTAGATACTGTATCAACAACAAAAATGTATTTCATTTGTTTTTACAGTTTTGAAAAATTGATTTCTCCTTCAAAATAAAACGAGACAGACAAATTAAAATTTTGACATGTAATTATATTTTGCTCATGGTCGGAAGATAGGGGGTTTACTTGTCCTATGGAAATTTAGGCTTTTTGAAGATATTTTCTGTACGTGTCGTGTGGGTGGCCTATCTTTTTGGCGCCCCCGCCACAAAGTTGGGCAACCCTTTCGACACACAGTTTTATTTATTTATTATTGTGAAGAATAACGTTGTTGTGATGTCGCATTGACTACCGGCTCATGTGTTCTTTTCCAAACTGTAACTGCAGTTCATAGTTCATTTAAGACTGCACATCATTTACAATTACTGCCATGTCTGTCATCTGTGTCATTTCCTTGAGAGGTGTGGCCACTGGATTATTTCCACAGGTTTAAACGACATGGTGGTGCCTTCTCTGATATTTTTTAAATGATTTTTTTTCTCATTTCATTCTGCACCATTCAATACATTTTGTTGTGTGACTCATTTATTTAAATCTACATGATCACTGCCGACGAGAGTAGCAATATGTCGTAGGTAAACCTAATGTAAGGGTCAACAGAGGCCTTGATGCCAGAAGTGAATTTGGCCTTTGCCATATTGATCTCCTTTCCAATTTACTGCATACTTTAATCATAAATTACCAGATTCTTAACAAAGCTGTTCTACAACTGTTCTTGACTTTAAATTTAAGCAAAGATTTCACATGAGGGGCCATATATATTAGATCTGAATTGAGACCATGTTTACTAGGCCAACACTTTGTGATACAACCACATGCAATTATCATTAGAGTAGCTGCATCACACTAGCATCTTTTCAATTTAAAATTTACTAGAGTAGGAAGAGAGGCTTTTTTTACAATGATTCAAAAGAATCATACTGAATGAGTTCTAAATTACTTATTGTTGCAACATTGAAGAATTTGATAACACAAATAAACATGGTGTCAAAACATATGATTAGTGGTAAGAACTCCGCTCAGATTATACTTTGTGTAAGAGTTGCTGACGTGGAACAAGGAGCAATTTGATGCCAACCAAATCAGTTGTTATGTTGCTGCAAAGTGTCAATTTTGCTGCAGGGTTTCAGAAATTGTATTTTAAATAAACGTCATATTCTGGCAAAATGAATGTGTTCTTATTTTATTCCTGGGCCCAAGGTCAAATAAGGAAAAAGACAGACATTAGTTGTCTACATAACAATTTATTGTTCATATTCACAAAACTATACAAAATCATCTCAAAGGATACCGTAAGCACAGAGTACAAATCAAATGTGCTGTTCTAAATAAGTGAGCTAAAGCTGAATGTATAGTAAGTAACAGTATTATCCATCACAGCCAAATTTCCTGAAAGAACAATACTCCAGGTACTACAGAATGGATCAATTCAATGAAAATGAAAATCATATGTAGAAATGTTTAGAATACTGAAAAGACACAGAATGATTGGAATGAAATATTACCGAATGTCCTAGTGTTTTTGATACTGACGGTTAATACAATTATTAAATAAACCAAAACGCCACATAGTATAGACATTCTCTTACTAACAGGGTGAAATTTTGTGCCCAGAATTGTTTTTTTTTTTTTTTATAAACAGAATCAGGTGCTCAACTAGAGAGAACTAAGATCACTCTTTAAAAAAATATTCAATGAAGAATATTTTTTATAATCTAGGTAATTTTACACACCTACATAACACAGTTTGAAAACAAACACATAGATAAACATTGGAACGTACTAGAAAGTCCTACACAAATAAACAATTGAATTTTTCTCTGAGTCTATCGATGGAAAAGACAAAATCCATCACAATGTCGCAGAAGATTTTTAAAACTTCAATCTTCAACCGCAATGTCAAGAGTAAAATAAAACCATGATAGGAGAGCTCACTTAAACTACAGGTGCAAAATACTAAATCAACAAAAGGGACCAAAAAAAAAACTAAAAAAGAGAGCGAGTGTTAAACCAGAGAGAGCTAACAATCCCATAGTTACAGCCACTCAATTGTGCTAATACAATAACAGTGCGCAATATAATAATAGTAATAATACGATCCCTAACCACCACCCAAAACCCTGAAAAATAAGTCAGAAGGCCAACAAAACATTAAAAAAGGGACAAACTGTCATAACAATAAAACTGACTAAAATTACAGAGAACTTTCACACTGTAACCGAATCACATAAAAATGGATGAATGCACCGGAAGCACTAAACTCAAGCTCCAAATGCTCCATGTACAATGTGCTACGCGTTGCAACTTTCGATCGTCTGGCCCGCTAGAGGGGGAGCGTTGTTCGCTTCCGGGTCTTCCTCGCGTTTCCTGATTTCGATGGCGAGTTTGTACCCCAGCTCCGCGCGACGATCTCTCCCCTCCACCATGGCTTTGACCTGCAACAGGACGGAAAGGAAAGGCAGTCCGTGAAATTGCGAAATCACCGCAAAAAGTGGCGGCCAGCTTGGCGTCAGCGCTTGCACTCACCTGGTTGGAGTTGACGATGACCCCGCTGCTGGAGGCCACGGTCTTCTTCGTCTTCTCGATGTCGCTGAGGTCGACGCCGCGACTGCAGTCATCGATGAGGACGGTGCGGTAGCCGATGGAGAGCGCGTCGAGCGCCGACGCTCCTGCAAGACAAAGGCAGACGGAATCGTCAGAAACGAGGGAACGGCTGGGCTGGCGGCAGCGAGCCCGAGCGGGACACACTCTCCGGGCACTCACCCACGCAGACGTCGTACGCCAGCCCGCACACGTAGATGTCCGTGGCGTTCTTGGCCCTCAGCTCGTCGCTCAGCGTGGTGCGCGTCAGCTTCTTGTTGTCCCAGAACACCGAGTACGAGTCCACCTCCGGGTTGGTGCCCTTGCAGATCTTGATGGCGCCCTCCACCACCTTGAGGTCCTTGTGCAGCTCGGCGCCCCACGAGTCCTGCACGCAGTGGCGCGGCCACAGGCGCTGCTTCATCAGGGGAGGGCCCTCGAACACCACCGTGTCGTACGTCTTGGCGTCCTCCGCCTTGACCTGCAAACACGCCAGTTAGAATCAAAATTTGACGACAAGGGAAAGGAAGGGCAGAGCAGCCTACGGCCTTGGCTACGGCGGCCCACCTGACTGGACGGGTCCACCCGCCGGTAGGGCAGGTTGTCGATGAAGGACACGTGGTCGCTGGGGTGCCAGTCCAGCGAGTAGAAGACGGCGTCGAACTCCACCGTGTCCAGCAGGCGGTTGATGGGCTCGATCACGTCCAGGCCGTTCTGCTGCGCCGCGCACTGGCTGATGTTGAGCGTGCCGCTGATGAAGTCGTTCTGCACGTCCACGATGAGGAACACGGACACGGGCCGGACAATCTGAAAATGTTACAATCATTTTTGTTTTTACAAGTGTAGCGCAACTTTCGCCTGGCCGTCACCCAGGCCGCGGCGAGGAAGCGCCGCTGCCGTTTGCGCCATTCCCCCTCCCCCTCCCCCGCGCTACCCAGCGAGGTTCAAGTTTAGCAAACTGCGGCACCACGCCTTCGATTCCCGCCGACTCGGAGCGATAAGCCCAAATGTGTGGAGACACGAAACCTTTCATGGCTCCGCAGCGCAGCACCGCGCGGCGCTCTGCCGGGATGGCGGCGCCGGGCAGCGCGGTACCTCCCCAGCCTAAGGCCCCAGCCCAGTGGTTCTCAACCTTAGGGTCGCGAAAAAATTTTAAGGGGTCGCGGCGAGGTAGCTGGGGTCGTGTTTTGGGCCGATTTTAAGCAGCCACTGCGTCTGATCCGAGGCGGGCATTTTGCTCCCTCAACCGGCAATTGGTCTTTGAACCTTCCTTTAGCATGCCTTTGTTACGGAGTGTGATTATCAGTCTTAGTTTGGGAGCAGTATTGCCTCAAAGTTGGCCGAAACGGTCAGAAATGTCTTTGAAAAATCGTGTTTTGGGCCTATTTTAAGCAGCCACTGCGTCTGACCCGAGGCGGTATTTCGTCCTCCTTCAACGGGCAATTGGTCTTTGGACCTTCTTTTAGCATGCCTTTGTTACGGAGTGTGATTATCAGTCTTAGTTTGGGAGCAGTATTGTCTCAAAGTTGGCCGAAACGCTCAGAAATGTCTTTGAAAAATCGTTGTGCTTTGTTTTTTGTAACTTTGAGACAATACTGCTCCCAAACTAAGACTGATAATCGCATTCCGTAACAGAGGCATGCTAAAGGAAGGTCCAAAGAACAATTGCCCGTTGAGGGAGCAAAATGCCCGCCTCGGATCAGACGCAGTGGCTGCTTAAAATCGACCCAAAACATGATTTTTTAAAGACATTTCTGAGCGTTTTGGCCAACTTTGAGACAATACTGCTCCCAAACTAAGACTGATAATCGCACTCCGTAACAGAGGCATGCTAAAGGAAGGTCCAAAGACCAATTGCCCGTTGAGGGAGCAAAATGCCCGCCTCGGATCAGACGCAGTGGCATGCTAAAGGAGGGGTCCCGTGGGGTCGCGAAACTTTTCCTGGGGGTCGCGGAAATTTTTGGCTACAAATTTGGGGTCGCGAGCCGAGAAAGGTTGAGAACCGCTGCCCCAGCCCCCCGCAGCCTGCGTCTGCGTCACTCCAGCGCGGCGCTTGCGGCGCCACTTTCAGTTCCAGCGCGACTTGGCTGTTTGTTCCAGCGCGACTTTCAGTTCCAGCGCGCGACTTGGCCGTTCGTTCCAGCGCGCCCCCTGGCGCCCTCTCCGCACTCCATCCAGCCAAAGCCGAACAGGGGCCAAAGCGCGCCAATACCGTACCGCCGCGATCCGGCCGGAACCAGTCAAGCAGTCGGCAGCCGCCCGGAGGAAAAACACTCTAAATCGCTGCTCGGCTGCTTCGGTCCGCATCGCGCATCGGCCTATCCAATGCGAGGCATGACGACGCGGGAACACGCGAGGGCTTCTGCAGGGCGCCACGTCATTGAGACTGACGGCGTCACGGTGACGTCACAACACGAGGCGCCGGCCGGGGCGGGGCGGGGCCCACTTTTCCTTTTTGGCAGCTCTGCCGGCGCTGGCTGGCCCTGCAGCACGCCATTACTCACAGGCAATACGGCATCCCCTCGCTGCCCCGGGCCAGGCCTAGCCAGGCCTCGGCATGACCCGGCACGGCACTCATCAGCGGAATCCGAATCAGCATTGCCAATCCCGATGCAGCGACGGCCCGGCCCAGCACAGCGGCACCGCACCGCACCGCGCTGCAATCGCATGCCTTCCTTTATTTCGCTATTTTTAGCCGGCCGGGACAAATAGCTCACCGACTTGAGCACGGGACGGAAAAAAGGAAAACTTTCCCGCCGGAAAAAGAACGGCGGCGGATTCAATGTCGCTAAGTCTCATCGCCGCCGCCCCGCGCGCCTAGGTCCACTGCAAAGTTCGAAGCCGACTCGAGGCTGACTCGAAAGGCGTCAGCCGGCGTCAGCGAGGCGCGGGCATTGCGCGGGACGCGGGGTCGCGCCTTCCGCCCCTGTGCTCTCGACGGCGGCGTGGCGGCGATGACAGTCGGGCCGTGTTCGCCATTCCGATACAGGTCGATGCGGGGCGACGTCATCGCCATGAAAAGTAAGTACTCGGCGATCGCTGCGTCAGAAGCAGCCAGAACACGAGCCGCGCCGAGCCGCGCCGAACCCGACCGCGGACAAGGCCGACAAGGCCGAGCCGCCCCACTGGATGGATGGGCCGAGTCCTCCGCGGCGCGGCCCCGGCCCCGCCTCGGCCCCGCCGCAGTGAGGCATCAGGCGTCACGCGCGGGCCGGGCCGGGCCGGCCTACACTGCCTGCCCTTGGTGCACTCGGCCGAGCCATTCGCCCTGTCTCTCCCGCACCCTCGCGGGACGCACCCCGAGTGCGACAGAGACGAGACAGCGCGACGAACAGAGTCCGCAGTCGGCACGGCGGCACGGCCCGTTGGCGGCGACAGTCTCCGCTTTCAATCCGCGCTGTCGGGCCGACGTCGCGCCGGCTTCCGGAAAGTGGACGAAAGCGAGGAAAAGATTTGGCGAGGCGCAGGGCTGGATGGCGGGGCTGCTCCCGGCCCGGTGATAAATTAAAGCCGCCTAATGGTGCGGGAAGGCGCGTCACGCGATCACCTGCCTTGGCTGGCAGGGCCGCGCAGGCACACCGCTAGAGGACAAAGGAGGGGGAGGGGGAGGGGTCTCGCCCTCCGGCCTCGCCTTGCACTTCGAGAGTGTCTAAAGATAGGCGTTCGCCAACACAAAGCGGCAAAGCGGTCTGCCCGAGGAAATTAATTTGGCCCAAGTGGGGCAACGCCGGCAACGCAGCGGCCCTATAAATACGCTTCGCCTTTTCGCCTTCCAGGGAGGCTTTGGCCCGCCAAGGGGCGCCTGACCTTCCGCAAGCCGGGCGGGGCGGGGCGGGGCGGGCGGGGCGGGGCGGGGCGTGCTGTCTGCAGCGGCGAGGCTCGCCCAGCGCAAGGCGCCCGCAACACCGACGATAGGCCGCCCGCTCCACACGCCTGTCGGAGGGTTGCCTACCCTCGGCACCGCAGGGGCTCGAGGCTCGAGGGGTAGACGGCAAGGCCTGGGACTCCGCAGAGCGGCGTGCGCCTCCGCGCTCATTGCATGCCGTACCCGAATGTGGGGCAGAGGCCGGCAGAGGGTACCCGACCCAAAGTGCAGCCCGGCCCCACCCCACCTCTCGTTCACACGTTGCCGCGGCTCACTCTGGCTCACTCAGGCCGCCTCCAGCGCCGCGCAGCCGTCTCACTCCCACCCCCACTGCAACCACAACCGCCGCAAAATGGAGTCTGCTCCCACCCCCGGCCGACACCCCCACCGCCACCGCGAGGCGCCCCGCCCCGCCCCCGTCGGTACCGGCCAGAGATCGCTCCATCCAACGCGCCCTGCCCGCCCTGCCCCGCCCCGCCCCACCGCCCCGCGCCGTGCCGCCACCCCCCGCGTGGCCTGCATCTTGCCTCTTGGCGCCTCGGGGTCGGCGGCAACCCCCGACGAGTCAAGCACCCCGACAACACCTCGCCTGGAGCACTTCCGGAGAGAGGAGGGCTCTTTGCGCCCACGCCAGGCCTCCGCCCTCTTTACAGCGTGGCCATCGCGAGACCTTCACTGTAAAAGCCAATGGAACAGAGTCCCTCCCGACCTCCGCGAGTCCTGGCGCGTCCTGAGTGACTCGGAGCTTTCCGAGTCTCGCTTCGACCGGGCGGACCGGGCCGCGGCGCCGTGGCAGTGATCGCCCTTCATGCCGTCCGGTTCAACCACCCCGGCACCCCGGCCGGGCGCTTTGGCTGCTTTGGCACCCTCCTTGGTACCCGCATCCTGGGGGCGGGGCGGTGGCAGCGCCCCTCGGGGCCCGCGCTCCCCTCTCCCTCTACCCCTTCTCAGCCGGCGCGAGGTTCGGTCGCGTTTCGCCTCAAGAGGGTTGTGTCCGCCGCGTGGTGCTTTATTACGCCAGGTAACTAAGCGGCCCGGCGTGCCTTGGGCGTGCCTGCGGGGGTCCGCCAGTGGCTCGTGAGGCTCGCGACGCTCGTAATAACGGCCATAATGGGGCGGTGCGAGGCCCGCGAGGCGCGACCAACAAGTCCCGGGGCACCACGTGGAGGACGCCATTGTCGTCGCAGCCGACACGGGGCGACGCGGCCAAAGGCTAAAGGCACCGCCATTTGTTTCGCGTCCACAGAGAGCGCCCGGCAAGGCTCGCTTCGTCCCTCTCGCACGCCAGCGCGACGCCCCGCGAGTGCGAGAGAGAGGCAGCGACAAAGAGAATAAACACTCATCGGAATCGGCCCATCGGCCTGCAGCTGGTGACTTGAACGCATCTCAACGCAGCGCATGAGTTCGTCGACCACCGGACCGCGGCGACCACGCTTTATGCCATATCTTTCCTCATGCAAGGTAAATCATAGAAAGTTTTTGTTGTTGTTGCGAATTGTACGGTGATCGGGGGTTGGTGATTTGGCGGTTCGCCGATTGGCGGGTCGATGGTGCCGCGAGCGCCAGGGAGAGGAGGCGCCAACCCCCGCGGCGGAGTCCACGACCTTTCCCTCAGCGCCACGCCGCGCCCCGCCACGACAAAGGAGAGCAAAGTTTGACCGATCAGACCAACCAGCTACGGCAGCGCGCCGCGCCCCGCCCGCCGCAACAAGACCGTGCCCGGCAACTTGCGCTGCCTGAAGGCCTGCAGGCAGCCTAACCACGAGCGGCGCGGCGCCTACACCCTGCAGCACTACTACACCGCCAGCGGGGAGTCGGGGAGGGGGGGCCTGACGCCACACCGCCACACCGGCCCCGCGGCTCCGAAAAGTGCACAAAGTTTGGCCGGAATGGATGGAGGCGATGTAGCGCCACACCCGGGCGTGGCGTGTCGGTCACGGACGACCGGGCCGCCGCGCCGCGCCCGCGTGGCGGTGACAACCGGGAGCCCGCCCGCCCACTAGGGCCGCCGGAACGAAAAAGGGAAAAACATCCAGAAATAGGGCCATCAGTCGCCTTTACGGGGCAGGCGCGCGTTGCGTGCGAGCCGCGTGTGGATCAAAGGCCGGACCGTGCAGGGCCTGCAGACCTTGAGGCGCCAGGGCGGCGGGGCACGAGGAAAGGCACTCGTAACGTTTTCATCATCTATCAGGCCCTCAGCCAGCCAGCCCCCAGCCCTCAGCCAGGCCCCAGCCCTCAACCAGCCCTCAGCCAGCCTGCGCGAATGCACAGCGGCCGAGCGATTCGGAAGAGTCGTTTTGTCGCCCCATCTCAGTCGCTCTCATGCGGCTGTCCGTAAGGGCGTGAGAGAGACGGAGCGGCGAACCGCTCTTCCGAACCACGCGGCGAATCACGCCGTGAGAGCGGGCAGGTGCGCGCGCAAAATAAGCCAAAGCCGCCCGGCGCAGACCCACCAGGCCCACCGGGCCCACGCACACGGCAAGGCCGGGCCTCGCCAGGCTTTGGCACAGCGGTCCCCCAAAATACGGCCACGGCCCCGCGGCATTTTCGGCCGGCCCGAACGAACACAGCGCATATACGTACGACCGAAAGCCCCATAAGCGCAGAAAGGTCGAGGCTCGGCGGCAACCGCACTGGAGCGTTCGAAAACGACGCTAGATTACCGGACAAGTGACCCGCAAACTACGTCGTTTAGGCAATCTCGCGAAATTGGATCCCACTGCTAAAACTGCACTAGCTCGTTACACACGCTCTGCGCTTGATTCGGTTGCAGCGTGAGGCTTTGCGCTGCCGAAACGTCTACACCGCCCCGCGGGGCGAGGGGGGGAAGAGGGGGGGGGGAAGGGAGGAAGAGGAGGAGGAGGAGACAGGTGTTGTATTCGTGACCGCGACTACGTATCGGCAAGCACTTTGGGCGGATGTAGGAACGGGAAGCTTCTTGGAAACGATGGAGCACGGGGAAAGAAAAATAAAAGGGGGGAGGAGGAGGGTTGCACGCGCGCTTGCCTACCACCGATCTAGTCTAATCTAGACATCTGCCTCCGGATTCTGCCCGATGTGTAACCAACAGCACTCACCGTTTTGATCCACTGGTTCCAGCACCGCGTGAACTCTTCCCGGTCAATGTAGCCGTCCTGGAACACAGACGTCAGTCAGGACTCATTGCCCCAAATCAGAGCAGAGTTGGATCCCATCACAGGCTGAGGCCGACTTTTCTTTAAACTGGGGAGGCAAGGCAGTAGCGGCCAGCTTCTTGGTTTTAAAAATATCAACAGTTTGTCAGACCCTACTGCCACCTCCTTGAATCCATTTTGCACTTGCTACTTTGTGCATCCTTGAATTTGATTATTGAATCAAAGCGCATCCTATGTGGTGGAAATTTTCGGCAAACAGTTCATGAGCAAATATTAAGATTAACAATTGTCTATTTTTAACAATGAAGAGAAATTAAAACATTTCTTTAGTGTGCAAAAGACTTCAATACATGGTGCACAGAAAAATATCAGCCTTAATTTTACGTAAACATACCTTGTTTCTGTCGAAAATATTGAAGACCTCATACAATTGTTTTGGTTCAAGTGTGTAGATTTTGCCTTTATCATTTCTAAACAGTGCTCGACACACAGAACCAAATTCTTTCAAGTCTAAGTAGCCATCCCTGAAAAGCAATAGATAACAGAGATAACAGAGATAACAGAGATAACGAGCATGTAAAAAGATTAAGTTGCAATCAATGAAAATGATTATATCACGTTTCAAAGACATTTCACATTTCACAAGACGTATTAAGGGTGTCAGCAGATGGCAGGCCCAAAGGTAGAAAACTTGAACTATATTGAAGGTATGATCATGACAACCTTCTGTCAGGTCTCAGCCAGGGAATTCTCTAGTACAGTACCAAGGGAATCATAACCTAACTCACCCGTCTTTGTCAAACGCGGTGAAACAGGCGTCCATGTCCTCTTGTCGGTCAGGCTCGTACGCCCAAGGACCATCCAGCCCCTCACAGGGCTCCGCCGAGCACCCCGACTCCATAACAACTGAGGGGCGAGCAGCGGTTGCAGTCAATAAATTCGTGCAGACGCTGTTGTTCGCGACCGGTCGCTAGGTAGCAACACAGCAGAAGACAAGCGGACGGACAGACAGACACCCCTCCCCTGACCCAGGCTAGCCACCCTCCATGACCACCGTTTCGCGCGTCGCTCCACCCTACCACACTAGTTCGGCAATATTTTTTTAAAAAGCCACAATAGAAGATGAACCTCTACAGAAAAGACATCTTTCTTTATTGAAGCTATTGTAAGTCTATAGATTACCAATAAAACTACGTTGAGAAAATATTTGCTATTGTAACCCTGATGCGCAAGGCTTCCGCCACTTCCGCCGTGAGCCCTGCGCGAGGCTATCGGAAAGGTAGCGGGTGATTTGAAACCAGGATCTTTCCGAGACCTCACCTGTGTTCGGATTAAGTGAACCGAACAAAACTCATCGGTTGTCTCGCTCTTTTCACCGACCTGTGGTGGTGCCGGCGCCAGCCGTAACCGTGGTGGCTTCGTCAGGACTTGGAGTTCCCTGACGCTGCGCTTGCACTGCGGTGCCCGCCACGGCCGCACTGGTTGCAGATGTAGGTGTAGCAAAGGCCCCAGAGCACAGCTCGACGAGGACGACCAGGGAGTGGAACGCCAGAGCCCACGCCCAGTGGGCCGAGCGTGCCATGACGCCGCTCGGACTCCAGGCCTGGACCCGCCTGGACTCGGTGGCACACTGAAGAGCGGCCGCGGCCAACTGCCCTGGCACCAGGCTCACGCGGGCCTCAGGCCAAAGTATGCCCTGGCCCCGCCGCTACTCCGTGCGCTTCATGGAATGATAGCCATGAGCGTATCAGTGGCATGAGGCATGAGGGAATAAGAAACAAATGGGTAACAAAGTAACCAAATTTATTATCAACCCTTCAGAGGAGACCCAGTTTGGCAGGCCGTTAGAGGGACTGCCAAAAAAGATTACACAGCGAGCCCGATTCACCCAATAAAGCAAGAAGACTGCAACACTGCTAGGGAAATAGTAAACCTAGTTTCACTACATTACCTGTGTTCAATTTATTTTTAACACATCTTTGACTTACTATTTCACTGACACTTTCCTTCACTCAGGAAAGAAAATGATAATTAATTAAACTTTATAAACAAAACACAACAACATTGAAAGAAGAATTTATCTGTGTGGTTAATTTGCAAAATAGGCACTCTCGCCCAACACAAAAGCTTAATGAATTCCACAATCTCCATCAACAACACAGATAAAATGATCATAAATAATTTTAACCAAATACAGGTTATTACATTGAAAAAAAAGGGGGAAAATTAAGCAAACTTACTTTATACTCAAAAAGTAGACTTGTTTAGAAGGGCAAAAGTAAGGAAGTAATGTATGCTGAGACAGGAAAAAAAATTTTGTAAGAATTCCACAAAATCAAAGTGCTAAAAGAAATAGTTAAAATTCCTGGATAATGGCTAAACCATTACTATTTAGTTGGCAACTTGATATTGTAACACTTGCATAATTTTTCAATTACTTGATTCATATCTGCAATGATCTCTTCCTTTTTACATGCCTTCTGTTTGCAAAATGAAGCATACATTCTTTCTAGTGAGGTTCGGTCGTGACTAAAAATAAATCGTGAAGTCAAGTTTTTTACAACAAAAGGCACAATTTTCTTGATCCTCTTTTCTGCTGCTTTTAGCTTATTAGAGGAATGAAGGGGCATTCTAGGAAGTTTTTTAGTTGGTTTCTTCTTGGGAGTTAGAAGATTTATCTCTGGCTTGTCAATGGAAATCTTCTCTAGGCTAGAAGCGTTTTTGGCTTCTTCATTTGAGTCAGATGCTCCATCTGTCTTACTATCAAACATTTTCACTAAAGTTTCATCTAAATAAAATTGCCGTACAAGTGCTTTGTAATCATACCTTAGGATACCTTGAAATATTGGGGCATAATGTTTAAGCACTTGTTTATATAGGTTACCAATGGCCCCTTTCCTTTCTTTTAAACTTTGAATGAGCCGCTTGAGAGCAGCAACATGATCCGAGCCATCACAAAAGCCACATTTTCCTAACAGTATAATTGACAAGATTCTTGAGTAATGGCGAGCATCTTTTCTCTTTGATGAACTAGTGCCCTTGGCACATTTTACGAACTTTTGATAAAGTTGCTTCACAGTTTCATTGCAATAAATAGGAGAATCAATGAATTTCATTTCATTCTCAAGGAGACTTTGCAGAGGGGAATATTGTTTAGGTAAAGATGGGGGCAGATTCCACGCATCACAAATGGTCATTCCAGCATGATCACTATTTGATACTTCACCGGTAGCTTTTCCTTTGTAAGATTTTTGTTTGGTTGTTGGTGTTGTTTCAAACGGTGTTTCAGAGGAAGTGGAGGACTCTTCAAGATTTTCTGTATTGTATAGCAAATCAGCCTCTCCTTGGGTCTCTGCAATTTGATTGGAAGGCGCTCCTGCAGGAAGGCTTAAATTGTCTGTAGATGCTTCACTTGCACTGTTGTTTGTTGCCTCACTGTTCTTGATGGATGCTTCGTTTTCACTTGCATTCTTGATAGCAGATTCGCCTATTTTGTTGGTGGATGATTCACAAGCAATATTTGCTGATACAGTGCTTGCATTCTTAGTGGATGCTTCACTTTCGGTTTGGTTGGGTGTTTCACTTGCGATCATGTGAGGAAGGCTTGCATTCCGAGAGGACACTTCTTTGGGTGATGTCCAATTCATCACTCTTGATCGTACCTCCTCTATAGCCTATGTAGGAGAGAAAGCAGTTAATATCAATCGGTATTAGGAATTGCCAATTGATCAATTGATGGCCAGCATTAAAAATATGTCTCACTCACCAAAGTTGAGCCCTTCATGGACAGTTTTTTATAGGTAATGTCAAAGCTTGTGTGGATTTCTACTTGACATTGCACTGAAAGAGATTTTAAAAGCTCCTTTCCTTCCTCGGTATTCAACAGTGATGCTGCCTCATCAGTTAGCATCAATGAAAATGATTGGGATCCTTCAAATTTGGTTTCTTCAACACAAACATTTGAATAGCTTTTCTAAAATGAAAGAATAAATTATTAGACTACGAGAAGAAAATTAATTTAGACTACAACAAATGGTGTTGGCTTGGGATGTTTCCATGTTATATTTAAAGAATTTGTAGAGCTTACAATAAAGGGTGAAATGGATTCACACTTCCAATGTGGTAGATAGCATTCATGAGAGAGATGTCCTCTTTTTGCACAGTTAGAGCACCAATGTTCAGATCGGGGCCTATCATCTCCAGCAGTTGGTTGTGTAATGTCTCCAACAGAAGTCTAAGGGCATGACAGATTCAAAATTAATTGTGTTACAAAGGAGCAAAAAAAGATGAACTAATTCTGAAAAGATTAAGAATAAAACTAAAACACACCGTTAAATGGTAACGCCTCCACAAATCTGGACATGTCTTCCAGGTATGCGTGCGAGCTTTGCAAATTTTACAAAGTATGGAGTTGCTGGTACAGCTTTTGCATCTATCAGTAAAAATGGTGTTCTTTTTGCCGCACTGAAACAGGAAGGTTGCAAACATTGCAAAGTGAACTTGTTCTCTAACCCAGCAGGTACATATGATAGATTTTTCAAAGAGGGGTCCACGGCAGTTGTTGACACACTTAAGCAAACATACCCGTAAGCACATCTTCTCCTTGCACCGTGTTTCAGAATGCCCGGGTTGACCACACATATGGCATGAAATAATTTTTCGTGGCAAACGACATAAGTGAGTCTTATGACCAAACTCATTGCAGTTCACACATTTTGGCCCTCGAGGAGATTGCATTTTTGTTATGTCAGCTCTGCACAGTTGCCACAAAGACGGGTTGTCTGAAACAATATTTTGAAGTTTGATAAGCTTAAAGCCTTACATGTCAAAGAAGACCAAATCCTTGACAGTTCATTTATTAAAAAAGAGCAACTGCGGTAATAAAAAAGCCTACCACTCATTTTTCCCAAATATTTCTGATGGTCCAGATACTTTGACGCTTTTATGGGATTGTGGAGCCACCGGTCTAACCGGTTCCGTTTTTTTCCTGATACGACATCTGGCAGAAGAGATTTTTGTTGAGACTTCTGATCATCAACTAAATTTTCCTCTTCTACAATTATATCTTCATGATAGGACGAACGTTTGAGTGGTGTTACATCTTCAGGATGCGAATCAATTTGAGTGTTTGACTGTCTTTTATGTCCTTTCTGAGGAGACCTAAATTTTAAGAGAAAAGAAACCCAAGATTAGAGCTTATTTCAAAATAATGTCTCAATGAAACTAGCTAAGATTATCACTTACGTATTTTTGGTTTTGGAGGAGTCAATCACATTTATAACAACAACATCTGAACAAGAAACAAAAAATTATTATTTAATACATATCAAAACAAAATGAGACAAACAACAAGAAATGGAAAAATTAATAGACTGAAAACTTTTCTTACCATCATCAGAGCTGCTATCAATAACATTTTCCACAACTTGTGAAGAATCGTTCTGTTTTGTAAAAAAGAAATAACAGTAACAATCAGTGCTTAAAACAGAAGCCAAGAAATCTAGGAAAAAAAAGAAAAGAAAAAAATTGAAAGGATTACTCACAGTGGGCGCATATTCCCCATCTGATATATCAACTAAAACTGGTGTTGGCTTCACTGGAGGAGCAATTTCAACAATAGAACCAACTTCACTCTCCGAGTCAGTGTCACATGTGTTTACATGAGACTCTTGGTCTTTATGGTCTCTGTGGTCTTTGAGCTGCATTGAATATATGGATGGTTCCTCTGATTCTTGTTCATTTACATTATTATCTTCATCATTAATAATATGTTGGGTCTGAGCATCTGGAGTGTTGGTACGGCTGTCTGAAATGAAAGAAGTGTCATGCAATTGAAGACTACTGACACTTTCCTCTTCGATGGAGTCCACTCCAAAACTGTATTTAGATGACATATCAGCCCATGACATTCCAACACTCCAACCAGAATTTAACTCTTGAGCTGAGCTCAAAGAAGTCAACTGGGTTTCCTCCACTGATGATCTACTTTCTTCATCCAGCATAGATGAAAGAACTTTAGAAACTTTGGCCTCAAAGGTTGGCAGTTTACTTTTTTGGGACACTCTAGATGGAGTAAACTGCGGATCTTTTTGAAGCTGTACACCCTCAGATGTCTTTGGAATTCTTTCCTCACTTTGATCCACATGAGTAACTGGTATTGTCTCAGTTTGTGAGTTTTCAGTTGCAGCTGATTTGGAACTTGGAGGAGACGTTGTTATTGGGCTTTGCTTTGCATTGGGTTCAGCTGATTCACTTTCATTCTGCTGGGTTATTTGACTTGATAATTCTTCATCTTTCGAAACATTTAGAGGAGGTGAAGTGCTACTTCTAACAACAGGTGTTGGTTTGGGCAAGTACGACTCTTCGTTTGATGACCTTGCTAAGAGCTTATTACTCAAACCAGAAGGTGTATTACTTTGTTTTCTCTTCATCACTTTTTTTGAGTTGCTATTTCTGCTAGGGTTGGTGGGGGCGACAAAAGTTGGTTTTGAGTTGTGAACCTCTTGGTTGACATCATAGTATCTTGAAGGAGTAGTTCTTGAGGGGTGGTTGAATTGGCTCCGATTACAATTCTTGGAAGATTGAGGAGCAGGAGAAGTAATCGAAAGTTCAGCCGCTTTGAATCCCACTTTGGCCACAGAATCATCCACACTTGTAATATTGACGTTTAGAATTGGACAATTTTCTGGCACTGGAGGGGGTAGATCAGTCGAGGAGCTCTCATGGTATACACGACTATACAACATTTCCTCCAATTCCTGTTGCGCATCCTCATCTTCACTTCCTTCAATGTGGGTTGGAGACTCCAACTCCCGTTCACGATCCTCATAAATCAACATTGCATCGGCACGGGCTAGATCCATGGCCTAGAACAGTAAGACAATAACAAAATTAGAGAAGGTTCAGACTACTACCGAAATCCTCTTTGACACTTCTGATTTGGTATAATTCTCAGATCATTTAATTTTTCAAGGAAAGACAGCTCAACAGCAGTACACGGCATTTCACTACAGCAAGGAGCGCTCAGAGCACTGTTTCAAACCAGGCATAATGCACTGTCTTCAGCCCATAACGAGGAGACAGATATAACCAAGGACAACATAACCTTCGCGTACCACCACGAGAGAGGCACCTAACCTCCGTCGTTTGTTTTGATGCTCTTTATCAGCAAAGATAGGCCGGATAAACAATCGGCACTATGTTCAGAAGTTTTTCCGCACAGCATACGTACCGATGAGGATTAAAGTGCTACGTGTAACACAAATCATTCGAAATACGGGAATCGCAAGCACGGAACTGGGAAGGCAAAGCGCCAAGTTGGAGAAACTCAACCGCATGTCGGTCGGGTGGCGCATGAACGTTGTTGTGTTTCGTCATCTAGCCAACGCCACAAAAGTATGAGACATTAAGCGGTCAGCTAGGGACTGAAAGACTCTAGTTTAGAATCCCGCCTTTTATCGTTTGCAACATTTTTAGGAGCACTGCTCATCGAAGTAGTGTAGCAGAGGAATCTGCTTTGAACTAAGTTCTCACAATTCAAAGATGAGTGGTCTGGGAGGGAAGGATCACCCGGCCGCGTGGTGGCATGCCTGCAGCACGTTGGGTTGCCGACCCGCACGGCGGTGGGTGAGCAGTAGGAGCACGTTGGGTTGCCCTCCCACACGGCGGCTCGGCGGCATGGCTGGTTTGCAGTGAGCTGTCTGTGCGGCTCTGCGCCAGCCGGTACGGCGGTCTGCCTCCTCCAGTCCAGGGTTCCGACGGGGCGGCGCCGCGGCATGTAATTGTGCACTGCAGTAATTGCGTAATTCGAGTGTAATTAGCATCAAGTACTCGCGAGCGGCGGATTCCCAGAGGACGCGCCGGACACTCACATACCGCTAGGATTTTGTTTTCCTGTGAGAACGAGTTCTTTGATCGTCACGAGATATGGAGGAACACAACCACCAAGAAAGCGAGAAAAATGTCACACGGACGCGAAAAACCCGGCGGGCCAGCGGGCAGCTTCCGGCTTTCGGGGGGACTTCTTTTGACGGTCGAAGTGGGTTGAAAGTTCGTGGCGGTGCCTCGGCGTGGCGGCTTAGAGCGCCGCAGGGGGAAGGGGGAGGGGAGGGTAGGCAGCTTTTCTCCCACCGGGACCTGGGTAAAGAGCCCTATTCACGGAAGCGTCACGTGACACGTGACGAAGATCCGCGGAGTGAGGACCGAATCAAGAAAGAGGAAAGCAGTGAGCTAGCCTCTCCACGGCCAGAAGAAAAACACAGAGTGGCCCACCCTGGCCGGCCACGTCTCCGCATCGTCCTTCCCTCCAAACACAATGCGAGGCAGGGCCAGGCAGGGGCGGCACGGCACGGCACGGCACGGCACTGCAAGACCAGGAGCGGAAGCCAATCGCAGCGAGGCAATGGAACGGCATCCTGCTCCACATCCTTCGTGGTCCTTGTTCCTCGCCTCCTCGCCCAAGTCCCCCATGCCGTCGTCGTCCACCGCCGCCGCCGCACTCTGCTTACGTTTCGAAAATTCCCGCCCAAATTTGGAATTTCCGGCCGTCGACGCTTCCTGCGAATAAACGCGCACGGCTCGGCACGCGACATTGCCGCCGAGGTGAGGCGGGGGAAGAGGAAAGGGGGGGAGGGGGGGGGGAGTCCGCGGAAGTCGTCGTTCAGACGTCCAGGCCTTCAGCTTCAGGCCCCCAGGCCTTCAGGCCAGGCAGCGTGTTCGGAACGTTCAAACCAATCGGCGGCCGAGATCGGCGAAGCAAGGGCGATGCAGGGCGGCGAGGGCGGGCCACCACTGTACGGGAAAGGGCAATGTGGGCACACTGGCCGGGGCGGCAAGGCGATAGGCTAGGGCGAGGCGAGAGGGCGCGAGACAAGCGACATCCTTCCATCCTTCCGACGCTCGCGGTGCAGGCGCGAGGCACGTCGCTGTCATTTGGATGGCGCGCGGCGCGCCAAACTCCAAGCGGGATGGCCCGCCGCGGTTCCCTCGGTTCGGTTCCCTCGCTGCACTTGTCGCTGTGCGTTCATCTTGGGTCGCCGCCTCGCCTTGCCGCCTTGCCCCGCCGCACGCGGAGCACGCGGAGTAGTAAACTCAAGGCGTCCGGTTTGTAACAATGGCCAATGGGGCCGCGGCCGGCGGGCGGGGCTGCGGGGCTGCGGGGCTGCGGGCGGGGCCCGCCAGTGGCGGCGGCAGCGGGCGGCAGCGGGCAGGAAGCCTCAAATGGATCCAAGAGGTTATTTGGAGGGAGACGGTCGCGCGGGACTTCCCTGCCTGCCCCCCATCCGGCCGTCCGGCCGTCCGGCCCAAACTTGACATTTGCAGCGAATCATCCAATTTCCTGTACAGACGCTCGCCTTGCACGGCCGAATCTCGCAAGACATACGCAGTCGCGGGAGTCGCCGAGTCGGCGGCGGAGGGCGTCGTGGCGGGCGAGGGAGAAGGGAGGACGCCGGCCGCGCCGCCACGCCGGCCGGACGCGCTCCACCGCTCCACGTATAAGGATGGACCGAAGGCCGCACGCACGCGCGCGCGCTCACACACACGAGGCAGGATGCCACATGGCGAAAGTTGTTGTGATGGGTTTGACAAGTAAGCCGTCTTGCGTCTGGCAGGACCTGGCCGGACAGTCGCGGTATGAACGGCATGCCCGTCCCGTCGGCCACTAATTAGAACCCGGGATTCTATGCCGACCGGCGCGCCGGCTCGTCTCTCGAAAGCCGCGCCGGTCCGCAGCATTTGAAGCATTTCGAACGCGGCGCTCAAGGACAAGGCAACGCGGCGGCCGCGGAGCCATGCCTCGGAAACCCTGGCGAGACTCGTCACCGATCTGCCTGATAAGGGCATTCCCCGATTCATAGAACAGAACGAGCGCAGTTCGGCAGAAGTTCTGCGTCTGCTGCCGGTATGACTCACTGCATGTCGTGGCCCCCGAAGCCCCCGAATGAACGGACGAACACGGCACGAGAGCGTCAGCGAGTGGTGCTCGCTTTCGGCCGATCGGAGCGACAAGTGGCGATTGTGGTCGTGATTGTGGGGGCGCGGGGCGCGGAGCGGAGGGCGCAGCGCAGGGCGCATTCCTCGGGGTGAGTCACGCCGTTTCGCAAAGGGCCACGAGGGCCACGAGGGCGAAAGCGCAGACGGGAAATTTGGAGAGCAGAAGACTTCCGGCGAGTCCCCGGCGAGGCACGCATGCCTGCCTCCCAACGAGCGTGTCCTCGCAAGGGTGCCCCGCTGCCGCGCGCCGCGCACTCACCACTTTTCGGGGGGCAAATTGTTTTCATTCGCAGAAGGTTTCTGGGCGAAGGGTCTGTCGAGGGCCTGCATCCGCGGCCGGTGGAGGCAGTGCGGATTTGAGAAAATATTTTGGTAGGCACACCGTCTCTGCCGTTACCTGGGCGTGGGCGACGACGACGACGACGACGGTCTCGGTGCGCTCGACGGGGACCTCGCGCGCGCCGCTAATGAGCTGTCGTCGGCATCCTGGCGGCTCCGGGCGGCCGTCCTGGCGCCCTGATCGTCTTGTTTTTGTGGCCCCGCGCCCAGAGGTGTGCGTCCGGGGTGCGGGCGGGCCTGCGGGCCGCGGGGCCCCGAAAACGGGAGGCGATGGTGGGCACTGCCACGGCCGTGCCGTGCCAGGCCATTGTTTTGAAAGGGCGGATTAGCAGCCGGCCAGGTACCTGCGACGCGGCGGCGACCCATCGAGCGTTTCCGCTGCCTTTCCTCATTTTGCCAAAGTTGTCCGTCACGCCGGCGAGAAGGCGGGGGCGGAAGAGAGCGACTCGCTCTCGGGCCGGAAGTCGTTGGCGAACTAACTGGTGTGGTATTCATTCAGCGCGCCCCGGTGGCTGACGCGCTGCTGACGCGCGGAGGGCGCCACTAGAAGAACATCCCCCAGTGGAGCGCCACAGCGCGACAGCGTCGCACCCTGACTGTGATAGACGCTGAGTTTTAGTACGCTTATACAGCCCGCGTTTCTGACAATCAACCAGGATCCTCAAAAAAAATTCAATCTGGAAAAAAATTATTCTTGTTCGGGGTGTGAAATTTGGACGTTTTTACACGAAAGCCCCTCGTTGGCCCCTTCCGCACCTGGCCCGCCGCACCCTTCTCACGGAATTAATAAAGCCGGACGCACGGTGGGGCGGGGCGGGTCGAGGCGGGGCGGGGCGTGGAGGTCCCTTCTGGACGAATCCCTCTGCGCTCACGGACTGCCGGCGGAACACGCCATGATTCATGGCCAGCGTCTGTTTAGTTTGACGCGCGGAGTGATTCTTGTGGCTGACCGGCAAACTGCCACTGGCGCCGTGTGCCCACTCCGTGTGTCCTTTACCTCCCCCGCGCGCGGACCGAGTGGCCGTGTGAGTGAAAACGACGAGGCGAAAACAAAACCCCACGCCGCGATTTCTCGTCCGGACGGCGCGACGACGACGGGGGTCTTTGACTCGACGACGGCGAGGCTCTTTAGGCGTGCCCTGGCGAGCACGGCGAGCACGGCGAGCATGGCAAGTAGCGAGGAGGTTTATTTAATTAATTTCTCCGGAAGAGATCCATCGCCGGGCCGGGCGCGCACGCCCACCGCCCAGTGAGGCCCTAATCAGCCCCCACTCGCGGCCACGCGGCCACGTCGACGGCGTCCTGGAGTCGGGGACCGCCGTCGTGGAGTGCCTGTCACCGCCACTGCCCGCGCGCCGCCGGAAAGCAGTCATTTTTTTGGCGAAGAGTAAAACCATTATTTTCTAATTGACCACAGCAAACACAGCCTACGGAATCGGCGCAGATGCACCCACTCGCTTCAGCACGCATCATCACTGTTGCATTGGAGGGAGCTTCCGCCTAACCAAACGACCTCGCTGCGTGCGCCTGGCATTCGTCATACACGACCCCCATTCGATGGGGTGCCAAATGAACGCGCCCCGGTCGCCTCTCCGACGAGGCCGTCCTCCAGGCTGGCGCTGCAGCTCGGCTGCCCCGGGCATTTGTCACGGTGCGAAACCTTGACTTGGAGGTGCCAAGCGAAACCGCCCGGCCAGCCCGGCCCAGCGGGGCTTCGCGGCTTGGCGTCGGCGCCACGGCGCCATCGGGGCAAACGAGGGTGATTGCCTTGTCGGTGTGCCGCGTGCCCAGCGGTGCGAGAGGCGGAGGCGCCACGCTAGGGCGCCACCCTGCAAGCAGCGGCCGCAGCACCACGGCGACGGGGCCAGGCCTCTAGGCGCCCCCAGGCCGGCGGCCTACGGCGGCCCGGTCGCCGTCAAGCACCTCCTTTGCCGCGACACTTCCGGGCCGCTGCACCTGTGTGCCGCAGTGCCGCGGGTAATGGACATTTAATCGTGAGGCTCAACAAGAAGGAAAATCGGATTTTCCGCTTTAGGTGCAGGTGCAGGCTGCCGCACCGGGGCTG